TGGAAGTTACTTCTACCACACAAATATAAGTCCGCAGCAGTACTTCTGCAAGATGATTCTAAGAGCTCGGGCATGTGAACATAAGCTAGACGAGGAATTCATCTGTAAATCAATGGCAAGACATTTTGGGAACACTATCGAAGAAATAATGTTATATCAAGGAATTAATAGTATTGATGGATTTTTGGAGGTTCTAAACCGTTTTGGGAGAGAAAGAATTCTCAAGGGAAATAATTCCTACCAGAGGCCTTCGGCTAGATATCTTAAAAATAAAGAGCCACCTCAGATGAAAACTAATCAACAGGTGAAGGACCAAGGAAATAACCTGCCTTCAAGACCTTATAATGAAAAAATGAACACTAGTCAGTACAACACTGGTTTGCGACCTTATGATAAAAGCTACTCAAACCCAGTTCAGAGAAGAAACTTTGATAGAAGCCAGAATTGGAATCAGTCCAATCCTCAAGTGAACAAAATTACCGTAGTAAGGGAGAAAAATAATCAAGAACCTGTCAACAGTTATCAACAGAAAACATATCCTGATGAACAGGCAAGACAGAATATAAATAATCAGACTTTCGAAGAGAACTACAGGCCAGCAATTACTAAACAGCCAGTACAGACCGAGGAGGAAGATAACATAAATATTGCTTATATACCAGAAGATAGTCATGAGGACTGGCAATTAAGGAACAATGGCTCGGTAAACCACATTCAAACTATATCTTTACCTACCGAACCTTCTCAACCCATCACAGAAAATGAAGAACCAACTATTGAAGAATATGAGTATCCAAAATTAGAAACAACACAAAATCATAAGAAGGTTCAAGCCTTAGTAAATTCAGGCTATAAAACAGTCAGTTTAAGCCAGGAAGCCCGTAAAATAGAGTTGGAGCACACTGGACTAGAGAAGCTGCCAGTACCTAACACTGTAGCAGAGACGACTACTAGATGGTCTAAGCCTATGAGGGAGAAGACAACGACGGATGTGATTCTTCCTAACCACGCCATCAACGACGAAGGCAGAATAATCCAAGAAGAACTAGAAGACCCTAGAAGCTATCTCCGTGGTAAAGTCAAAATAAAATGACTATGATAAAGCCGATAGTCTCAATCGGGTACAGACCAAAAGGACTTTTTTTAAAGGAAATTTTTCGTGACTAATGATCTTTGTAATAAAACACTCTGCTTACTTGTGAGATAAAACATATGACTTTTTTTTAATATAGCGACTTTTGTAACTGAAAACTATTGTTATCTAATTTTATACTTGTTTAGAAGAATGTTTGATGAAAAAGCAAATAATAAGTTGTAATAATTTTAACGATTATATCACTGAATTATTTTTTATTTGACAATTATAAAAAAAAAAAAAAAAAAAAATGTTTAATAATCATTTTTTTTTTAAACACAGGAAAGGGTAAATGTAACATATTTTATTAGGGCCTTTATAAATTGTAATTGTTAATAGAACTCATGTTCATGTTTTGTTCTTTTATTATTCTTGAACTGTGTGAAAAGGAGCATTTATATGTAATATATTTATAAATTTAATTTATTTCTAGATATTGTATTAATTTTAGTTGTGATTTAATTTGAAATTGTAAAAAACAATAATAACATTTAACTAGCGATAAAGATTAAAAGGTACGATGTATTAGAGCTAACGGACGGGAGGTCCTTCTCTGTCAAAGGTTGAATTGTAAGTGATTAGTGGTATAGTGTTTTGGAGGTTGCGCGTGGCGCCCTCTAGGCGTTGTTCTAATGAACTATTTAATTCATTTATGCAAGTCATTGTTTTTTTCTAATAATGATTAATAATTTTAGTAGCGCAACCTGTTAATTTCCTAGTGAACTATGAATTTCATTTAGAAGCTATTTATTATTTCTTTTTATAATTACTGATTTTGTAAATAACTAATGTTTGTAATATTTTTAAAATAAGTATTCATGTACTATAATTAAATAAAAATAAAAGGAGTTTGGACTTAGAGAGATCTCAGGCCTAATTAAAATAATTGTTACTAGTGTTGTCTCTCACAGGTCTGAGGGCTCACTATTAGTATAAATAGCAGCCTGGCCCCTAGGGCAGGCACTCTCTCCCGAGTCACTACCTTCTCACATAGGCTCCTGGTATCTCTCTGTCTGACAGTTTGAAACCAGACCAATGTGTTATTTTTTGGTTTTACCTTCCTCCTTCTCTATTCTCTCCTAACCTACCTCCTCTCTCCTTTCGTAGGAATAACTTGGTTGGCCCTTGTTTTCCTACAGTCCCCCTTGCATCTTCCAGGTTGTCCCTGGGAGTGTAGGGTTACCTATCCTCGCAATGTCAGGGGATTGCCTCCTCGGTTGCAGAGCCCTGGATGTGTAGGGGTTGCCCCCCTATCATTCTTGGCGGTCTTACCTTATCCTATCCTCGCAACGTCAGGGGATTGCCTCCTCGGTTGCAGAGCCCTGGATGTGTAGGGGTTGTCCCCCTATCATTCTTGGCGGTCTTACCTTATCCTATCCTCGCAACGTCAGGGGATTGCCTCCTCGGTTGCAGAGCCCTGGATGTGTAGGGGTTGTCCCCCTATCATTCTTGGCGGTCTTACCTTATCCTATCCTCGCAACGTCAGGGGATTGCCTCCTCGGTTGCAGAGCCCTGGATGTGTAGGGGTTGTCCCCCTATCATTCTTGGCGGTCTTACCTTATCCTATCCTCGCAACGTCAGGGGATTGCCTCCTCGGTTGCAGAGCCCTGGATGTGTAGGGGTTGTCCCCCTATCATTCTTGGCGGTCTTTCCTTATCCTATCCTCGCAACGTCAGGGGATTGCCTCCTCGGTTGCAGAGCCCTGGATGTGTAGGGGTTGTCCCCCTATCATTCTTGGCGGTCTTATCCTATCCTCGCAATGTCAGGGGATTGCCTCCTCGGTTGCAGAGCCCTGGATGTGTAGGGGTTGTCCCCCTATCATTCTTGGCGGTCTTACCTTATATACCTTATCCTTCTCATCCTGTCTAAGCTGGTACACCCCATTCATTATTACAAACTTAAATAGATACACGAATACCAGGTTAATTGACTAACAAAAAGATTAAAGGTTAGAAGGACAGATTTCAGATTTTAAAAGACAAACGTCGGTAATAACATACAGACAGACAGAGAGATAAATAAAATAAATAAGAGATAAAAATAAAAAAATATTACAATATATATATATATATATATATATATTATTATTATTTTTTTTTCCTTTTTTTTCTCATTTTTTTTTTTTTATAATTTTTACTATTTCTTTCATTCATTTATTATCATTCTGTACCCTTTCTCTTCCTTCTCTCCCCCTATACATGTTTCCACTCCTCACATTCTCTCCTCTCTCTTTCTAACCTAATACATAAAAAATACATAAAAAATACTAATACAAGTACAGTGGACGTGTTCAATAAATAATAATATAAAAAATGCTGTAACACACGCATGCCTCCTCCCCGCGAGCAAACTCTCCCCCTATCCGCTCCCATGCACATGGTGGTGGATGATTCCCAGGGAGTCGAGGATTATACTCTCTGCCAACCTTGCCACGTCCTTTATGTCGACATCAAGGCCCTCCATGAAGCTCCTTGTTGAGTCTGGTATCGTTCTGCGAGCTCCAAACCAAAGGCCTCTCACGTGGAACTCTCTCGGCCCGAAACTCTCGCGGAACTTTTCACTAAGGAAAGGGGTGCATTTCTCATATGTCTGTTTTTTCTCCCTTTCCACTTTTTCTGCCTGATCGAGGTCGTTGGTCTCATATCTCACGGTCGGATCACAAAATCCAAAGCCGACTTTCCCGTCTTAGGGAATGCTACAATGTCGGCATATCGGGTGGATCCATCCGTATCTATACAATATACTTCCTCGAAACAGGCGTATTCTCTCTCTTCAAGGAGCCTCATCAGTTCATGCTTGACTCTGTGGTGACGGCGTGTTATAAGGAGGGAGTTGTTGGGGCATTTTCCAAGCACATGTGCTGGTGTTTCTGGCTCTCTGTCACATTTGCGATAATAATAATCGTCCTTATAATATATAATGTGCAGTTAACTAATATGCACAGAAAAATTATGTTAAATGTATATATTTACCTCCACAAAGCTTTTGGCATAGGTCAATTACAGAGTGAATAATAATTTGTACATAACATTTTTAATAAACTCTATAAAAATATTTTAGATTTAAGTATGTCTAGTTTTTCATCGTCCAAGAAGGTACTATCATTAAGACAGCCCTCCTGGTACTTTTGAAAATTTCTTTTTACATCTCCATTTTGTGATGACGTAATCCTTCGTGCATTGACAAAAAAAAAATGTATTCTTGCATCAATCTTCTTGTGCATCCTGCTGCTCATAGTGCACTGGAGGTAAAAAAACTTGGTTGTTAGCTTCTACTGATATATCTGAAGAGGCAGCTTATAATTTGAACACCGTGTTTGTTTTTATATATGTTACGTGAACTACTGCTATTTGTGAATTTCCATGCATGATGGAAAACCGTATAGTGGAGGCATTTAAGCATTTAGCTTTTCTGTAAATATTGCAGAGATTTACTGTTTTTCTCATTTTTATTTAAGGCGTTGATATCAAAATATATGTATATATTTGTAAATAAAACTAGAGTGTAAGAAATGTTTTTTTTTTAATATACTGTTAGTGTCACTTGAGGTTGCCCTCTATATATTGGCGGATTATATCTCATAATGATGAATTAAAAAACAGACAACTTTTAGAAAACAAAAATTTAAAAAACAGAAGTTACTAGTTGGGCTCCAGTGACCAGTTAGATTTATATCAAGAGAGAAAAATATTTTTTGAAGAGACTAATACTCACTTATGTTTGCAATTTTATGTTAAATATAATCAGTGTGATAGTAATAGTAAAATGTGTTTGAAATAGATATAATTAAAATACAAAGACAATTATTTACATAAATATAAAAAATGATAAATAAGTATTATAAACAAAGTTGAAATCATTTTAGGTTTCTTTGTGAAAAGGTGGTGCCAGGAAACAGGGTACTAGTTGTTGGTGTTTACTGTATCAAAAAACATAAATCCACAAAGGTATTTTATTTAAACAAATCATGTTTATTAAATTAATTTTGGCTATAGCCGCAAGAAGGTCACATTCTCAGAAAGTGATACAAGGTGGATTAGATTTTTTATACTGAAAATTTCTATTCTGACCAACTCCTTTCTGCATTTCATTGTGCCAACCAGTTATTTCTAAACCAGTTCTGAAAATTAGCAAGAAAACAGTTATTTCAATGTGCTTAAAGAAATATTGTCATTATTTATATACATATTTAATGGAAAATGCCATTTCAAAGGAAATGGCCCTTCTTGATAGAATATTCTACTGATTTAGGATTAGACATTCTTCCTTCCATTAATATTTCGAAGTTAATGTTTAAAATAAAGCAAAATAACTCAATTAAACAGCAATGCTTATGTCTTTCTTTATATTATTATTCATAAATAAATATTAACTTCAGTTAAATGAAATATATTTCTATTTGGAGATGTAATAAAAAATCTAATAATATTAACAATATTTATTAATAGTTAACCTTATGGTAAATTAAGAATATAGATGTCTGGAGATTGGTCAAGAAATTATATCAAATAGTGGTAACCATCTCTTTCTTATTAGTAGAAAAATAAATAAAGCTGGACACTTGTATTACATCATAATATTTAAATAAAATTAAATCCTTCTTGTACCTCCTGTCATCTCCCCCTCAATAACTGGTGGTCTTTAAAGGCAGATGACACAAAAACAGTCTTAATTTCATTTATTTCTTGATTTGAAATAGATTTTTTTGGAATAATCTTGATATTATATTGAAATCACTATAAAGTGCTTGAACTTTTAAGTCCTAACTGCTGCTGTAGCCTTAATGTTTTTTTGTCTAATTTTTTTATGCTTTTTATTATTACATTTTTTTTTATTTTTTTTTTTTTTTTTAGAGAAATGATCCTAAAGGTAAAACAGTTGGAGTACGTGCTCCTTATATTCGAGTTTTAGGTATTCGGATTGATACTGAAGGTGTTGGATTTTCTACTTCTGCTATGGTCACTGCGGAAGATGAAGATTATTTTAGACGTCTTGCAAAGTCGCCAAATATTTATGAAAACATTTCCAAGTCTGTAGCTCCTAGTATATTTGGATTTTTAGATATCAAAAAAGCTATTGCTTGCCTCTTATTTGGTGGTGAGTTTTTGTTTTAACTAATGATAGGTATTGAATACAAATTGTGAAGTAGATGAATTTATTGTGTCAATCCATTCATTCATAAGATGCCTTTTAAATCTTTTTTTTTTTTTTACTATACTATACATTTTTAAGTATATGTTTTTTCTGTGCTGTATTAAGAGGAGAGCACTATTAGCTGAAATGGTTTACATTGTTACACCATGCTGACATGGTTTAAGTATTTACAGCAAAACTCTATCTGAAGTCAGCTAAAAGTTTTCCTTTATCCCAAGCTTTGATCTGAAGTGTTGCTACCTCCCACAAACTAGAACAAATACAACCATTTAAACAAGTGGAAAAGATGTACCAATGCAGGAGGTTTTAATTTTTTTGGATCCAGAAATGGTTGAAATCGCATACAATTAAAATTTGGAGATAAACATATCTACTCTGTGTACAAATTAAAAAAATGGATGAATTTAAGTTAATTTGTTTTTGGATACATATTAAAAAAAAAATATATATATCCAATATGAAATAAAATGAGTATCAGGATGCAGAATTTTCGCCCCAATGTTTTTTATTACAAAAACTTACTCAAACCAATAAAGTGCTAAGATCAACCTTAATTTTCACCATTCTTCTGTCAGATCCATAAAACTATGAGCAGAAAGTCGTCAAAGAAGGAAAAATAGAAATTCTTCGTATTGGGTTTTTCAAATTTAAATTAAATATAGTGAAAATTCATTAGAAAAATCCTATTATTGTGATTTTTTGGCCAGTCTCAGTTATTTTTCCTAAAAAAATTATTTGTTATAAATAGAGACTGGATTTCAGTGTAGTATAAATGTGGCTAAATAAAAATAATTACCTAAATATGTGCAGTTATTACTCAAAAAGTGCGAAATCCAAAAGAGGTTGGATAGTTGTGTATCATAACTCTTTAAAATATATAACAACTATAATTTTTATATAATCTATAATATTAAATACATACATTTTAAATTAAAAACATATACTAAATATGTGTATATATGTACATATAAATTTAAATTTGTAGTTAATTATACGTTAAAATGAATGAGATAATGGTGAGGATATTACAGTTCTCTGTAATCTTTATTTTTTATAAAGTCTGCGTTTCGTAAGAAAAATTTTAAAGGTTAACTAAACAACACTCCTTAACTTATTGAATCCATGCAGGTTTACATTTGCAGTCAGTGATAGAAATTCTGTATTATAAATCAAATAGGACATAATTAATTAATTATTTTTAATTTAAAAGAAAATTCAAAGTAATCGAAAAATGCTTTGAATAATTTTTTCCTTCAAATTAAATTTATTTGTATTTTTACACTAAAAAGTAATGTGAAAAATATATTTATTATTATTTTTTTTATTTTTATAGGATCCCGTAAAAGGCTTCCAGATGGTCTAACTCGAAGAGGTGATATCAATATTCTTCTGTTAGGTGATCCAGGTACAGCTAAATCTCAGTTGCTAAAATTTGTTGAAAGAGTGAGTCCTATTGGTGTTTATACATCTGGGAAAGGATCATCAGCTGCGGGTCTGACTGCATCAGTAATCAGGGACCCTCATTCAGTATGACAATTACTTATTCTTTTATTCTAACTATTTATTTTATTGGAAATTTAGCATTTCTAACATTTACTTTAAGTGATAATCATTTGTTAAATTCTTGTTGTAATAGTTTTGAATGTCAAAATTTATAAAATAGTGAAAGTTGCTTGAAAGTCTACATAATTCTGGTTAGATAATTATAATGTCTAGATATAATAATATTGGTCTAGATAATTATAAGGTCTTATAATTTAAACATCACCAGACTGGTGATCAGGTTAAGTTCGGATCAGTTAATGGTGTTAGTCCAATTAGTTAGTTATTAGAGAGTTTAAAGTCAGTAAATTCTTTCAGAAGAAAATTCTTATCATTTAAATTGTTACATCATTTTGATTTGATAATACCTGTAATTTATTTATATATACTGTGAACTGTTTGACAGACTGGAGATGAATTATATCCTTTGAATAAAACTGTTCCTTTTATAGCTCTGAACCTCACTGCAACAATCCCCAATTGTAGAACTTTCTGGATTCAGTGCTATCTAGATTTTTTTAAAATATTTATTATATATAACATAAATATTTGTATAATACAAGAATATTACATAATAATTTTCCAAATTAATTTTTTTCAAGCGTGCCTTTGTAATGGAAGGAGGTGCTATGGTTCTGGCTGATGGAGGTGTTGTTTGCATTGATGAATTTGACAAAATGAGAGAAGATGATAGAGTTGCTATACATGAGGCAATGGAACAGCAGACTATATCAATTGCAAAGGTTATTGTAAAAATTGATATGTTTAAGTTAGTTATTACTTCAATTTAATCTATACCTATATAACAATAACAGATTGCATATCTGAGTAAGAGTGAGGGTACAGGAATAGAATGGAAGAGTGGATGAATAGGGACAGCCAAGGTGTACTTATCTGATAATATTTACAGATTTGTTTTGTTTTGTTTTATTTTTATATGTTTTTGTAATTACTTTGAATTTAGAAGACTTTTAAGATTAGGCCACCGCGTTTTGATTTCTTTAAGTTTTTTGGATTTTTTTCATATGAGGGTGTATTCTTATGTTTCCGGAGCCGTAGATTTTGAAAACGACCTCCATTTTAAGATTAGGCCACCGCGTTTTGACTTATTTGAGTTTTTCGGATTTTTTTCATATAAGGGTGTATTGTTATGTTTCCAGAGGCGTAGATTTTGAAAACGACCTCCATTTTAAGATTAGGCCACTGCGTTTTGATTTCTTTGAGTTTTTCGGATTTATCCAATTTAAAGGTCTTCTATAATGTTTTCGGAGCCGTAGATTCTGAAAATGACCTCTATTTTATGATTATGCCACTGCGTTTCAACTTATTTAAGTTTTTCGAATTTATCAAATATAAAGGTCTACTTTTATGTTTCTGGAGCAGTAGATTTCCCCCATTTTGTAAATGACCCCATTTCAAGTTTATGCCACTGTGTTTTGGATTATAAAATTTTTTTTTACTTTTTCGGTATAATGATCTACTTATATGTTATCGGAGACGTATTGAAATTTTTCTAATTTTTAATATTTAAATTTATCTAATATTTGATCTCCATTTTATGATTTCTCGATTAATTAGGCTTCATTTTGGATTTTTTCAATAAAAACTTTCATCAATATGTTTTCGAGTATGAATAAATAAATAAATAAATATTATGAAGCTAAAGTTAAATTAACCACAGAATACAAACTAAAAAGCCGAAAAGCAGCTGGTAATAAATTTAACCTACCGTATTCAGATTTTTCAGCTAATTGTTTGAAATCTTATAATTTTGTTACAGGAGACCACAACATTGAAAAAGATAACGAAAATTAAATTAAAAATGAGACAATACATATTTTATTTATTTTAATTAGATATTTTTATTTATTTATTGAAAAATAAATTAATCCTTCGTATTTTGTTTTTTATTCGAAAGAAAAATCAAAAACACTTAAAAAAACCAAAACACAGTGGCCTAATCTTAAAATGTAACTCGTTTTAAAAACTAAGGTTCTGGCATCATAAAAGTAGACCTTTAAATTGGATAAATTCTAAAAACTTGAATAAGTCGAAACACAGTGGCGTAATCTTAAAATGGAGGTCATTTTCAAAATCTACTACTCCGGAAACATAAGAATACACTCTTTTATGATAAAAATTCGAAACACTGAAAGAAATCCAAACGCGGTGGCCTAATCTTATAATGAAGGTCGTTTTCAAAATCTACGCCTCCGGAAACATAACATTACACCCTTATATGAAAAAAATCCGAAAAACTCAAATAAGTCGAAACGCGGTGGCCTAATCTTAAAATGGAGGTCGTTCTCAAAATCTACGGCTCCGGAAACATAAAAGTAGACCTTTATATTGGATAAATTCTAAAAACTTAAATAAGTCAAAACGCTGTGGTCTGATCATAAAATGGAGGTTATTTTAAAAACTAGGTACAGGACAGCATAATACTAGTCCCTAATAAATCCGAATAGGTACAATAAATCGATATCCGTGAGTGAAAATTCTACTTAGGAGAACATAATAATAGACTTTCATATTGGAAGGGGGGAGGGGATGGCCATTATTTAAACAAAAATATAATATTTACAAAAAATTAAAACATTAATTTGAAATAAAAACGGTTGAATTTGACTTGGAAAAAGTTTAATTTGATCTGGAAAAGGTTGAATTTGACTTGAAAATAATTGAATATGACATAGAAATATTACACTGAAAAAATCTAAAATTTTAAAATAAATGGATATGCAACCGCGTTATCAAATTTTTTTTAATATTTTTCAAAAGCTATGCTTTCGATAATATAGTAAGTGGCCTTCATTTCGAAAAAAATCGAAAATTGACAAAAATTCTAAAGTTGAATTTGAAATGGAAAAGGTTGAATTCGAAATGGAAAAGGTTTAATTTGACATGGAAATGCTATATATATATATTTTTCTTTCAATTTTCTTATTGTTTTCTACATTTTATCCAACTCAATATAGCAATATTTTGTTAATATAGCAATACAATTTTGTAGATTAGCTCCCTTCTGCTAAATGCAGTTCAACTCTTCAGTTAAATTATTTTTAATATCATAATAATCTTAAACACTCTGCAATCAATTTCTGAACAACTTAATACTCTCCGAATAAAATTAATTTATGTTGAAAATGTTCTGTTTGTATGTGTAATTCAGGTTTTAAAATGTATAAATCAGGCAAATTTAAGTATCAATTGTAAAAGAAGTTTATAAATTTCAGGCTGGAATAACCACAACCTTAAATTCTCGCTGTTCAGTGCTTGCAGCTGCTAATTCTGTTTATGGTCGATGGGATGATTCAAAAGGAGATGATAATATAGATTTCATGCCTACCATCCTTTCTCGGTTTGATATGATATTTATTGTTAAAGATGAACACAATCAAAAGAGAGACATGGTAAAAACATCCTTTATGTATATATATTGTTAATATTTTTATTTTTTTGAAACCATAAGTTTTTAAAAAATTTGATATTTATATGGCTATAATTATACAACTTTTAGTTCCTTAAAGCTTGCATATAAAACTTTAAAAAAAATACATTTTACAAATAATTTATTCAATGATAAAGAAACATTTATAGTGAAAACAAAATTATTTTTTAGTGAAGAAATTTTAAATAAAAAAAAAGAAAAGGAGGGCAGGGGGGGGGCGCATGATTTAGTATTCCTATAATGTCTGTGAATAATACTTTAGTAATCTTGTTTTCATTGTTTAAATAAAATATATAAAAAATTTTAAGTTCTTATTGAAAATTGATATATACTAGTTGACTGTTCTTTGACTCCCTGTTATTTTTTAACTTATAGAAAATACCAGGTATGGTGGTTACTAATTCTTAATTTTCCTATGAGATTGTACTGGAAACAAGCATTGGTTCACAGTCTAACCTCTTATGTTATTGCTTTACTATGACTGTAATTTTTATTATTAAATTTATTTATTAAAACAATTTTTATTTTTATATGATTTTGAGTTAGATTCAAATTTTTTTTGTTTGGTAAGCATGTTGAGTTTCAAGCCAAATAAAGAGCATTTGTGGTTTGCTCTGGTTTAGACCATTCAAAAGTGGTGATTTTGACTAGAAAGTCAAAGAACGTCCAGGTCAACTGAAAAAATTACAAGATGTCAAATTGCAAGCAGTTGGGTGAAGACGATACACAAACAACAACAAATGGCAGAGGTTAAATGTTGGTCACTGAATCATTTGTGATCGTCAACATGCCATGAGAAAGATCCAGAAATTAGGAGAATGAGTGCTGCATCAGTTGAACAACAGGCAGATGGAAAAGCAAAAAACAATGTGTGAAGTTTTGTTTTCTCCACATGAAAGGAAGACTTTTTTTTGCATCAGATCGTGACTGGATCAGACTAAAAATGGATATATTTGATGACCCAAAACTCAGAACATCGTGTGTTGACCTGATAACAATCAACATTAATCCCAAGACCGAATCACTAGATTCACAAGACCGAAAGTGCAGTTCATCAGATGGAATCTTCTGAAACCAGGTGAAACAGTTGATAGTGTTTGCTGATTTCAGAATGGGCTGTAATTCCCCATCACAAACTGCAAGCAGTCAAAAACACAATTCCTACACTTGACTGGAAACTCTTGTTGTACCAGCCATATTCACCTGACTTAGCCTCTTTTAACCACCACTTGTGTTCATTGATGTCTCATGCACTCTCCATGAAATATTTCAACAATTACAGAGATGTTGAAAAATTGCCTGATGATTGGACCACTTCAAAAGATGTGCGGTTTTTCTGGGAGGGCAACCATAAATTACCTGGAAAGATGAGAAAAATTTGTAGATAGCGATGGTGCTCACTTTGAATAATCATTTTTTTAACTTTCTCTAATTTAAACTTTTTAAAAAAGAAAAATTAAAGAATTACTAACTGCCACAACTGGTAAATATTCATTATTTCCTCTTGTTAAAGTGCTACAGTTGTACTAAATAAAAATAATACAAATTATAATTATTGATTGTGAGGTTGATTATTTATTTTACTTTTTTTTTTTCCTCTCTTACAGACTATAGCGAAGCATATAATGAATGTTCACATGACTGCTGAACAAAATAATGTAGAGTTGACTGATGGAGAACTACCTTTATCTGTCTTCAAGAAATATATACATTATTGCAGAACGTAAGTTTGCTAACTTTTCTGTTGCAATATATTTACTTCTTGATTGTTTTAGTATTTTCTGGTCTTTATTTACAATACTTAATTTTTTTTATATTTAGCCGTTGTGGTCCCCGTTTGTCTCAATCAGCTGGTGAAAAATTAAAAATGAGATATGTTCTTATGAGAGGTGGCATTCAATCATCGGACAAGACACCTGAAACAACTCTTTCAATTCCTATTACAGTAAGGTAAAGAGTTTTCTTGGTCATATTTTCATTATGCAGTTGTAGGATCTGTAACAAATGTGTCATGGTATATTTCACTTTCCTAATAATATTTATAATCATATACCAAAAAAAATCTTATTAAATCCAGAAGCTTCAGAATTACAAACTAAAGTGTTCTTCAATGTCTTTAAAGAAACATAAAATCGTGTTATGTAGCATTATGTCATATTTTAAAATGATAGTGATTTTGTCCCATTTCTCTTCAACCTCTCAGCTATTAATGATTGATTTGATAATTACATAAAATGTGGTCATAAAAAATAGGTATTTAATAAAATTGTATTTAAAGTTTAATTTTCAACATTAAAGGCAATATTCAAAGTTTGTTTAAAATTTGAATCAGATTTGTTTTAGTTAAAGTTTATAGAAGATGAGAATTCATATGAATTTTAAATACAAATCATACATTACTAACTTATATCATACACTTTCCTTCAATTTATTTACATCCCAAAGGTGTACTGATGTGAAAAACCGCCATATTTATTGAATTTTGATTACTAGTTACATTTGTTTGCCATCTAAATATGTGAATTTTTTTATGTCTCTTCAGGAATAAATAGTATATTTGCTGAGATTTTCTAGCGAACACCTTGTAAACCATACAATTTTTATCAGGTTTTATTTCGGACAGTTGCTATTAAACATGAAAAGAAGATAGCTGTTTTAACTGTCCTCTATTCGAGAATAAAAAAAAATTATTGAAAAAATTTTATTGTGTCAATCTTCTGGTTTTGAAGGGGAAAAATCAGGGGTTGATATTTTTTCAAAAAGTTCCGTTTTAACAGTTTCTGAGATACTTTTATTGGAAAAAGTTCTTAAAATAAAAGTTCTATGGAAATTGTTTGTAATAAAGCTTACAGTAACAATTTAACTTTTATTTATTTAATAATATTATTAAATTTTTATTTATTTTAATTCTTAAAAAAATGTTCCGTTAAATGAAAAATAAACAGTAATTGGGCTTAGATTAGAGTCATAATTTGTCTTAAATGAATTTCAAATGATTCTAATGTGTCGTTTGTATGAGTGACTATGAATAAAAGTCATTTTTTAGATCAATTTTCTAGCGAAATCAACAGAACTTTTAAATAAAAGTTTTGTGAAATCTTTACTTGAAAAGTTGCAAGGAAAAAAATTTTAGTTTCAAAAGAGCTGGAAAACTACCGAGAATAAAAATTCCAATGATACCGAAACTTTTTAAAAATAAAATTTTGAATAATTCAAGCGGAGTTTGAAAAAAGTTAAAACTACTAAATAATGGATGGGAGCAGCGATGAAGTATTGAAACCTTCAAAGAGCACTTTAGTATGAACTTAATTTGCATTCAATATCCACCAATTTTCTCAAAATGGATCTGACTGAACTCCTTGTAACAATATAAAATAAAATGGTCTTTATTATTGGTTAGGTTTTATACTCATTGATTTCTACCTGCTTAGCTTTTGTTGTTTTGAATTCATAGAGTCTCCCATAAGAACTGGTTAATTATAAACTTTGATAGAATTCGACAATTAACAAAATCAGAAAAGATAAACATTTTTCTGGATATTAAACAAATTTCTGGAGATCAGAGTTATAATATATATATTTTTTCCAATTATTTCGAAAGTTATAGTGATTTAAGGAAAATTAATATCTAACATGTCAAGTTATAGAATGAAATGGAATGACTAGAAAAAAATATGACTAATGATTTCTAAAAAACTAATATTACTTAACAGAAACCAAATATAATTGACAAAATAAAATTATATAATGCATCAAATTATTGATCTAGAATTGTTTAAAAAAAAACTATTTTATCCTAGTTTAGTGCATGAAAAAATATATGGTTATAATATTTAATAACTTTAGCCACAATGATAGATTTAAATAATTAATTTTTATTTTAACTAGTTGCAAAAAATAAAATACACTTAACTGAAAGCCTATAAATTTGCTCTGCCATTAAACTTTGACTTAGGTTTACTCGAAAGATGTTAAATATGGATTTGAGCAAAAATTTAATTATTTAAGTAGGGTGGTAAGTGTAAGTTATGTGATCTTTATGCTGCACCATATTTCTTTTTAAATACTTAAATTTTGATAAAAATTTATCTGACAATTTAAAATTGTTACTAAGGAGATAAGGCAGCATTGTTATATTTTGTTTGGAATATTCAAATTTTATACTTCATAAAATAAGAATTACTAAATATTATGGGTGATAAATATTCAGGATGCAGTCATTATAAGGTTTTTATTAGTGCCAGCGTTTCTATGTAGAACAGTCGACTAACTTCCTTCAATAATAATTAAATATTGTTAATTTGATTTATTTTGTTTTCATAATTCCTTTATATTTTATAGACAACTTGAAGCTATTATTCGTACCGCTGAAGCTCTTGCTAAAATGGAGCTTCAACCATTTGCTCTTGAAAAGCATGTTGATGAAGCTTTGAGACTTTTTCAAGTATCAACTTTAGAGGCTGCTAATACTGGAGTTTTGGCAGGTATTAATTTGTATGGTTATTTATTTTATGAAGAAAAGGATTTAAAAAATTCTTACAAATAAAATTATTCATTATTATTTTTTTATTTATTTAGGTAGTGATGAATTTGCTACTGAAGATGATTATGAAATGTTCCGGAGAATTGAAAAACAGTTGAAAAGTAGATTTTCTGTTGGTTCTAGAATTTCAGAACATCTTGTAATATCAGATTTTGTTAAACAGGTTTGTTTAATCATTGGCAAGTTAAGAAATTTCCTTTAGAGATACATACTTTTCTCCTAAATTTTATATCTTTATGAGTAGTGTGTCTAAGGGCCATTCCTTAGAAATTTTAATCACTTGAAAAAATACAATAACAAATAAAAAAAATCAAAATATTTATTTATTTGACTTTTTAGTGTAGTAAAAACGTGTAGGAAACAGATTGCTGCAAGAAAGAATTAAATGCAGTGACAATACAGATAGTAGTAATCCATTTTTTAACCTATAGAATTATAAACTATAAAATGTACAATTCTATGTCTTGCATCACAGCAAACATCATCTGCCTATCCAAAATTGTTAGTAACATTGATGCAAAACAAAAACCCGTTTTGGTTGTGAAATTTTAGATCATTTTAAACTGATTTTCGTTCCTGCCTCACAAAATTAAGTTGTCATGTGTTTTCAGAAAGGTCATCTACCAATTCAAAATAGTCAATTATGCTGAGCAGGCGTGACACAAAAACCCACTTTTGGGAGTGAAATTTCGTGCCATTTTAAGAAAATTCCTGCTTATACCTTTCAGAACGGGTATATTCCACTAAACAGTCAAAAACCACTTTTGGGAGTTAAAATATCTTGCCATTTTAAGCATATTTTCACTTTTACCTCTGAAAAAATAATATGGTTGTCTAGAGACCACGGGAGTCGTCGTCTGCCATTCTAAAACAGTGAATTGTGTCAAATAGACTTGACCCAAAAATTCACTTTGGGAGATTTTTTAGTCACTTTAATCATATTTTCACCTCCTAACATAGAATAAAAAATTGAACTTTATTCTGAGGCTAAGTCCCCTTAGCCTGATGAATTAATACAAAAATAAAACACATCTGGCCAAAAACTAACTTATGAACATTCCAACATTATATACATTATCCAAAAAGTAGTATATAACCACTAAAAAATAAACAAAAAATATAAATCTCCATTTTTTTATTTATTTTTTTTTTGGGATCCTCCCCTTCCTTGAGGCTATACGGGGTTTTCCGTGGGCAGGGATTTAAAAGACGCCTTGGCACCGGGACGCGAACTCGTGACTATTTTTGTCATATTTGTCAAATATCAGGTTGGCGGGCAACGGTGGTGCTGTGCACAACGCGTTAGCCTGCTCGGCCACCCCGTCCACAAATATAAATCTATATAAATGTACATAAAATCTTCTGAAAATTACTTATTATTGTGATGGAAAAAGAGAAAAAAGAAATTACATATCCATATATACATAACTACACAATTTATAGACATTAGGCTATCTAATAGAAAAATAACTTAATACAAAATGTATCCCATCAAATTACCTTTACCCTGCGTCACAAACCTATGACCTCCTGTCCTACAGTATTATTTAACAATTCCCCACTTATCCCAGTTGAACAAATTCGTTACCTAGGACTCCACCTCGACAAACAACTCACATGGAATCCTCATACAAGACTGAAACGACAAGAAACTGCTCGACGTTTCCGACTACTCCAACACTTACTAGACAAACGCTCTAAGCTTTCACTCAATTACAAACGACTCATATATATGACAATAATAAGACCTATTTGGACCTACGGAATTGAGCTCTGGGGCTCCACTAAGCCATCGAATTCCTCCAATCCTTACAATCCAAAATCCTTCGTAAAATCCTCAACGCTCCTTACTTTGTCGCAAACAGAATCATCCTTAAAGACCTTAATGTTCCATATGTTTCCGATTTGGCCCAATCCAGATACCTATCCTTCCATAACAAACTTCAGAACCATCCGAACCCTCTTGTTTCAAACATTGCTTCCTCCTCTATCCCTGATAACCCTCCGAGGCGTCTGAAAAGAAGATGGCCTCGGGATCTTCTAATATAGAACTTTAATTTGAGATCTACCAATGCGTAGTTTCTCTTCATATTTTACATGTCATGTTACCAATGTCACATTTACCTGTTGTATTTTTAATGTAACACAGTTGTAAATTTCAATAAAATTAAAAAAAAAATACAAAATGTAATAATATCTACAGTAATTTATCTACTAATATGCAAACACTAAGATAAAATAAAATCTCAGGATTACACATGTGGTGTAATGGAAAAAAAGGATCTATGTATATCCTAACATAACTAGGTTGTTAAAAGATCACTGGAAACATTGTCTGCTAAGACAAAACAGTCAGTTGGGCTGAGCAGATTTTCTCTTTTACCTCACAAAACTAGGTTTTCTGGCCATTGTAGTAAACATCGCTTCCCAATTTAAAATAGTCGATCTTAGCCATTAGACAACTTTTTAAACACAATTCTGTAACTCTACGTAACAAATGGCAGTTTGTTTTCTGTAATTAATTTGAAATAGTTTATTTTTATAAGTCTTCTTAAATGCCCATCATAATAATTGTTAATGAAAAAAGTTTTCAATGGTAAAAAGTATGCATAAACAACTGATTAGCACTTTTGGAGTCATTAAACTGTTTATAAAATAATTGTTTATGAGTGATAATAAGAAATTGATACCAAAGAGATAAATAATCATTAAATATCTTGTTTTTTATTTGTCATTTATAGAGATATCCAGAACATTGTATACGAAAAGTGATTCATACACTTGTAAAAAAAGGTGAATTTACCTATAAGATGCAGAGGAAATTGTTGTTTAGAATCAGGTGATCAACAAATATTTCTATGTAAGTATTTTTAAAATTTATTTTTGTCTAAATGAAAATTTGCAAGTGCTCAGCATAATTAATCAAACCAATTATTTTATCTAAATCAATAATGGCTCACTATCATCATTATACAAAGAATTTTAGTCTCTTTTTTACTGTGGGTATATTCGGATCAAGTTGAAAAATCCTTAGTAATTTCAATTTTATCTTTATTTTGAATTATGGGGTGGAAATTATGCCAATGTGTTAAAAATATTTTTTCAAATAATATTACCTTAAAAATATTTTTAAACCATAGATATATATATATTATAATGTAGTTCATGTTGATTTCAATTTTATCTTTATTTTGATTTATGGCGTGGAAATTATGCCAATGTGTTAAAAATATTTTTTTCAAATAATATTACCTTAAAAATATTTTTAAACCATATATTTATTATAATGTAGTTCACGTTGATGTGGATTCATTGTATTATCTTAGGGTTACGGGTACAGTCAGAAAGTGTTTGAATGTTGATTTAATTATTGATTTTTCTTCATTGTCTAAACGGTAGTTGTTACTCCTGGGTCGCTTTTGAGATTATAGTTTCCTCATTGCATCTTCTGCTCTTAAAAGTTTTTGAAAAGAGTCCCCTTCCACCTGCTTTCTTTGGGATATTTAGCCTTGGAATCGTAGGTTTTAATTTTGTTTTTTACTTGGTGAGCCAGATTCCCATAACATCAACCTCTCCTTTCCAATCCTTGTAAATTGCACATTTTTCTCTCCCAAAAAAAGTGTCCACTCTGTCCAATAATGTTCTCCAAAGAAATAATTTTTATGAATATTCAAAAGCGGTGGCAATGCATTTTATGTCTCTTACCCCCGATTCCCTTTGAAACTGTGTCAATTTCTTTTTAAACATTGTTCTGTTGTTGACTATAGTTGCTATGAACTTGATGAATAGATGAAGCTATGAAATACACAATAATACATTAAAATAATTTCTATTTGGTATATTTGAACAAGCATCTCTATTATAACTGAACGGCTATGAGAGAGGGCCAGCAATTTTATGCTCTACTTCTCCCTTTGGTCATATCCTTGAAAATCTGTAATGTTTTAACATTTTAACCACCAAGATCGATTTTTTGTCGAATTTAAAAAAAAAAAATCTAAGAAATTGGTTAACTTCTTATCAGAAAAAAGCTAAAAAAAGCTCTTCTTGCATGATATTTACATTGTATTGTAAGTCCTGGTGATCAGTAGCAAATATGACGAGCTCATCAGCAAAAGCGAGGATTGTGTAAAGAAAATAAGCTGTAGGTTCCTATGTTCTAGTTAAAAAGGCCACAATGTGGGTTTAGCACTTTTTAGTATCTGATCCAGCCCCAATCCAAAAAATAGGAAACTTAGACTGTACCCCTGACATATGCCCTGATTCTTTGTCTCAAACTCCTTGGAGTTGTGGTTTCCAGTCCTTATAATATTTCTAGTCTTTCGATAGAGACTAATAATAGCCAAGATCGTGCCAATATCAATTTGTCTTTCCGACAGAGTTCGCTCTCTGTCAAATGTCTAGATGCCCGAAGCAGACTGGAAATTCTTTCGCTTTCTCGATGGACTTCTCTACGACCTGCATCAAAGTGAAAATCAGATCCTGTTTCCTCCTCGAGTTTCTGAATCTGTAATGCTCCTCTCCGATCTGGCAGTCGACCACTCTTCTTACTCTTGCTTCTACGATTCTTCAATAGAGCTTGCTTGGTACACTGAGCAGAAATATGCTTCGATGGTTGATACATTCTCAATTGCCTCCCTTCTTGTAGATTGCTACCACTACAGCGATCTCCCAGTCCTTCGGTCTCCTTTTCTTATACCATTTCAAATTTAAGATATGGAGAAACATTTCTTCACCTTTGCTGCCCATTTACTGCATCATTTCGGGAGTTGTATACTGCCCTCATAATAATTCTCTCTCCTATGGTCACATTGATTTCTTATTCTAATCCTTTGGTGTATGCATCCATGTCACAGCTTCCAATAATCACTCCATCCTGTTCCCTATTAACCCTACTTATTGGACAACATTCCTGCTGATATCTTTGTTCTGGAACCTTTGATTTATTCATTATTTCCCAGATACCTTCATATCAATCTATAATTAAACCTTAGGTGACTTTTCATCAGATCTTTGTCCACTTCTGTTTTTCATGCATTCTAATCCTGTAGCCAAACCCTCTCTTCCTTCACTAATTATAGGGCTAGTAAACTAGGATGATATTTGTTATAATCTAGAAAACTCAAACTAGACTTAAAATTTTCCTTAAAACAAAACAGCAGATTGACACTAGTATTAAGGTACTTACATCAATAGGAACATCCATCAACAGCTTCCTTTGGAAATTTATACTGTTCCTCACCTATGTATTCAATGCTACACTCATATCTATCTATTTTCTCTACACTTGAAAATTTTCAATAGTAAAAATGATACTTATACCCAACAAACCACCTGAATATCCTTCCTACCATCCAATCTCTCCTTTGTCTATTATGGGTTAAATCCTAGATAGTCATGTCATACTGAAACACCTATATCCTTTCCTTGATTTAAATCATGTATGCGTTAGCTATAAAACACCAGTTCGTGTTTCAAACATCATTCCACTGTTTAGCTGTGTCATTGTGTGTTGCAGATTACATCCACCTCATAAGAGCGCAGAATGTACTGTATTGGGTGCCTTTCTTGACTTCAAATGGGTCTTTGATTTTATCACCAGGGTTTGCTCTACAAATCCCACCTATTTCTCAGCCCACCAGTTTCCCATAGTGTAGTATCCTAGCCCTCATTTCTACTCTGTTAATACTGCAACTATTCCAACCCATTCTATGATGTGTTATACACATGACACATGTATGTTTTCTGTGAATAATGAACCGGCTGCTGCATTACAAACTCCAATCATAACTTACACCCAATGAAGATCGTTATCAAAGCTGAAGAATTAAAATAAATTCTATCTAATTACCTTTAACTTACATAAGAAATCCACTTCTTGTCCTACACTTTCCTTTAATGATAAACCATTATTCTGTGTCGAACAGTTCCGTTTCTTATGACTTCATGGCAAATGTCTTACCTTGAATCCTCACACAAGACTGAAATTCCAAAAAAACTGCAAGTTAATTACAGCTTTTATAACACTTGAAAAACATTTCAAATGCCCAGTTTACTAGAAAATATATTAAATTGCTAAATTACGAATAGCCTATTTACATTACCATTATCAGGCCTATTTAGATATAAGTAATTGAGGGGGCTCCACAAAATCATCCAATCTTTAACATCCAAAATCCTTCAAACAATCCTACATACTCCTTATTGTGTAACTCATAAAATTATCCATAAAGACTGCAGTATTCTATTTATTACATATTTGTGCCAAAATAGATACACCTTCAATTTCAATCTAAAACTTCTTACCCACACTAAAAGATTGGTGTTTTTTTTTTTTTTTTAATTTTGTAAAATATTGTAAATAACTTACAATAATCAAATTTTATATGTGCACTCAAGGTTTTTTTTTTTTTTTCAGGTATAAGAAGCATCACTAACTGTACAATTAAATGATAATAAGACAAAACACATCACTGATATCAGATTTGTTTAATATTTTTGTTTTTTGTTTTTTTAAATTCCAAAATATATATATATATACCTATGAAATTTCTTTATGAATTCCTCAAAGTCAATCATCTAATTGCCAAAGTTTAGTACAGAGTGTTATTACACTATATTGAATGTAGTTTATTGTAATATAAAATAAATTAATAAGTTGAAAGATAAATGATAGTGGAATATATTAATTCGGTTATCCTTATAAATGATGTTTTTATTTTGCATTTATTTTTAACTTCAAAAAAAGTTTTTCTCCATTCCACTTCTTTTTTATGCTCACTCATAACTTCATTATTCTTGTATAAGGTATTCAAAACAGTGTTCCTACAAGGTGGTCCTATATAAATTTCATCAGAGTTTGTAATTATTTCGATCAGGACCCAGGGATTACGGGAGGTTCACAATCACTATGGTCACACTTGTTCATGGAGTGCCCCGTGCACTTGCCAAATGCATACGGGTTTATCTGAAAGAGTAAGAATCTCACTGATCTCTTCAGTCAGTTGCTTATAACTTTCTCAGTAGAGATTGGCAAATTCATTCCTAAAACATATCAGTCCTTTTTATCATTTCTTTTTACGACCCATTCCTTTTCGTTCCTTTCATTAATCTTTGATATTTTAAAGCCTTTTTACATGGGAGGGGTGCCGTGACAGTTACAACAATGACACCTAGGAAATATTGAGGGGCTAAGGTTAGATTAACAATCTACATAAATTAGCCCAAATTATCAACTTATCATCTGTAATATAATATAATCATTACTTATATGGTTTATTCATTTCATGGATGTATAAAGCATATGTTTATAATCTTAAATACATTTACTGTAGGTTAATAATTCTAGATCTGATATTATATTTACATAATTAGGTATCAGTCCGTTTATTCCGAAATATTGTCATTAACCTTTTAGAAAATTAAATTAATGATTAGTTTGATGAAATTTCCATTTGAGATATTCCAACTGTAACCACTTACAATTAGTGTGACATCTTTTGACCTGTCAATGACAGACAATGCAAATCTCTTAATTCTGTTTTAGTAAACTTTGCAATGGAAAATAACAGTTTAATAACTAATAGTCATACAATCCATAATCAACGGATCATACAATCAATAATCAACCGATGATATAATAAATAAAACTTTTGTTATTTTAATGGTGTTTATGATTTGTTAGCTGTAATTTTTTAGCTTTAGTTCAGTTAAAAATACAATTCAAAAATTTTATAATAGTCCAACATGGCCAGAAAATAATATCTAATAAAGCGCACACCAGATTTTTTAATATACTTAGGTTTATTATTTGGTAATTTGTCATTCTCTTTGTTAGCTATTGAATATGATATATTATTAATTTTATTCCATAATTTATTAATTCTTTTTTGGGGACATGAATTTACTTTCAAATTATATATATATATATATATATGTATAATTAATTATACATGAATTATAATTGATCTATTTTTCTAGAAATTAATTTTTCATTTTTAGTAATTAAGGAGATTGAAGTAGAAATCAAGTATTCTATTACTTAAGCCTTAATAAACAGAGATTGTAAGTTTAAAAGTAGGTGATTTTCAATCAAAATGGAATCAAATAAAAGAAGAAAGCCTCATTTACTGGTGACAGTTTTCTTTCTGTCATTTACTCCCAACAGTGTGGTACTGAGGAAATGTCCTTTTTTAATTTCACTTAACTACAAATGAAAGATATATTAAGGGACAGTACTGCGATCATGAAAATTTTCGAACCTGATTTTTCAACGGAAATACATGTTTTGAGGTCTCCAGAGTCTGAATAACCCAGTCCCGCAAAATGATCCGTGTGTGCGTGTGTCTGTATGTATGTGACAGATCTCGCTGAAAAATGAAAAGTCGTATGAAAGTGAAATTGCATAATTAAGGTTTGTATATACCTGAGATGTTACAGCAACTTTTTCGTCATAATCGGCAGACCGGAAGTGGCACTTTATATCATCGATGAAACACATTTTTACTATTTTCTTAAAAACGGCTTCAACGATTTTTACACTCACTTCCCCTTTGTCTGAAAATATTTATTTCTCATAAGAAAAGGGTGGTCAGTGAAAGTTGTGTGACGCCCGCACCACACCAGATTTTAAGATTTGGTTTATTTTCAATTTTTGGAAGCAATTCTGAAGTATGACAAATATCTTAGCTTAGCACTAGTAAATCACCATAAAAGCCAAACTATATTTTTGTTGATAAATAGGTTAGATCCAGTGTGACATGTTACAGGTTCTGTCAACTATCTAGTCAAGCCCTGTAGTACAACACTACTACTGTTGCTTTAGATACTGCCATAAATATGATTATTATACAGTTTTACAGCATAGCAGTCTTCAAATTTCACTGCTTTTCCAATATTTCTCTTATTTACTTAGACAATAACTTCCAAAAGACTAGGGGGGAACCCTTTCTATCTTTCTTTGTGCATAGAGAATAATTCATTCAATATTAAAATTTCTTATTTATTTATGATATAGTTCAACTTATGCACAAAATAAAGGAAATAAAAATTATTTTTTTAATTAGTAATATGAGTTTTACTAAACAACCCGGTAACTATTCATTATATATAGTTCAGATTAGGTATATATTATTTTATTTTATAAAACAGGTATTAATATGACTCATTTCCTGGGAAGTATATAAAAATTTTAATTACTTCTAAGAATCAGTAAATATACAAAACACAGTGTTAAATTGCAACGCTAAATAGAAACATTGGCTTTTTTTAAATAAATAGTTACAAGGAACACAACGATATGCAATTTATAGGGATGTGGGGGGTGCACGGTAAGGGGGTCTGGCCCACAGACTATTAGATGTGACAGCAACTTTTTCTTGAAATCGACTAACCCGTAGTGCCACTTTATATCAACGCTGAAACACATTTTTACAATTTTCTCAAAAACGGCTCGTAATGATTTTGATTAAACTCTGTGTTATCATTGTATAACCAAGTGGTATTTAATATCAATCAGGTCTTATCCCCATTGATGTCACTTTACAGGGCTTAAATGCCCAATGTTCATATATATATCTTACTCTAAAGTAACTTTAATATGGTTGATTTTAAATAATTAATCATCTCACATTATTTAGAGTTACGAAAAAATGCTAAATGTAACTTTTTGAAAAAATAATAAAAATGCTTATTCAGGTCGAAAATGAATCTTCGGAAAGTAAGAAGGTACTCCTATAATATATCGATGGAAAACGGAGAATTTTAGAAAAAAAACAAACAATATAATAGAAAGTTATAGAAGGTAACAGAGAGTGGCGAAAAAATGATAAATAATAATTTTTGAAAACTAATATTATTTAACGTTAATCACATATTTTCTAGGAAATTTAATTAAATTTACTAATTAAATGTAAACTTTTAAAATATTTTTAAGTTGGAAAATTGTATTTAAAATTCACCTAATCAAGGCAATACCATTGTTTAAAAAACTATTTCATTGTATTTGTGTGAAAGAAGAAGTGAAATATAAAATCATTCCATGGATGTATAAAGCATATGTTTATAACCTTAAATACATTTACTGTAGTTTAATGATTAAAATGAATATCCGAAAATAATAGTAAGAAGGTATACGTATAATATATCGTTGGAAAGCTGAGAATTAAAATAAACAAGACAATATCTAATATGGAAAATTCTAGCAAGTAACGGAGAGTTACAAAAAAAAATATAAATAATAATTTCTAAAAACTAACATTATTTAACGTAAATCACATGTTTTCAAGGAAATAAATGAAATTTTCTTACTAAATGTATACTTTCAACAATTTTTATTTTAGTTCCAAAAAGTATTTAAAATCCAAGGATTCAAGGCAATGGCACTGTTTAAGATACTATTTCATTGTACTTGTGTGAAAGAAGAAGCGAAATATAAAAATATTTCATGGACATGTTTATAACCTTAAATATATTTACTATAGTTTAATAACTCTAGATATTCCGAAAAATCATCATGTAACCTTTTAGAAAATTAAATTAGTTTATAATTTGATGAATTTTCCATTTGTGATATTTTAACAGTATCCACTTACAATTAATGTGACAACTTCTGACCTGTATATGACAGACAATGCAAAGCTCTTAATTCCATTTTAGCCAATTTTGCAATGGAAAATAATTGTTTAGTAACTAATAGTCCTACAATCTATAATAATTTATAGGTTAAATATTCAGATCTATTTTCAAATCTCTCTAGGCATACATGAGCCTTTCGGTTGACAGAATGACTAACTTCAATTTCAACATTCTTTATTATTAATTTTAATGAAATTTCTAGTGGCGAAACTTATACTTTCACAGTATTGTTTCAACACTGCAATCACCTACTCTGGAGTCAAGTTACTCTCTGTTTGTATAGATATAACTTTTCTGACTAGAAATATCACTAAAATGGCATTACTCAAAAATGTTGAAATTGGAGTTATGTGATAAAATAAACTGAAGTTATGTGGTTTATAAATCTAGATTTTTATTGCCTACCATCGATATAATAAATAGACTTTTTGTAATTTTAATGGTCTTAATTATTTGTTATCTGTAAGCTTTAAGCTTAAGTTCCGTTTCTAAAATAATTTCTATTCAAAAGTAGAGGGGTAACTGAAAGTTGTGTGTTGCGAGCACCAGATTTTTTTCCAAAGTTTGCACGTGTTGTGTAGCATCGGTAGGTGATTTTGTGAAGTATGTGATACATACTTAAGTAGCATCTATGTGTCATGTAATAATGGTAGTGGCTGTCAAAGTGTCAATGGTAACAGGTATGTCATGTTTGTATATTATATTAATCAGTGGTGTAACTGATTCTTCAGACACTCTCGCCATCATTGTCTCATATAGAGGTCTCAAAACTACGACTCGCCAGCACTTCCGATTAGCAACCTAGAATAAAATACTATGAAAATTACAGGCTAAATCTGAAACGAAATTGATATTAAAATTATTTATTTCAACGTCATTCACTGTAAATAATATAGAAATACATTACACACAAAAAAAAAGATAAGATTTATATTTATTTAGAGAAACAAAACAACATTGTAGCACAATTTTATTAGTAGAACTCGCAAATATTTCTTTCAATAACACCGCTTTTAAAACTGTTTCTATTGTCTAATTTTGGTGTGAGAAACTATAATTTTCTGTAGGAATCCTTATATTAGCTACCGTTCTGCAAATAGGTATACCTAGTACCGAATTAAGTTATTGGAAATTAAACGATCAATTTTTAGGCTTTAAAAGCGCTTTATTATTTGTGAAATACTTTTACAGCCCACATAATTAAATTACAACTTTTCTCGGCACGAACAGCGCTGTTGTACAGTTAATTTAGAATTTATCTTCTTCACAACATTTTAAAAGTAGTCTGCGAGTATTGAAGTATCCCACGGACCTTAATATCTTCGTTCCATTGCTTCAACCTTGAACCCAAAAGTTCTGCTTTCTCTTTGGGCAGATCCAGATCCCGAATCAAGTCACCGAGTTCAGCTAAAATAACTAAGTGGGGTTTTGGTTCATCTTGTTCAAAAGAAAAAATAGAATCATCTGATGGGATTTTCCTCTTCGTTATCCTCGTCCTCATTCAAGTCAGTGTTCAGGAATTCGTCCCCGCGTGATATTGGCCGTATAACATAAGAAAGGTCAGGGGACTTCATTTCAAATTTCTTTTTCGACATTCCATGATGAAGAGGAGGGGTCATGCTAAAGTAGCAGTTGAATGTGATTAGTAGGCTCCTTCCACACCATGGGAACAGCAAAACGCATTGAACGACCATTGTTGTTCAAACATTCTCTTAAGGTTATGGTCCATGTGATGCAGCAGATGTGGGGGGCCCCACGTTTATCTTGGTCACCAACTTTCACCCCTTAATATTTGTGGTATGCGGTGTTGGTCACCGAGGTGATAAGACGTTTTTTACTTGCAAAGGTTACTTCCCCATAATTGTAACAAAAGTTGTCAAAAGCATTTACACACTTCCTGGGCATTGAAACTTCACCTAGGCGTTTCCCGCGCTTCACAGACAAATCAATCCTACCAACCCAGAAGCAGGAAATTTCAACGTATTACGCAAAAAGTAACTATATCTTTGAAATTAGATTTTTATGTGGAAATCCGAATTTCTCACACCACAAAACATGGAATGGGCCAGTTTTCAAGTGAGATACAATATCAATGTAATATAAAGATGTGATAAGGATTAAAAGCACTTTCAGGATTTGTAGCCGAAATTTCTTTAAATAAAAAATTATCAGTATAATTTAAAAAATAATTTTTTTTCCTCCTCTTAATTGTAATAGTCAACTACTTTCCCATCTCTAAAATTATATTATAATGAGTATTTCTTTTTTGTTTTTGTTTAGTAACTTGTCATAGAAAATCTATTGTTATAAATATTTCTTGCATTTTTCATAACATAACTATTAATGGAATCTTATAGAAAAAATATTACCATAAGTAGGCATATATGAGAAAATATATTTTATTCCTATAACCCATCATGGATCTGGTCTCATTTATATAGAGGTCTAACAAAGCGCTCCCAAACTTGGGTTTGCCATTTCAATGAAATGGATCATTTTTTTTATTAAATATGATCAAAAATATATCGCAAAAAAATTGATATTTTATTCCTTAGAAAAGAAAATGTATAAATTGAAGAAAAGCTAGTAAAGGCTTTCTTTTAACAACAGATATTTATAAGAATAAAATTGTTAAACACCCAACGAATATGACACCAATTAAGAAAACCTGAGAGCAAAGAAAAAAAACTTGAGAAAAAAATCTTTACTTAGGATTACTTATGACCAAGGCCTGGATTTTTATGTAGAAAAAAACCCTGAAATATGCAGTAAAACAAACATGAAAAATGCAGTAACTGGTATCTGAATATACTAAACTTAATAATTACTTGATTACTAATATGCCAATAACGTATTTAAATATAATGACGTGCCTACAAAAAGTTTTGAAACTAAATGAAATTATGGAGGGGTTGAAAATTTCACTAATTTTAGTTCTTTTTTTTTAAACATCTATACTAAAGAATGAAAATAACTAAAAATATATGGTTAATAAGGTTATAATATACATAAATACATTAAAATTGTAACAAAAACACAACACAAATCACATAAAAAAATTTAAATATCAAAATATAACTAAGTATATACAAACGAAAAAAAACAATTGTATTAACTATAATTAAAGAAGCATAGTAATAAAAGATAACAAATATGAAAAAGTATGTAAATGCTTCAAAATTTTGTATGTAAATGGATAAAAATATAAAATGAGTCTTTGTTTAAACAATAACATAATTAACAACTTGCAGAATAAATAATGTAAATTAGATAAAACATTTGAATTAGTCTGATTTGCAGATATGTTCTGTATTAAAATTAATTTCCAGAAGCATTTGTAAATTTGCTTCATTGAAACCAAACATTCTATAAAATATTTTTATAATTAGAAAAAGATCTTTCTACATCAACAGGCGTGACAGGGGCAAATTTCTGTCCATTTAAAATTACTAGATTATCAATGTCGCTGGGAACAATTGAATCACCGCTATTTAAAATTGTATTAATACCGTCCAGAATTGTGAGACCTGAATTTTTTATAGAAATGTCTTCCATTTTTCATTTTTTAAGTTTTATCCACTTGGCCTGGTACCACTGGTTTTCCATCAGTTGTAAAAACTATTTCATATCTGTTGTTTTAAGGTTCCATCCAAGGTTGTAACATTGATGAAAATGATGAAGATTTTGGTATTTTAATAAACAGAAATATGATCTCTTGCTAAGAACGTAGGCAACTAACTAAAATACAAACTTTTTATGATGTTTTCATGGGACAAGAAGGGAAATGGATTTCCAGGAATTGGAGAACATCTATAAAGAGAATTATTAAAGGGTATACATTCTAAAAATGTGGTAAATTTTGTTCATTGAAAATAAATCTACGAATGTAATCTTGAATTGCCTATTCAATATTGCATTTTAATTTGTATTTATAAATAAATAAATATTCATTTACACAAATGTATTTTGTTTATTTCATTAAATTAATCAAAATAAAATATGCAATTGCATAAAAATCCGAGCCCTTGCTTATGAAATAAAAATGCCATATTTACAAAAATTCATATAAAGAACTTTTTTTTTATTTTAAATAGTTTACTATTTTATATTTGTTTGAAATACTTGAAAAAGATCATGGTATTTTGCAGCTATGAAAAAAAAAAATACATCAACTTGTTAAATTACATTTATTTGCTAGAGAATAAACAAAATAGAAAATTAACCTTTCTCTAAATTTTTAAATTTATTAATATTAATAAATTAATAAGTTATTATATGTTAAGTATTAATTTCAAGGTAAATAATAATCTCAGAGCTTGATCCTTCCCCACCATTTTCCATCTGAATGAGCGAACCTGGTAGTTTTATAGACCTTAGTATTACAGTACCATCAGGAGCTGTGTTGTCTGGATAGTCTGTTCTGAATGTTTTATAGCTTGCAATTGGATACTGGTTTACAGTTGGTTTCCCAACTAAATCACTCTAATAATCCAATATTAATTAATTTATGTTATTCAGATGATCAATGAATATTAGTTCAATACTCATTTTCATTGAAAGTTTATTATCTAAGTTTTGTGAAGGAATATTAATTTTAATTCATTTTCTTTTTTTTAACCAATGATTCATTTATCAACTTAATTCAAACCCAAATGTTAACCTCCCACGAAACTGAACTAGAAACAAAAAATTAATAGATTAGGGTTACTTATCTATTTTAAAAGTATATTTTAAACAAGAGATAAATTATTATTTTCAAATTAAACATTTTATCATTACATGCAATCTCCAGAAGTTAGAAATACAAATTTAAAAGAAATAGTTAAATGACAATTTATTTGTAATATATTTATTTAATATGAATTTCCTGTACATCTTTGATGTTAAATATATTTCTGTGCATTAAGGTTAATGCAGAACTTTATAATTAAATATATCATACAACAGATTGGGTTTCCCCTTACAATAAAGAAGTATTTATATTTGAACAGTGATCACAAAATAGACTTTAAAATTATAAAACTAAATACAGAATTAATTGAATAAAATTTATAATTTTTTAGGATATATATATATATATATATATATATATATATATATATATATATATACATATATATATACATATATGTATATATTTAACTTAATTATCCAATATACAATTCAGTAATCAATTTACATTAAGAAACTCTTGGCCCTTGTTAATGCTTAATTAGGGAAAGTGGTCAAATAAAATGTGTGTGTTCACATGTTAACACAATTTTATAGAACAGTTGTCCATACAAACACACAGCCTTATACACAGAAAAGTGGTAGTATACATACAAATATTTAACAAATATATAAACTTGTGTTTCCATAAATACCCAAACAAGCTTTTTAAAAGTGACAATTAAAAAAGAAAAAAAAAAAAAAAAAAGAGAGAAGCATAAATAATAATTAAATTAAAAAAAATAATAAAAATATGACAAGCATAAATAATAATTGAATGTAAGGTACAAAATTATATTATTTATAATAATATAATAATTTTAACTGTTAAGATTTATACACTCACTATATCAAATTCAGTAGTCTAAAAAAAAAAATATATATAGATATATATTTAACTATTCAATAGTTCTCTAAAATGAAATGTAGTAAAAAGGGGTAGAAATAAAGGGGTATAAAAAAATGTCACAAAATTTTGTTCAGTAATGAATAAAAGATATTACGATTATAACTTTTTCCAGCACAAAAATGCAGAAATGGACAATTTTGATCTAATAACTTATTTCTTTCTGTAGTCAAAATGTAATTGATATACATTGTTGTATGTGTGTCAGTATACATAGCCACACATATACACATGTATACTTTTCCTATATATAACTTAAGATTTAATAAATGTATGTATATACAAAAAAGACAACTTTTACAAACTTAACACAGAAGGGGATTTTATATTTTAAAAGCAAGGATATCATAAACTGTTATATAGATAAATATAAATATACATATATGTATTTTCAATACTATACATATACATATACACATATATTTAACTAATTCTATAATATTTGTACCCCCATACATATACTTTTAGTGCCCAAAAACCACAACTTGAGTCCATTGGCACCAGTGCCTTCTTGTGATTATGCACTCACTTACACCTCTAGTATTGTCCACCTTAAGAAAAATAAAATAAATACACATCTAAGTTTCTTTAAAAATCTGGAAAAAAATCACTGTAAATAAATACAAAATCTTAATGCTTAAAGATGGTAAAAACAACATTAAGTTAAATGTAATTACATATATAAATATATATATATATATATATATAAAATGCAATAAACGATGCATGATGTAAAAGATAATCAAAACATTGAGACCTCAATGTTTAGAAGAATCGAAACCCAAACATTGATTTTAGCAATAAGGTCTAAAAGTATTAATGTCTGCCATTCCTACTCATTCATGACTCATATACTATTAAATTCATGACTCATATACTCTTAATTTACATTATATCAAGGCAAATAATTCACTCACTACAACAATAATTTTTAATTTATCTTTTTTTTTTTTTTTTTTACTTTTTTAAAATAGTGTATTTAAATTAAATATATGAATTTTTTTAATACATTTCTATTAATATATTTGCCCATATTATAAAATTGTAATGCATATGATAATTTTATTTATTTAGTGTTTTAGAGCTTTCTGATCATAAGAGAATTTTATAAATGGAATTTTTAGTCAGATAATGTATATTCTTGCCAACTTCCATGTTTTAAAACAAAATATCACGTTTCAACTTATAAGATGAATTCAGAATGGCCAAACAGCAACAGCCAAAAAGGATAAGAAACGTGTGGAGAAAAAACATTATAGAAATAGAAAATCAACTTTATTCTGGGACAAAGTCCCTTAAGAATAACAATATTGTTCATATAAATTAATGTTAAATCTGGACAAAAGAACCATTACAGTAAAGAATAATTTAAACATAACTAATATGATAAGTATATACCTAGTCCTGTCATAAATATTGTTACAAGGAAATATATACAAATTTTAACAGAAAAATTAATTTTTTCAAAAACTTTATTAGAAAATAAAATGTATATCTATAGAGAGTAAAATAAAAAATAAATTACTCAAAATGTCTCCCTTTTGCTTTGACACAGGCATTTAATCTCCATGGCCAGTCATCAACAGCAAATCACTGTAGTAATGAAAAAAGAACAGAAAAGAAACTAACTAGAGTAAATAACAGATTTACATCTGATTCTTAAGATGTGGAAATGAATACTAAATGGTAATGTAAACATTTAGAAAATTATTGTACCTACATACTGAGACGTAGATTGAGAGGAGAAAAAAATAAATAAATATATATATATATACACATACATAGAAGTGTGTCCAAGATTGGTAACAAGTGAAATACATCTCAAAGAAATGTAATCTTAAGAATAGGAAAAATAAAAAATCAAACAAAAAAAGGAATACCTATTCACAATCAATGTTCTGTGAGAAGTGATTGTTGGGAAGAGGGGTGTATTTATGACTTGAATTGAAAGAGATTGTATCATTATTGATTATTTAGAAAAGGAATGCGTCCAGGAAGTATTGTCTTCTGAAGGAAGGGAAGAGACACCCTAACACAGTGTAATAGTAAGAAACTTGAGACCGTCTCGGGGTCCTGTTGACTAATCTTACAAAATCATTTATAATTCTTTTCAGTCTGCCTCTCAGTTCCGCCAAGAGGCAACCATATACCACGCAGCCGTAGTCAAGGTAAGGGAAGATACCACGAGTCTACGTTTGGGCAGGAGTAGGAGATGATGGAAGTAATGGAATACTTTCAGGGTACCAATTGACCGCTGGGAGTGTTGGCAATATGGTGATTCCAGGACAGTGTTTGGCCAATGAAAATGATTATGTTTTACACTAAGGAGTTGACGGTGATGGGATGGTCATTTAGATACAATATAGGAAAGTTGGAATTGGATTTGAGAAGGGGTTTGGAACCAATGACAATGGCTTGTGTTTTAGCAGTGTTTAACTATAATCAATTTAGGATTTCTCAGGCACTGACCCGAATTAGATCTTGAATTAGTGCAAAACACATTATACAACTCAGAGGGAGAGGACAGGTAAATTTGGGAATCATTGGCATAGAGGTGATGTAGGAAGGAGATGTAGTTAGTGATTATACATACATATACAGTAAAATTTATTACTGAATCAGGGTCATCTTTAAAAGTGTATGCCATTCAGTCCATTATTTCAAGAATATTCCTAGGATCTGCGGGGATGCAATCCAGTCATCTTGTTTTGGGTCGCCCCATTTTTCTACCTTGGTAGTTTCCAGGGCTAATTTTTTTTGGCACTTTCATCTATTCAGGGGAGGTGTCCCACCCATTGAGCCTCCTCACATTGATCCATCTAGCAAAATCTCAGTTCTTGAAGATGGTCTTAGATCTACCAACTCTTTCTTTTTCTGCAGGCACTACCTTTTCTTTTACACATTTCGTCCATTACTATTTTGTTTGTTAAAGAGTTCCCTGAAGTGCCACTTTCATCGATTTAGGATAGCATTCTTCTAGTTAAGAATATAAAATCATCTCCTTAATAAGATTTTATTGTCGATTTAAAGGCAGCTCTCTCTTCATTTACTTGCTGAAAGAACAAGCGTGTATCATTAGATGCTTTAAGATGTTCTACATCTTCCAGCTTCTTGCTTTTGATGGATCCTCTTCTTGAAAAATGTGCTGCCAATTAACGGTAATGAGGTAATGTAATATGAATACAATGACCCACATCGCATCAGTACAACTCCTCTCATAGTGTCAGTTTATGTGAAGTATATCAATAAGAAATTATGCCAAGAGTGAGGTGTGTGTTGCTATAGTGTTTCTTCTCGTGGAACGAAGAACTTTGACTGAAACGTTTGCATAGATCAAAACTATTTATGATGAAGGAGCTATGAACCAAACAAATGTGTTGAAGTGGTTTCGTGAGTTTAATGAAGGAAGAGTGAATATTTGTGCCAAAATAATCATGGCATCCATGTTTTGGAACAGAGATGATTACTACAGCATAATACTTGAGATCCTACAAAAACTCAAGAGAGCAATTCAAAACATGGTGGGGAAGGTAGATGAAGGGAGTGTCTTGTTGCACAAAAATGTCCGCCAATGCATGGCCAATGCCATTAAGGCACTTTTGAACTCGTTTGGTTGGGACATGTTGAACTGCCCTGCATACGTAAGGTTTTTTTCTTTTTTTTTTAAATTGTAGTTACATTACATAATAGACCTCAGATCCTTCATAATAACCGAACTAATTAGAACTCGGCCCTCAGATAAATAATTTTAAAATAAGCATTTCAGATTAAAAAAATGTCAGCCAAGTAAGGTCAGTATAGATTCCTCACTGTTTTCATTGGCCAAAATATTAAAATATTACAAGGTATACAATTTTTCGTATGAGAATAAAATCTTTGGGAGAAGCCAATTCGGAAATACAGTTACCTTCAACATTCTCAGGTTAGATATCCACGAATTTCGTTTATCAGCTAATATTAAAATGCGAAAAAGTGTCGTATTAGAAGATTAGATTACATATTTGATTATCCTTAATTTAAAAAAAAAAAAAATGCATACTGAACATGCATTTCACTACTGTTAGTGCAAAAGGTCGTATGTAAAAATTGATTGTTTTGCAACAGTGCATAAAAACTCATTATTTCTTTATGCTTAATTAGTATAATTTCATATTTTATTGTGATCTGCTATTTTCCATAGTAGTAGACTACTTATATCAGTTGCATTGCAGACAACAAAATGTCACCTTTCGCACAAATAGAATAAAGGTTGAAAATTTTTACATACGACCTTTTGCACTAATAGTAGTGATATATACTTCGTAGGTATATTTTCACTAATATAATGGATGAAACTAGAAAATCCATAGAAAAAATTCAACTTATTGTTTGTTCGGAGTTATCGAGACCAATACTTTTCTTCAATCAGAACAAAATGCTTTTAGCTAGAAAACATAAAAATATGGTCGAAGTGCACATAACTTCGATATTTAAGGAGAAAATCGAGACCGAGACGAACTGGTTGAACCTCAATGGAAAAAAACACTATCACAAATAAGACTTTTTTTGTTTTTGTTTTTTTTAACAAACTCTGAGTGTAAATTACTTTAAATGTATTGAAAATTACACAAAATCTAAGTAATGCCAGTAAGTATCATTCCAGTAACGTTTGGAATCGGCCAAACAATACAGTACCAATAAATTTTTTTAATAAAAAACAATACAGTACCAATAAATTTTTTTAATAAAACCTTAAGTTTTATAATCCCATAACAATATTGTAATAACCTAACTCCCACTCCATATGATATGAACTTCCACTGCCTTCAAAATTTCGCAGCCATTATATTGTTAACAATTATTAATATTAATTTTAATTATTAAATGGAATTCAATGAAATTGATACTAAGTAATTTCTATATTGTTCTCCGAATTCCCTCCAAGTTTGGGGTCAAATTGAATGCGCCGTTTTCAAACTATTGGCATATCAAATAACACATTTCCTGATCTGAAAACGGAAGTATTTTTTTTTTGGAGTAGTAGATATAATTTGATAAAATTGAAGCCAATTTCATTTTACGTCTACCAGTCCCTAAATTCCCTCAAAATTTGAGCCAAATCAAACTTGCAGTTATAGAGATATAGACATAGCAAGGAAAACACATTTGCGCATATATAAGAGAAAGCAAACGGCAGAATTCAATAAAATTGACCCTATATTATTTTTCCACAAATACCTACCTTTTATCCAATTTTGAGCCAAATCCATTTCTGAAATATTGGCATATCTACAAAAATGAGTTTGCGCTTGCGTAAACGGAAGTGCTGCTTATAATTTAATAAAATTGATATGGGACTATCTAGACACCAACCAGCACAATTTCTGAAAATTTCATAAAAATTGGATGAATGGTAGTAGATAATATGCCCATTACACCAATTTGACTACAGACATCGAACCATATTTGATCCTTGATGCCTGAAACATAAAACACGAGTGGAAATTTTCGATTCTAAGCACACAATTTTTTTTTACCTCTTGCATGAATACTTTCGGTAGTGAGAAAGCATTTATTTTTAATAATTAATTTTTATTTTATTTTATGTCTTGAGCTCTTTCAGCTACTAATAATTAATAGTAGTTTTCATTTCAAAAATTATATTTGTCACCCAAACATAGGGAAAGCAGGGAGATCTTGATAAGTATGTCATTAACAGTTATTATTTTAATGTATATAATTCTAACAGTAAATAGCTTTTCTGTATAATGGATAGAAATGATGTTTGTAATTTAGACATAAACAAGAAAGATATTGTACAAATATACAGAGTCAGATTTTCTATAATTCAAAAATGGGTCCGATAGACACCATGTGGTAGATTCAAAAAATGCTTCTATTGTTTCTAATGGCGCACTATTGTTTCATGTAAGATGAATTACAAATGTGCTATTCTTGGCTTTGCTAAGTAGAATTTCAAGCAAAAATAATCAATAAATACAACTAAATTTAAAAAGATTAACAGAAAATAATAAACAAAAAATTAGAAGATGACAACAAAATGAATAAAAATTAAAAAAATTAGCTGAAAAAGTGCTTTGTTTTTATGTTTTGATGAAGGCTTTAATAATTAATATGACTGTTAAACATGGTGGCGTTATATAACAGACAGTTGAGCATGGACTGCTGTAAAGTACTGAGTTGAGTTTTAGATACTATCAACAACATTGCCACTGCTCAATCACCAATTTAAAAACTCAACAGTTTTCACGCAAATAAGAAATACACACAATTCAATCTGAGAATATAACTTGACCACAACGGATTGTGGATGTTTGGCATTTGTTCTAACGCCGAAAAGTTCTTTACATCTGTGTAGAAAATTCTAGACATACAAAATTAATCAATATTGATACAAATGAGTAGCTCCATATCAAAGAGACATCTGTTATTTCCAGAAAAGTCAATATTTGTTTTTGATGATTTTATTTAAGAATTCTCAAGTTGCATCATAAAAAATAATCTTAAGAATTGGTCTAAAATGAAGCTATGTTACAAAAATTTGTCTTTTCTCAAATTTTTAAAAATAGCAGATGTTTGCCTTTGATATGAGGCCACTCAAATATAACACTATTTGCTTTAAGCTCTCAATAACTGAACATGACATATACTTAGTAGAAATAATTACCATGTTGGAGCCTTAAATGCAGATGAAGTAAAATTATGGTGGTTCACTTGCAGCATGAAGTCGATGTTTTTGCTGTTGTATCCGACTCTACAAGCCTTCTGCCTTGCCCACTTCCACTTCCACCAATCGTTTCACTTTTAGGAAGCTTCTTGGCTAGTAGGAATAGAAACAAAATATGAATATATAATCTGAAATTCATTTCAACAAAGATAAAAAAAACTATTTTAACAAATGTTAAGTCTTAAATTTTACAAAACAAATGCATAAAGTAAATTATTTCATTTACAATTACTTGCACTTAGCTTTGAAAAAAAATCTGGTGTGCGCATCACATAACTTTCACTTACAGCTCTACTATGAATAGAAATTATTTTCTGGAAATGTTGGGCTATTAAAAAGTTTTTGAAGTGCATTTTTAACGGAGCTAAACCTTCAACTAAGAGTTAACCTGTAACAACTCATTAAGGCCATTAATATAACACAAATCTTATTTATTATATCGACGCTAGGCAATAAAAACCTCATTACTGTTTTTGTAAACCACATAACTCTAGTCTTTACGCTACATATGCCTAGAGAGATTTGAAAATATATCTGTATATTTAATCAATAAATGATTATGGATTGTACTGCTATTAGTTGTTAATAGAGACCGGATTTTTGTGCAGTAAAAAACCAAAAAACATGCAATTTAAAACTTAAAATAAGCAAAATCGTGCAGTAAAAACCCAAAAAGTGTAAAATTATATACATAATATGCAATTGAATAGTTTTTGCTTAATTTACAATATTCGTGCTTATTTTCTCTAGTGTTAAGAATTATAGTATCTAAATTAAAAATACATAGGTATAACGTGTTGTAATGTAAACTAAATACAATTCTAATTTAAAATGAACGATGATTAACTTAATTCTGTATGAAAGAAAAGCAACTCCAAAATATTATTCATATGTTGTTAAAAATTGTGAATTTTGTAATTGAGGCTTGATTTTACAGGTGTAAACCAATTTAAATGTTTTAAAAAGTGGATTTTGAGTTGAGTTCCTTAAATTTTATTAAAATCCAAAGTTCCTTGAGAAACCCGGCTACGTTTTGTCAAAGAACATACGTCTAAACAGCAATAAAACGTTTGTTTACAAATAGTTTAGTACTTGTTTGTTTGAAAACTGGTAAATAAGTATACACGTTTTGGAACGGTAATCGTATGTTTTGGATCCGCGAATAATAGAACTAAGAGGATAAAGGCTTTGTAAATGACTTTTATACTCTTGAATTAACTTAAATTATTAAATATACTACTACAAATCATACTATTATTTATACAATAAAATGTGTGCACTTGGATAGCAATTTTGTTGCCTATATCAAACAACTCGAGTCTGAAATATCTTTTCATTTCCAAAAGATAACTTGAAATGTTTTGAATAAAAAAATTAAGAACAAAAATTTAAAAACTATGTCTAGTCTTATGCATAGTCTTCAATATTCCGAATTGGGACATACCGTCCATGGGTTGGACACCCGGGTTCTCAACTACAAATCTAATATAATTATTAAAACAAGTAAATAAATATTTACAAACATACCTAATTACATGCTGTAAAATAAATTTAGTTCAAGTATTTTAAATTACACTAGTAGGCCCATGCCAAAATTCGCACACTATGTTGTCCAGTGATCAAATAATAAATAATAAAAAAATTAAATAATGCAATGTAACATAAAAGAAATCAATTGTTACTTTCTCACTAAATATAACTGACAAAGAAAACAAAAATTAATTTAAAATTCTTTAATGTATGGAACCAACGTGTTTACAAATTTCAATAAGCTATATTTTTTCTAATAAATGTCCAATTTTGATGATTTTTTTTTTTCCTTTTGTAAAGAATTTAGAAATCTTTTATATAATCATAGATATGACAATGAGAAAAGTGTGTAATTTTTGAGTTATTCGCAAATAAAGTTTCTTTTCTTTATAACTTTTTTGCCTGAATTTTGTGGGTGATTGGACTATTTTTCCCACCTGAAGGAGAAGGAAAGTTCAAAATTAGTGACTCAATCTTGTGGATTTGATGAAGAATTAAGGATGATATGGCTTATCGGCAAAAAAAACACCTTTGATAAAAAATATAAACTCCTCCTCTCTCGATCATAGGGACAAGTCGGTGAAATGAGACACTTATTCCATGACAGTACTACAATTAACATAAGGTTGTGTGGATACGAACCCTTTGCCTTGCATTATCTTTAAATAGTACGTTTTTGGGCTTAAAGACATAAGTTCCAAAGGAACTATTCGGGTCTTGGTGTACACATCAAAATCTTCAAGCCACCAATTTGTCCCGTATCGATCTACAGACACCACCATTCCAGTATTTTCTAACAAAATGTTTATATGGACTTTATTTATTTTAGAAAGAAAAGCAGAAGCGAAGAGTACGATTCTCTAACTCCCCATAAAATTCTGAATCCAATGGTACTTGAGGGTGATATTTGATAAGGTGGCATGGTATTTGAGCATGACAGGAGCTTATATTTGGTACAAAACCGATTTTGAGCCTTACTATAATAATATATGTGGGGATTATTTATTAAAATTGAAATTTAGCTTTTAAATTACAAAATATGCAATATCATGCATCAAAAATAAAAAAACGTGCAATTTAACCCAAAAAGCCAAAACAGAATTTCAATATGTAATTCTATCAATCTTGAAATGAATTAAATGTTTGAAGTTTAACATCTAAGCAAACAAAATGTGCAATAACACGAAAATTCGGTCTCTAGTTATTAAACTCTTATTTTTCCATAGTAAAGTTTATTAAAATGAAGTTATCTATCATAGACAGGTCAAAAGTTATTACACTAATTTTAAGTGGATAATGTCATTTGACAGAGAGAAAATTCATCAGATTATTCACTAATTTAATTTTATAAAATATTACACATGATTTTGTTGAATATATCTAATTATTTAAATATAATATCGGATTTAGAGTTATTAAACTACATTAAGGTTATGAAAATATGTTTTATACATCCATGAAATATTTTTATAATTCACTTCTTTTTTCACACTAGTATAATGATATATTTTTTTAAACAATGTCATTGCCTTGATTTGGTGGATTTTATATACATTTTTATTATTATTATTATATAGGCGTTCTAACGAGGGTTGCCTTTCAAGTCAGGACTGAGCTCCGGAGGTCGCGGTCAAGTCAAGTTTCCTCCTGATGACCCCGGCCAGTCATCTCCTCTTCCACTTCATGTAACTATCTTTTTCTGGGTCATCCTCGCCTCTGTAATCCCAGCGGTTGCCAATCTAGGATTCGGTAGATATTCATTTTACATGACAGTCTTCGCCGTCCAATTCACTGGTTGATGAATACAGGAGCCTCCATCCTCTCCCTAACAACCTCGTTCCTAATTCTATCTATCCTTGTCACACGTAGGCATCTTCTCCAAAAGTCCATTTTCACAGCTTGTACCTTTGAATATAGCTGTGATGACATGGTCCCAGGTATACTTTTTTTCAAACTACAAAACAATTTTAAAAGTTTATATTTAATTAGGAAATTTCATTTAATTTCCTTTGAAACATGTGGTTTCCGTTAAATAATATTAGATTTCAGAAATTATTTATAATTTTTTTGTCATTTTCCATCATTACCTTCTATGACTTTGTATGTTAGATATCGTTTTTTCTTAAATTCTCAGCTTCCCAAAGAAATATTATACATATACCTTCTAATTATTATTTCTGGGACTTAATTGTTGACCAAAATAAACATTCAAGGGGGAGTGGAGGAAGTTTGTGGATGGACTACAGTCAGTTGTAACACGTGTCTGTAACATTGCTTAACACTGTGGCTTTAAGCCGGACATTGTGCACTAGAGTGGACTGACGAAAAATGTCTTCTGCTTAGAAGATAGAAACCAAAAACCAACAAGAGTAAAAGAACAGAAAAGGATAATTATTAGTAATAATTAACTCTTATAAGTAATAACAAAAATATTCATTTCTAAGATTTGTATAACACCTAATTCAAAATGTTGGTACATGTTAACATTTATTGTACATAAATTAACTACATCAATATTATATTAACAACTTAATTATTAGCAACAAATTAATTTAATTTATTGTCATTTGTATATATAAAATTTAATGTTATGTATATATATTAAAAAAAAATTTGGATGACTTGTTCCTTCACAGAACACGTGAACACTGCGGAGCTACCACATTCACCACCATTCACAGTGTTACAGAAACATGGAACACTTTTTTTCTGTATTATACAAGCTGGTGCTGTTTTTGAGAAACTAGTTTATCAACTATTTAATCTTAAAACTACATGATTTTCAGATATATTCTCTTCCAAGAACTAATCAGTTGGCATCAAGAATTATAGTGGCGCGATACACTTCCCTTGCAGAGAAGTTCATGTTTAAAAAACAATGGACAGCACTGATATAATTGAAGTAGTGAAGTTTAACATTTGGCAAAACAAATCCTGTCCTACAGTATTTTCCATTCTACCTACCAAACCTTAAAAGTTAGAACAGGGATGGATCAATAAGAACTCAATCTGTGTTGATTTCAATGCACATTCCACTAGATGGCTGTTTGCCTCAACAAATGTAATATGTCAAATTGTAGAAGAGTTCATAAAGATCAACATGGATGAATTAATTATAAAGGGAATACTTCTCATCCTGAAACCATGCTTGTACATCCCCAGCTCCTTAATGAAATATTTCACACGCTCCACGTGGAGCGTTTGGTCACAAACTGCCATTCGTTAAGATCCATTCAACAAGTGAATACTTTCATTATGAACAAACAAAACTCTGCTGGCGAATCTGAAAAATGCAGATTGGAAAAGGTACACTCAACTCTGAATCACCAGTGACTGCATAGTAAGGATAGGATATCAAAATACCGGAATTGAAATATCGATACTAACAACAGTCGATAATTCCATTGATTTTATAAACAGTTTGGAAAAACCAGTAAGTATGAAACATGAATATCAATATAAATATGGATTCTTCAGCACATAGGTGCATCAAAAAAGGTATTATTTTCCTCTTTAAATTAATTAATAGAAATATCAATTCTTTTACCCTCCTTAACAATATTAATTCCCTGGGTAGAAAGACCCTCCCTGGCGGTTGAGCGTGATCTCGGTCAAATCACCTCCTTGCCCAACCGTAGATCAAGAAACAGTGCTTTTCCTAAATAGTACTGAAACCAAGAACCCTTCAAGGGTTGTAGTGGTACAGGTATTTTTTTTTTTTTTTGAGTAAAATTAATTTCCTGGTTCATGTACATTGTTAGGTTACTACGCACTACATTTTATATGAGAACAGCCAACATGAGTATTTTTTTAACAATCCCTAGAGTTTTTGACTAACAATGGCCAACACTACCGCATAATGAAGTGGTGATTAGTGCAAAGGTAGAGTACCGAGCCTAGAGAGCTGTGAGTTAAGAAACAGTGCATTACCTCTCAGTGCAATGATGCAAACATTACCTCTCATAGTAGCGCAGAGACAAGAACGATAACTACACCGTTTTTTTTTTTTATGTAGAATAAAAATCCTATCCTATAATTTAATCAATAGTTGTATTTTTCAATTAACGAAAAAAAAAAACGTAACTTAATACAACTAATTTCTGATGTTTTATTTATTTATTATATTTCCAAAAAACATTTTCGCCCGCAAAAATTTGTCATTGATGTATTGTAGAAAATAATTTCTTCTGGTTTGTTTATACAAATTAGAAAAGGAAGAAAGAAATTAATCGAAAATTATAATAAATAAATGAAGTAAAAAAGGAAATAGAAAGATACAATAAAGACATTTTTTATTAGATCAACTTTTAAGATAACTGATACAAATTAAAAGATAAATTTATTTGAGTTTCTCAATTTTCTTTGTTAATTTCATAGAGAAATAATTATAATTTAGACTTAAGAATGTTTTTTTCTTATATTTTTGCAACAAATACTGAATAGAGTGTAAGAAGGCAGTTTAAATTAAATACAAGTTGATTAATTTCACTTAACTTGTGATTTGTTATTTAATTATTTTTGTTGTTAATTTTCAGCCATTAAATTATTTTTGTGATTTTCTTTTTATATTTTGTTTTACTAATTAAAATAGACATGACACATGTCATGTTCAAATAAAAAATCATTGTTAAAAAGAAAAAAATTAACAACATACACAAATCCAAATGGGAACCTACTCCTTTTTTAAAATCAGGTAACAGTGATAAGTTCACGAAGATGTTAAGTGAGAAAGTTTGTAGTATATTTAATAAGCAAGTATCCTACAATAAACTAATTGATCGAATATTATATCAGAGTGGGACATATCTGTATTTGTAAAAATAAATACAAAATGTAATTGTAAATTAGATTACCTATAATTACAATTAATTATACAAAATAAATAAATATGAATATAAATATTTCGTATTTTCACTGTATTTATATCTGTAAAAGTGATGTATTCATACCTCTAAAAATGAAATACTTGCATTTACAGAACCCAATGGGAATATTTTCACATAATATCATGAATGAGTACTTTTATTTACTGCTCAGAATTGGAAAGTTATCATCTGTAACTGGAATAAGAATATGGAAGGGCAAGATTTCCATTGGAAGAAAAATTACACATATGCTGTTGACTGGAGAAGGAAGAGTCCAATAGTACTCTGGCTCAAGAATTAAACCTAAGTCTTTCAACAATTTGAGAAAATTCAAAGTCTATTCGAGACAGCATGCTGAATGTGGTGAATATTTTAATTAAAAAAAAAAAAAGATGATCTATCAACGACAATTTTTCTTCTTCTCATTATTCCACTATCAGGGTTAAGGCAAATTTTGCTCAAAAATACCAAAGAATATTTATAATCAATTAGCGATCTGTTTGATGAACTTCAAACTAAAATTTGTTGTGAGTATGGATAAAAAGATTCTGCTCCTGACATAATACTGTTTTTACAAAAATTTAAAACTGTTAAACTGTCAGTGTTCTCTTTCAGCTAACAAACAAATGGAATTATGTTTACCTGACAGTTCGTGAGAATTATCATGATGCTGGTATACTGGACGCCATGAAATGCAAATTTTTACCAAGTTGATGTTCGATCGGACTCTATATTCTAAGATCTAAAAATGTTCTTATGGACATTTATCTATAGACAGAATAACTATTAAGAAGTTCATTACTTTATAAAAAAAATGTCCATAAATGTACATATTATAAATAGTAAATAGCATTGGTATGTTCTTCTTTTCAAAAATGTAGTGCTGTAAGTCGATTTTGCTTAAATTTTATTTATTACCCTTGTTTGATTTCAATATCAATGACCAGTGGCGTTATGGACAAACAAAAGTGGATGAATATAGCGATCGCGGTCATTATATTATATTATGATTATGATATCCATTGTATATTTATTTCCAATTTGAAAAAAAAAAATATATGTACTAAAAAAAATCCTTGATTTTTCCGTTTTGAAAATTCCTAACTTTTCCCTAAGTCCATGAAAAACGCACCCTGGAAAATATGTAGATTCACATCTGTAAATTAAAGTTTATTAGTGCATTTTGTTTTTATATTCACGAATACAAATATGACAAACTCGGGTTGAAATACAGGCAACCATGAGATAGTAATTTAAATTGGGTGAATAAATGACAAATCTCATGATTTTCTTACTTTTTGTGGATAGTTTTAATATTCTTTAAGATGGATTTAAAAAACTTTTTATTTTTTATTTAGTATTGAAATCGATAACTATAATAACTAAAAATACAACGAACAAATGTCAATTACTCATTGTTAGCACTCCGATATAGTTCTCAACATATGTAGTACATAAAAAAATCAATAATTTATCATAAGGTTTAGTCTAAAAAACAAATAAGAATATATAAACATACAAAAACAAAACATAAATAAATACCTATAGCAAGAAAGATCTCATTGACATTGGTTCCTGTTTTTGCAGAGGTTTCCATGAAAAGAAGCCCATTTTCTTCTGCATAAGCTTGAGCCTCTTCATATTCAACACACCTTTTGTTAGCCAAATCAGCCTTATTACCTGCGAGGGCTATTACAATATTGGGCGAGGCTTGTCGCTGAAGTTCTTTCACCCATGTCTTAGCTCTTCCAAATGTGTCCTAAAATATAAAGTAGTAGACGTGAAGTCAGTCACTTCAATTATTCCAAACATAATAAAAATCTCAGAACTATTTCAATTCAGCCCTTACCCTTCAGAAATAAATCATACAGCTAGATAAGTTGCATTATTAGTTGAAACATATTTCTTAGAGATATTCAATATTGTTGTGATTCTGATATCATTGACATAGAAGTTACATAATCACATATTCCATTATGAATGAACATGCATAGACAACTTACCAAAAACAATTACAATGAAAAATAAAATAAGTTTCTAATCAAAGATATAATTCTACAATTCAATTGTTGAATAAACTTCATTAAATTGTTAAGTATTATCACTAACCTGATTTGTGACATCATAAACCACAATAGCTGCTTGAGCACCTCTATAATACATAGGGGCTAAACTGTGATATCTTTCCTGACCAGCAGTATCCCAAATTTCAAATTTAACTGTGGTATCGTCTAAGCATACAGTCTGTGTCAAGAAAGCAGCTAAAAAACAATTCGGTTATCAATGATAATGAAACCATTAAGTGACTATCTCTTGATGACATATAAAAAAAATTACCTCCAATTGTGCTTTCTTGGTATTCGTGGAACTGTCCTTTAACAAACCTAAGAACTAAACTGGATTTTCCTACTGCTGATTCTCCTAACAGCACTAGTTTAAACTGACAAATTTTTGCTTGGGCTGTCCCATTTGGGCGCTGTGGCCCGGCTTTATTGGCCATGTCGGAATCCTAAATTGGAATAAAACAAAAAATGACTTCTAAGATCAAAAACATGAAAAAACCTTGAAATTTCTTAATAGGTTACAATAGCATTTAATAAAATAATAATGAACAGAAATAAAATTAGAAACAAATATTTCATTTATTTTATCCATATTTAAGGCATTCAAATTTGATAATGGAAAAAAAAATGGAAAACATAAGTAGTCATATCAGCTGACTTTCACAACATAATGGCCTATCTACAATCTGACAGTTAATAGATAAAAACTTAATAAATCTATTACATTTACATAAGTTGATATATTACAAGAAATCGGCACATAAGTTGTTCTTTAAGGGACTAAGAGATTTGATTACTACTGAAGATGATTTATCAAACGAATTAACCAGATATGAAATCAGCACTTTAACAGTGAATACAATAACAACAAAATACTTTCTGAACCTAGCGCTAATCTAAAACGCTAAATAATATTTTAAGGAATTATATAATGCACAATAACTTACGTGGTTAGCCAACTTGAATATTAAAATCACAGATAAAGAATAAATGAAATGTATGGCTGATATAGAGCTCAACAATGCGATGGGAGCGCTCCACCCCTCAAACCTTAGTAACAGAACACCAATCTGATACTCAAATGTTGTTTAAAAAGAGAAATATATTTTTTGAGCCAAACATTTCCTAATCTATTTCATGGAACATCATAACAATAATCCAATTGTTATTTTACGAATAAACTTTACATCAACTATTGAGAAAATTAGATAGTATTGCTAAGGCGGTGACAACATGAACTATTAGCGGGAAAATTAAATTCTACTGTTTCAAAATAATGTCTGCTTTTTTTTTTCTATTAACAATTGAAAAATCATTTTAAGAAATATAATTCCTTCAGTAAAAAAAATATATTCCTGTATGTTTATATTTTAGGTGCAATATATAAAGTAAAGATAAACAGGGAGGAAAAATTCAGCCTTTATATTGTCATATATGTTCCATTTTTTAAGGCACCAATCAATATTAATCTCACAATATCAATTGCAAACATTATTTATCAATATCAATGGTTCATCATTGTTAATTATATATATATATTATGTTAATTAGTTTAACAAGTATTGCTAAATAATTATAGTCCAGTCTACGAAGGGGTTCTAGAGTACATAGAGTATGGATAAGCATTTGACTTAGTGAATTTGTTGGGAGTTACTTATGAGATAAATTTACTAAAAGTTCCCGTCGTTATCCCTTCTGCTTCAAGGTGGAGGGCAGAGAGATGGGCAAATGCTATTCTGAGTACCTATTATCAAGTATTTTACTCAAATCGAAACACTATTGAGAATTCATTAATTACTTTAGTTAATCGTTTGAAATCAACTGAAGTAATAATTAAATTCTTTGGTACTCAAAAAAGGTCAGTATTTGAATAAGATACTTGGAACACAGTACTCTGAGTAGCATTTACCCATCTCTGGTGAGGTGTGCCGTAAAGGAAACTTTTTCCCGGATTTTCTCTTATATTAATCTTTTTATAGTTCCTTTCGTTCCTATACATCATACCTGTTGATCTGAGACCTGGATGGACCTGCTCCATCGATTCTGAGCATAAAATCTTGTCCTGCTTATTATTATCATTATTTCTTTCTCGTATATTAATTACCCGCTCCTTTCTTTTCTTCCTATGATCTCATCCAATCATCATACAATATCCAAATTCCCACGTTTCTTCCTAAATCCATAACTTTCCGTAACCGTGATAAAATCTTGCCTGACCTTAAAACCCTAAATTGGAACGATATTATCTATTCCTACACCTCTATTGATCATATGGTAGACATCCTCACTTCTAATCTTATCCGCATCTTTGATATTCATACTAATATTAAAACCTCTACCTTTCACCGCCAACGTTCTCCCTGGATGGGTCAAGAAATTCGTGACATGCAAAATAGACGTGAGGCAGCCCGTAGACGCTTCAGATGATTATCATGCGTACAGAGTACTCTGTAACTTGAAACAGACGATCAGGAATGCGAAATCAAACTTCTTTCACGAAATTATCTCTTCTAGTTTGATTCTAAATCAATATGGCTAAAGTCCGTAAACTTTTTCTTTGTAAATTCTCTTCCTCATCGGTTTACCCGGTTTCACCTGATGAATTAAATTCCTACTTATATCTTCCTCCACCAGCAACAGCTCAACAGCTCACCCTACTCTTACCAGTTTTCGTTACCATCCTCATGTAACAGTGATAATTTCTACATCTCCTGCATTTCACCAACTGACCTTATTTGCTATAATGAAATTCCATACACACTCTATCGGATTTGATGGAATACTCATTGAACTGTTAAAATTATACCTTCCCGAAGTTCCTCCTGTCCTTCTTTTCATCTACAAAATAGTTGTTTCCTCCAGAACTCAGTTTTTCCTACTGCTTGGAAAAAAGCATTAGTCAGACCTAATTTCCAATCCTACTTCTCCTAAAGATTAAAGCCCAAGGTCTTCGTTGTCTTCATAGTCTAATGTAATCAGGAAATTTTATAACATTAAACTAAGCGGTGCAATAATCCCTATCCTGCTATTGGAGGGGTAAAACTATTGGGAATCTGATTTTTCACGTGGATGTGTGTCCCACGCTTGCATGTTTGCAGCATTTTATTTCACCAAACCAGGTTTTAGGTTTGAGCAGTTAAAACATTTTTTTTTTTTTAATTATTTTAATGGAATTTACAACTGTATTACATAGAAAATACAATAAGTAAATGTGAAATTTGTAACATGGCATGTACAACATGAAGAGAATCTACCCATTGGTAGAACTCAATAAAACATTTTAAATGGTTAATATATTAAAAAAGTTCTCACATTTTGAGTATACCTAATACCAATCAAGATTCTTCATTAAGCCAGCTTATGAAGTCTTCAATAAAACACTCAGCAAAATAAACATTCAGTATGTACATAGATGATCTCATAATCAATGCTGGCATTAGAAAATTGATGCCCCCGAGCAATGGCCTCCAATCATCTCTTGTCCCCCTAAAAATATAAATTGATTTCTCAAGCTGTTTTATATTATGTAATGTTCGAATTTAATTTCATCAATCTTTATCTAATACAGTTGCTTCATCAATAGTCTAAAATTAATTATTTTAATACTATATAATATATAATATAATAATTTTTTTTAATTCTTAACATGTGGTGAGTCCCAATGATAATCGGCACCCTCTACGTTCGCCTCTCTAGGTCGGCGCCCCAGGGCAAATGCACTGCTCGTAATACACCCTAAGCCAATGCGGGTGCACCACCGTTGTCCGGCAACCGGATAGATGACAAATTGATAAAATAATTACAAGTTTATCAATGTGTTAATCCTCCACCCCTACCCACTGGCTCGGGAAAAACCCGCATAGTTTAAAAAGCGAGGAAGGGGGGGGGCAAAAAAAAAAAAAAAATAGAAAAACAACAAAATTTTGAAATAAGTATTAGAAATAAAATAGTATGAAATAGCATTAGTGAATCATATAAAATTCAACAAATATAATTGTTAAATAGCTCATGAGGAAATAACATTTTGGGACACGAATTTTCAGCAGAATAATGAAGTATCCTCCTAAATGAAGTATCAAATGACAAAGTCCTAGAAAAAATTAAAGAATTATAAATGATGTAGATAAGTTTATACCTAACTTAGGTGAAATTTCTTTCCCTCTTAGGCTGACCATTAGGAAAGATTCAATATTTTTATGAGATACAATTTTTTTTCTTTTCCTTAGGAATTTATTCCATATGAAGATTTACTCAACAAACTCCTACTTCAGCAAGTCTCTCCATCTCTGCTGATCCATCGCATTCTCCTCTGACAGTCCTCTACCAGCCATACTCTATATTACTCTATCCTTCCATCTAACTGGGGATCTTCCTCTGTTTCTTCTACCTCCTGCCTCCCAATCCATAATTATTTTTGGTATCCTATCGTCACCTATTTTCCTATTCGTCTCACATGGCTATAACACCTGAGTCACCTTTCTTCCATCACATTTTGCTTTATTTTGCCGATATCCCCCTTATAGTGGCGTTTCTTACCTTTTCTATCCTCAATATCCTAGCTGCTCTCTTTCAAAAATCCATTTCAACTCAAAGGAATTTTTTTCCCTAGATCATACTGAGTGAGGGGCTATGTCTCCGAACCATATAACAATAAGCTTTTTACCAAAGCTTTGTATATTAGCTTTTTTGTTTTTATTAAAATATTGCTGTTCCAAGGTAAAGAGCAAGTATTCCCACTGGTTTTTTACCATTTGTGATCCTTTTTTTGATTTTTGCCTGTATTCTACTATTTCACTCAATTATGGATCCCAAATAACAGAATGTTCCACTTTACTTAGGTTACATAATGTTGGTTAGTGCTTTCTTCTTTCTCCGCTCACATATGTTTAGCTTTGTTCTAAATTATTTGGAGGCCTGCTCATAATGATCAGGATTATCAGGAACGATTTTCTGAATAGGTAGGTAGCTTACATCCTCTTCATCTTGTTCAATTTTTATCTGGGTACCTATTATTTGTATAAATTTCTTTTATTAGGTTCACAGTTACTTGGTCTATTTCAGCTTTCCTTGAGTATTCACGTAGGACTTTGCGTGGTTCACTGTCCAAGACAATGTCTCCAAGTCAATGGATATTAATCTTGTCTTTTTTATTTGTCCGTTTGCTTCTCTAATAGCTGTCTTAGAGTGAAAATAGGGTCAAAATATAGGACCTCTCTGGTGTAAATCCCCATTGCTCCTCAGCTTGAATATACTGCTTTTCCGATTGTGGTTTTACTATTCTTCTAGCAGTTTCATGAATGCATCTGTCATGCAAATGACTCAATAATTTTCCCATTTTTTTCTATCCCCTTTTTTAAAATTTGGCATCAGATACCCTAACTTCATTTCTTGAGATATGATTCCACCCTTTAGGATTTTGTTAATAAGATTTGGGAGTATTTCACTCACATTAACTCCATCATACAAGTTGTAAAAAATCTTATGATATATATCATAGTAAATATTAATGAGAGCCCTAACTCCAAATTTTTTTTATACCAATAAAGAGTCAACTAGTGATGGGGTGTAACAGCTGATTGTTACAGCTCCGGGAAAATCACTGTGATAAATCACATAGCTTTGTCACAACTGTAATTTTTTTCCTCTTGGTGTCAAGAGTTGGTAGCGGTGATACGTATACTACGGCTCCATAGTGACAACGTCACTGTGAAATCACAGTTTACTTATTTAAACTTATATTAAAATAAAAAATAGATAATATTATGTATATTAAATAATAATTATGTAATATTTTTGTTACAATCAGTATTAATGAGGAGGTAAGATTTTAGAGATAAATTTAATATTTGGCGGGGAAAAATTATCCCTGGGGACCCTTGCTCCTTTATACAGCCCTGCAGAGAATATTTGAGTTTATTTAATTTGAAATTCATTTTTCATTTATATTGCAAGAGTTAGGTGATTTTTAGAATTTTATTCGATTATAATAGGCTGGTTATTGGTGATTAGCTAGTTAGAGTGTAGTGGGGATAATAGGAAGGCAGGTTAATGATTGTCGTAATTTTATAGTAATTTTTGGGAATGTCGAAATAAGTTATATTATTATATATTTTCACTATTCATGGATTTTAACTTATTTCAGAACTGTAGTTATTTCAGAAACTATTATTTTCCGTTTTCTTTTTAAAATTAGTTATAAAATAAATGGCAATCAAGCAATAAATAAGGTAGTGATTGAAAACCTTTCTGTTAATTACTTTCGAAATAACTCATTCGTACAGGTATGGCTTTATTTCAATGAATGTTTATTATTATTATTATGGCGCTACGGTCCCGCAAGAATCCGGACCTCCTCAACTACAGTCAACCAATCTCAACGGTCTTGTGCTACTTCCCTCCATCTTCGAACGCCCAGCCGCATCATATCGTCCTCCACATCCACCAACCATCTGATCCGCGGGCGCCCTCTACTTCTTTTGCCATCCGGCTTCTCAAGCAGCGTCCTCTTTGGCATTCTTTGGTTTGTCATTCTTTCCACATGACCTAACCATTTGATACTGGCTCTTCTTACCAATGCCAAAAAAAATATCAGGTTCACAATAGAGTTCCCGCTGCTCCTCATTCTTTCTTCTTCTCCAAATTCCATCCTCAGAGATTCCGCCCCATATTCTTCTCAATACTTTCCTCTCCCAGGAGTTGAGCGTGCGTTCTGAGTTTTTGGTTAAGGTCTAAGGCTCACACCCATACCTAACCACTGACCTTTCTATGGTTTTGTATATGAGAATTTTTTTTTTTTTACAGAGTGATCTGAACTTCAAGTCTGTTTTCAGTGAGAAATAGCATCTATTTCCTGCTGCTGCTAAATCTGGCTGTGATTACAGAATGACTGTCACAGTTGGAGGGCTATTCTTAGAGCTTTGCGTTCGGAACTCTGTTCGTAAATTGGAGTTTGATGAATTTTAAAACAGAAGTAAAGTAAAAACTTGTTTTTTTCCACTAGCCTGTTCTTACAGGTATATTATCAACCTTTAAGACTCTCCTAAGCAAGGGCATTAATTAATTCTAATTAATTAACCAAAGTAAAAATATGGGAAAGTAAATATATTAATTAAGCTTCATGTTGGACTGGATTTTGTCTAATTCTGGGCTATATTGGATATTTATGAACGATTATTTTACTTTATTTAATGTGTATTTTTCATTATTGTGAATGGATACTATAATATAGTATAAGTTAAGTAACATAAATCGTTATAAGCCATAAGTTATTTTCTTGAAAAAGGCTCTAACGATTTTGATTAAACTCAATAAGTCAATGTGTTATTAAATGGTTTTTAATTTAAGATAGGTTTTATTCTCATCGATGTAGCCTAAAAGGGCTTTAATGCCGATTTTCAAAAGAATTCAAACATATCCTAGATAAGTTTAGAATTCTAACAATTTCAAAAAATTATTTGTTTTTGTATTGATTAAAACGTTTTAAATCCATTCTGATAAGATTGAAACAAAATTAACTGGATAGATGAATGATACCTTCGTTCATCCAGATTACTTGAAAGACGTTCAAAATCATCTTCAATTACCAAACTATCCACTATGTTTTCTGTTAAAATCTCAAACATCAACAGCTAATTATATAATAATACTGAGAGTTTGATGATTACCCATGCATTTGTTACAACATAGTTAGGATACCAAAATTAGGAATAACAGAAAGAAATTTCCTATGAGCTAAGCCGGGGCTCGGAGGAAAATGATAAAATTAAAATATAACACAATTTTGACTAAATTACCGAATAATGATTATCACTGAAATAAAAGAGTGTTATTATTGTATGAGAAGGAGTTGGTCGGGGGGTCCGGTCAAATATATACCAAATTTTGAGAAATAGTATTTTTAATTGTTACACCGACGATTCGACCCACCTTGCAGGTCCTTTTCAGGGCTACAAAAGATACAAAATATAAAAGGTATATGGTGAAAATAAAATAAATGAATTATAAGTAGATATTATATATATATATATTTTAGGATTTTGTAAATAATTATTCCATGAATCATTCCTTTATTAAATAAATTATGTCAACAGTAAATAAATGATGTGAGCGATGAATCGTAGTGAACAGAGCTGTGATTTCACCGCGACTACAGTGACTGTCACTGTCATTACCAGCTCTGGCTCAATCACTGTGACAGAATCACAGTCCGCCTATAACGCCCTATCACTAGGGTCTGCTATGTCAGTGGATGCAAGTCAAAATGGTGTTGGGGCAGTTTTATTTCTAGATAGAAAGCACTGTGCACATGCTTCAAATATCGTTTCACAATCCCGAAAAAGGTAAGCCGTGGCTAAGTTTTGAATTTTATAGTTGATTACAATGGTTCATTATTGAAAAAAAAAAACATATTTAAAAGTTGCGATATTTTTACTATTGTGCTCTGATTTTGATGAAACTTTTTAACACCTTTGAAACATCTAATTATCGAAATCACAAAAAGTGCATACTTTTTGAGTTATTCGGAAATCTAATTTTAACACCCTTCGTAACATTTTTTCCAGCTTCTTTTCGTTGAAGTACGTTTTATAGATAGTTTTAAAAAGCGTCAAGGAGAAGGCTTTATCCAAATTTCCTTGAAATCAGTACATTCGTTGAGGTACTACAGTCACCAACACAAGTTTTTCACACCAACACAAGTTTTTCGGCCGCCATCTTGAAAGCAAAGGACCATCGAGGTAGGAAGATCATCCTCAGTAGACCTCTGGCTTTGTTTCCAGATTCCAAATTCGAAAAAAAAATGCGTACGGGGGACGGACAAAAATTTTTTTTATTCAATTTTCGAGTTCTACGTACCGTGAAAGGTAAAACCTCAAATTTTGAGGTAGGGTTAAGTTTTTGAATTTTTTGGTCGATTACAATGGTTCATTATTGAAAATAATAAACCAAAAACGCCTTAGAATTTTTATGGATGAGAAAAATTTGAGAATGTCTTTAAACAGAACGAAACAAAGGCTTAACAACTTACACAGGGCAAGATTTTAAAACATCAGACAAAATAGCGTTGAATGTTCAATATAAAAAAGTCAACATGTTGACCTTGAGTTCTTTGTTATTGAAAACGATTCTCCACTAATTCTCGGCTTGGATGGTTGTGCAAAACTGGATATTATTTTTTTTTAATGGACCCTCCCCAGACTTTAACATCTCTTACCATAGATTAGGCCAACTATTGAGTATTCAACATTACACTTTTAATTTTCCACTGTAAAGATAATATTATGTTATACAATTAAAACAAACGTCTGCCAAGTAAGGTCAGTATATCTTCCTCACCGTTTTCATTGGCTAAAATATATCTATATTACAAGGTATTTTTCATATGAGAATAAAATCTCAGAGAGAAGCCGATTCGGAAATACAATTACTCTTCAACATTCGCGGGTTTGATATTTACAAATTTCGTTTATCAGCTAATATTAAAATGCAAAAGAGTGCCGTATATGAAGATTCCATATCGATTATTTTTAATTAAAAAAAAAAGACCAATGCGTTATGAACAACCATTTCACTACTGATAGTGCAAAAGATCGTATGTAAAAACTCATTATTTCATTATGCTTTATTGGTATAATTTCATATCTCTGCTATTTTCCATAGTAGCAGACTAATTACATCAGTTGCAGGCTACAAAATGTCACCTTTCGCACAAATAGAATAAAAGTTGAAAATTTTTATTCTATAAAAATTGATATATATAAATATTTTTAATATTTATATATATCATATATATATATATATATATATATATATATATATAAATTGATATATATTTAATAGGTACGTTTTCAGTTCGTAAAATGGATGGAACTAGAAAGTCCATAGGAAAAATTCAACTTGTTGTTTGTTCGGAATCAACGAGACCAATACTTTTCTCCAGTCAGAACAAAAGTAATTAAGCTTGAATATAAGAATATGGGTGAAGTTCACACAACTTCCAATATTTAAGGAGGAAATTGAGACCAAGAAGAACTGGTTGAACTTCAATGGAAATAAATACAATCACAAATAAGACGTTTCAGAGTAAAAATTATTTTAAATTTACTGAAAATTACTCGAAATTTAAGTAACGGCTGTGTCATGCCAGAAACGTTTGGAATCGACCAAACTATACAGTAACAATTAATTTTTTTAATAAAACATAAAATTTTATAACCCCATAACAATATTGTAATAACCTAACTCCCACTCCATATGATCAGTGCCTTTAACACTTCACAGCTATTATACTGTTAACAATTATCTATATTAATTTTAATTATGAATTTTAATTTTAAATGGAATTCAATGAAATTGATACTAAGTAAATTGTACACTGTTCTCCAAATTTTCTTTTAAATTTGGGTCAAATCGAATGCGCCGTTTTTATACTTTAGGATTATCAAATAACACATTTCCTGATTTAAAAGCGGAAGTACTTTTTTATTATTATTTTTTTTTTGGAGTAGTTGATAGAATTTGATAAAATTGATGCCTATTTCATTTTACGTTTACCAATCCCTAAATTCTCTCCAAATTTGAGCCAAATCGAACTTTTGGTTTTAGAGATAAAGAAGTATCAAGGAAAACACGTTTGCGCATATATAAGAGAAAAAAAAATGGACAGAATGCAATGAAATTGATCCTACAGAATATTTTCAAGAACACCTATCTTTTATCCAACTTTCAGCCAAATTGAACGAGCGGTTTCTGAAATATTGGCATATCTTCAAAAATGCGTTTGTGCGAGCGTAAGCGGAAGTGCTGGTTAGAATTTAATAAAATTGATATGGGACCATCTAGACAACAACTCGCACAATTCCGGAAAATTTCTTAATTAAATTATATTAAATTAATTTAATAAAATTTATTAAACTTTTTTATTTGATTATTCTAATCAGTATTCGAATAAAACTATGATATTATTAATGTTATGCATATGTTATCTTACGTAACCAATTGAAATTAAGAAAATTATACAGATTTATGTGACATATTTATTTTTTTAAATACCTTTATTATGTGCTTGATTGAAAAAGAAATAGCAATATTTTTAAAATGAATGTAACTTTGGTATTACTATTCAAATATTTGTCAATCTCCTAAAAATTGGTTTCACTTTCAATCACTAAATACAATATTCACTTCTAAAATTAAAATCACATGGAGACAACCTTTTTTCATCGTTAATAGTCACGTGATTTTTTTACTACAAGCCTGTAAGTGATCTAATAATACTAACTTTAATAACATTTATTTTAATGATTTGCATTTTATTAACAAGTTATATTTTTTATAGTGGTCATATTAGATTATGTATGGGTTATAACACATGGTACTACAGGAACTCTAATAGTGTCTCATTTGAACTGCAGTCTGGAATTCTTTAGCATTCTCAATTTTTTCTGCTTGCACTTAGACTGCGCCTCAATTAAGACTGCCATCCCATCAGCAGCTCCATTTTCTTTCATTCTTGATAACGCCCCGCAACATACTTTTTCATTCCTGCGTAGTAACGAATATTTGTAGAAAATTGGCTGATGAAATTCACCCACCTAATTTGCATAAACATGGTTTCCGGCTTCTGCTGGAACTCAAATTGAAGTGGCTTGAAGTTCCGTCCATACGGTGAAATGACTGAACCTGAGATCGGAAATGCCGTATCACCTGGAATATATCCAAAAGCTCTTGGTCATACATTACGTAATTCCGCTATGCTTTAATGAATATTCTTGAAAAAAAAAAAACAAGTAGGTGCCAGACTTCATTCTATGCACGTCACTCTAGACCTCAAAACTCCAACTCCTCTACGGCGAAAATGCATTTAGGTTGGTAACCAACCCATCGTGCTTCAGACGACGAAAGACCTCGCCCAGGTTCATCCTGTGCCTATCTTTGTTCACAGAACCGATGACAAGATTATCAAGTTGGTATACACAAAGGCAAGTACTCATAAGACTATCAGAACCTTTGGAAGGGCTGAGTAGCATTTCGAAGTCCAAAACATCTGCGTAAACCCAAAGGGATCAAAATGGGTTATGATGGCTGCATTTGAAATATCCTCTTCAGCGATCTGGATCTGATAGTAGGCTCGCTTCAAATCCAACTTGCTAAAAATATGTTACACGAAGGTTTAAATCTGTGATGTCAGGTACCGCCTCGGCATTCAGCTGCGGATAGTCGCCGCAAAGTCTCATAACTCCATCCTTCTTAATAACTATATGCGATGGACTCGCCCATTGGCTACTAGATGGGCGAATAATACCTGCTTGTAAAATTTTCTCAATTTGCGTTTAGTTGCCGCGTACCTTTCAGGATGGAGCCGCCGCACTTTGATGTTGCTGAAGTCCCGCAGGTCCCGATGTGATGAATAACGAAATACAGCGGTACTTTAACAAAGAGATGGGGTTAGTAATGCCTGGATACTTTGAAGCTCAGTGTGTCGCTTGCCTTCTGGGACCGAGCACTATTATATCCGTAAGTCTAATATTGGTCGAAATAACCGTCCTCTTATTCACTAATTGGCAATGCGCCAGATTCACTATTAGCTGGTGCTGAAAAAGCAAGTACACAACGATGATAAGTTATTCCACTTCTGCTAGAATAAAGTGCCAGGTTATTCTTCGTCGTCCAACTCGATAAGGCTTTGTACAGACTCACATGAGTGGGGATAGGAGTTCCATTGGATCCATATAAGAATTTCCCGGACTTTTCTGAAATCTAATTATGATTTTAACATCTGATTAAATGATGGATAAGAACTGATATGGGTGCGCTATTCTGGATGCGTTTCCAAAACTGACTTTGATGAGTTTTAAGAATCTTCAAACGGTTTGATTCAATTGAAAAGACCAGTAAACAGCTGGTTGATGTGATATTTCTAAAATAGGCAAGGTAAGTAAAACAATAGTAATTAGGAAGAAACGACAACATTATCTCGACAAACTAGTGGTTTCTAACCTGCTTAAACTGCGTCTCTAACAAAGATTATTTATTTTGATATTTGATATAAAAGGAATTGAGACAAACCTCCAGAAGAATATCAATGCCATTATTCGGTTTCCCGCTTACAAATCAACTGCGATATAGTTAGCACCGAGGGGTACTGGAGATTGGGACTAATCTACTGTCTATGAGAGGATCTTTTACACCATTAGTCCATTGTTCAGCGAAACTCAGTATTAACTATGCAGCTTACGGTGAAGTTCCAAGAATCAGCAGAGAACCTTTTTTCCCTTTTTTTTTTCGTTTTTTCTTTTCCTCGCCTTTTAGGCTATAGGGATTTTTTCCGGGCAAGGGGGTCAGGACGGAGGATTAATGCCAGAGTTAAAAGCCTCCCTCCCCCCGGGCATTAGGACGCGAACTCGTAATTATTTAAATCAAATTAATCTTTGATCCGGGTTGCCGAGCAACGTGCGGTGCTGTGCCACCCCGTCCCCAACCAGCCGAGACCTTTTTTTTTCGCCCTGCCAGGCATTGTTGCCATACGGGCTAATCAGCGGAGAACCGACGGTAGTTGCGTCTTTTTATCGTAAATGTGGAAGAGAGTCTGAAACACCAACCCATGTTTAGTGAAAATACCGAGACAACTTCCTCTTCATAACTAGTTGACGTCAGAAAGTCAAATATGAGTTGATAAGCCTTATTTCTTGCATTAACACTGACTGGTCTGAAGATATCATTTCAACCCTCAAAACAGGAAGGAAAAAAAAAGAATACAAATGAAAAATGCTGGCACATTTCATGAGACCTTCATCGTGAGAGCCACTGGTTGTGGTCTCGCAAACAATTCTGAAGAGAACAATGAGCTTCCGAGAAGACATATGTGTTGTTCTTGGGGATATTACGATACTAGCCTATAGCATGTGAATAATGTATTTATTTATCTGTTAATAAGGTATTTATGAATTCGATATTCGGTTACTTAAGGTTGAGAGAGGGACCATTTAGACTCCAATTTAAGTAACATAAATATCGATTCACCAATTAACCTCAGTCATTAAAAAATATGGTTAATTATCCAGTACTTAAAGTTATATTTATATTTTTTTTTTATTAGAAGGTATGGCTGAAACGAAAATAAATAGTGTAAAATCCTCATCAATGATTGGGGTGAGAAATGTTCATTCATTTGAATACATTTTGATGATTTAAATTATTTATTGACACCTTAATATTTATTTTTTTAGACAAACCAAAAGTGTAAGGACAGTGTTTCAGAATTAATGAAATACACCAGTTTAGAAGATGAAGTAGAAGTTATAACGTCAACTCTTCCTAAACCGAACCTTGAACAATACCCTATTCCGCATTCAAGTAACGCTAATTTAAATACTGGATTTCATACTCAGGTAACTTGATCTTCAACGAAATTCTGCTCTAATTTATCGGGCTGCTACAGTGATAGAAACATTTTCAACCCTCTTAGACGATTTGTTGAAACACCCAATAAACATACATATTTCATTTTTATTGTGTCGGCAAAGTAATTTAATAATAAGTACCAACACTTTATGGACATGGAAAATGTATTAAGAGAGTGTACAGTTTTTTTTATCTCCCTTACCTCGCTTTCATGGGTAAACAGATTTTTTCCCAGGCCAGGATGGAGGGTAGGGGATTAATAGCATAAATAAAAGTTTTCCGCCAGAATGTACAACTTATGCGCTGTCTTAGGAAGGTGAGAGGAACCATAAGCTCCTCCCCAATAATTCGAAGTGCAAAAATATAATAAAATAAAAATAAAATACAAATAATCTGTAAGAATGAATAAAATGAGTACCATTTTTTCTCCCCTTCCTCTCCTTTTTGGTTATATGGGCGTTTCCTTGGCCAGAGGAGAATCGGGGAGGAATTAATGGCAGAGTTAAAAACCCCCAGTACCAGGATTTGAACTCTTAATTTTCGGATGATTAGATTACCAAAAAAAGAGGATGTGGCTCACGTCTTTGCTTCTCGCTCACACCGCTCAAGAATAAAATAAGTACCTAAACAAATTAAGAAAAATCGACTAGTTGGCTAGGGTGAGGCCTAAAGTAGTAGTAAATTCTTAAGTATTTTATCACTCTCTATCTGTAATGTTTTTATTATTTTTTTATTATTTCCTGTACACCTGAAGTGACTCCAAGATAACAAGACTTATTGTTGTATCATAAAACGGAATTCCGTATTGTCAAAATGACTAGAAAGGGAGAGGAAATAATATAAAAAAATATAAATAAAATAAAATAGAAAGTAGAAAAGAAGGTTATTATTCATATTCAAAGATAATAAATAGCACATAACCTAGGATTTCATCTTTGAAGTACATCACTCTATTTTTACGTTATTCTTATTACACTTTGTGACAAATGTGAAGTTTGAGAGTTCATCTTATTGTCGCAATCCTTTTCAAACATCGACGACTTCAGATACTTATCTTTGTATCAGGACAGATCTTTGTAACAGATACTTATCTTTGTATCAGGACTCGTCATTTAGCATTATTTGTTCAAAGACGCCTTCGTCACCAATTTCCCATTTAGTTAGGCTGTATGAGTTTTTTCCCGAGCCAGGGTGTCAGAGTTAAAAGCTCCCACCACCTCCCTCGTCACCGGGACACTAACTCGTAATCATATTATATTCAATTATTAGGTTGCCGGTCAACCCGTGTTTTGCACCCCCCTTAGTCCACTCGGCCACCCCTCCTCTAACCTAACTCTGACATGATCTCATAAAATCTTTCTCGAAAGGGATCATAATCTGCTTTAAAAGCGACATATTAAGCATGTCCATCCTGAGCTTCTTCCTGTTGTTTTCAGGCACCTGTTATGATGCACGCCTCTTCTATCCGAAACCTGCTTGGTGGTCGCCTAATACATTTTCATGGTACCGATACGGCAACCGGAAGGAGTGCTTAACCTCAGTAATTAACACAAACTCTCAGTTCTTTTTTAGGATAGAACAATTTAGGCCCTTATTCTGAGATTCTGGTATCCTTTCTTTCTCGCATTGTTTCTGGATTAGTTGTAGTAGCTTGGCTCTGTCTATATAGTGTATATATATATATCTTGTATTGTGTATACAGGTCAATATTATTCTTTTGAGCAATGAAATAATCGTGTGGACAACTTAGTGGACAACCTGATACAAATTTTTATTAATCTTTCTCGTGCTATATATTTAATAATAGCACACTTACGTTTTTCTTCGTGGTTGCTCCCTCCAACCGTTTCGATGTAAATTTCATATCTTTCTTTAAATTCAGCCAACTCTTGAGTTGGATCATCATTCTAATTCATGGGTCTTGGAATTTGCATAAACGATTCCATTATTCTTATTAAAACAATTTCAGAATATAATATTATCCTTTCTTCTTTCGCAGCTCCATGTTATGTGTTTCTTTAATTAAATAATATTTATAAAGAATTTTTATTAAGTGTTTTAATCGACCAATTCACAACAGAACACATAAACAAGTGTAATCTTAATAACACATGATGATAACCACAATGTACTTTTCAAATATCTTAACAGAAACATGCAGGAAGACCCAGTAACATACTACTTCCCTTTAAAATAATCAAATACAACCATTAATTATATATTTATACTTCAGGCTAACCCTTACCTAGGACAGCCATCGAAACCCTCTAACTTAATATGCGCACTCTTTAGATCTATATAAGCTGAGTTACATTTTTTTTAATAACATGAAACCCATATACTAGATTTTAAAAAGGCAAGAACTCAACCGACGATGCAGCCAACTATACAGACTACTGAAGAGAAAATCTAAACTTTCTATTGAAAACAAATTACTTATCTATAGGACAATCCTAAAACCTATGTGGACATACGGACTTGAACTGTGGGGGAAAGCAAAAGTTTCCAACATCAAACGCAGTATCCTCGATCAAAATATTTTCATACCGACGATTAGTTTTAGAAACATTATCAGCTTTAACGGTTCAACAATTTACATTTGTATTATCCTCTGTCTCATTTGATCTATCATTTTCTTGGTCAATAGACTTAACCTCTATAGAACGAAAGAAAGATTGATTTTTCCACCCACACTTCCAATACATTTTCCCCAAACGTAGGTCCACGGTTACTCTTTACCTCTACCTCAACAAAAAAGTGACAGATCTGGAAAAAGAGACTGAATTTTTTACTAGAGTTAAAAACTTTTATTTTATTTATAATTTCATTTACCAGTACATTTTGCATTGAGGAACAGAGTTTCTCCACTTGTAATTTACTTTATTCGGAATTTAATTTTAAAAACAAATTTATTTAATTTAATCAGGTTCAGAATATAACCTAATTCTACTGCATAGTTTGAGGCCAAATTGTCTCTATAATGTCTCTTGTAAGACTTTGTCCCGTATCTCATGTACAATCTTATTACTAAGGAACTGATCCTCTACAGATAACTCAGTTGGGTTGCTGAAGTTACATCACTATAAAAGTCGTACCGATCGGTTGAAAAATGACCAAAACGTTCACTTTCTTCCTGCAGACGAGCGTTGAACAAGAATCTATCAAAATCCACTGAAGCATGCGAAAAGGCATACACAGATGTATGCGAAAAGGCAGTAGAGGAAAGAAGAAAACGGAAAGTACTCTGCCTAACTACAACTGATCAAGTTGCTCATGACAAGTACACAGCTGTCAAGAAAAAGAAAAATACAAAAAAAAAAAAACTGTAAGATCGACAAAAAGGGAACTCCTCAAAGAAAGATTGCAAACCTTTGAGGACAACTGGCAGGCTGGAGATATACGCGAATCCTATGCAGACATTAAAAAATAAAGGGTTGGATATAAAGCGAAAACTACGCAAATGCTAGGAAAAGACGGCGTTTAAAGAAAAGATCTGGAAAGAACGTTTCTAGGAACTTCTCAATCAAGAAGTCCCTACGAACGACGAAGGCATGGACCACACTGAGGACCTTGAACCAGAAGAGATTGAAAAACCAGATGGATAATGGATATAGAAATTGTTACCGAAAGGCTCAAAACAAAGAAGGCCCCAGGGATTGACAAAATTCCACCAGAAATGTTTAAAGGTGGGGGAGACGACTTAAGAGCCAAGCTACTACAACTAATCCAAAAAATATGGGAAGAGGAAAGGATACATAATGATTTGGAATACGGGCCTAATCTGTCCTATCCTAAAGAAAGGCTCCATGTATGAGTGTAGTAATTACAGAGGCATAGCACTCCTTCCGGTTGCCTACAAGGTAATGACCAATATCTTACTAAACAGGATATATCCGTATTACGAAAGTATAATAGTCGACCACCAATCTAGATTCGGATAAGGGAGGAGCACGCTAGACCAGACCTTCATCCTAAAATAATGGAACGACGGGAAGTAATAGTCTAAAGGTATATCTTATAATATATCGCTGGAAAGTGGAAACGTTTTGAAAAAATAATATCTAATAAATAAAGTTGTAGAAGGTAACGGAGAGTGGCGATAAAAATATAAATAATAATTTCTGAAAACTAACATTATTTAACGTAAATAACATGTTTTCAAGGAAATTAAATAAATGTTTCTTACTAAATGTAAACTTTATTTTTTTTTTTAGTTTGAAAAAACATATTTAAAATTCACGGAACAAAGGCAATAATATTGTTTAAGATACTATTTCATTGCACTTATATGAAAGAAAAAGTGAAATATAATAATATTTCATAGGCATGTTCATAACCTTGAATATATTTAGTGTAGATTAATAACTCTAGATCTGATATTATATTTAAATAATTAGGTATCTATCGTCCGTTTATTCCGAAAAATCATCATGTAAACGTTTATAAAATTATATTAGTGAATAATTTAAGAATTCTCCCTTTTATTTGTGATATCCCAACAGTATCCACTTACAAATAGTGTTACACCTTTTGACCTATCTATGACAGGCAATGCAAATCTCGTAATTCCACTTTAGTAAACTTTGCATTGGAAAATTACAGTTCAATAACTAATATTCGTACAATCCTTAATCAACGGATCGTATTATCTATAAACAACCGTTGATAAAATAATTATGATTTTTGTTATTTTAATGGTATTAATGATTTGTAAGCTGTAAGCTTTAGCTTTGGCTCGGTTAAAAATGTTCTTTATAAATTTTATAATAGCCCAGCATAGCCAGAAAATAATTTCTATTCAAAGTTGAACCGTAAGCGAATGTTGTGGGTTGTGCGCATCAGATTTTTCAAAAGTATACATAAGTAAAACAAAAATCCTTGCAATTATTCAAATATAAAAACAAATTAATTATAAATATTATATTTGTTCGTTTCTCAATAATTATGAATTTTTATACATAACAAAAACTTTCGCCTTTTTTTGGTCTATCGCCCCCTACCTCAATCAAAATCTAATGTTTGCGCCTATGCTTATGGTCCTCATCCGAGAACAGCGCATACAAATAAAACATCAACATGCCTCAGAATTTTCAATGTTTTTTTTTTCTTATATATGATTCATTTTAATAAAAAAAGAATGGGAAAATGTAATTTGTTTCTGTTTTTATAGTTATCACTGAATTCAGAAAAGGATGAAAAATCTGGCATAAATATTGTGATGTTAGTTATTAGGTAACATTGTTTTAATTTAATATGTTAGTAACATTGTGATTGGGATAATAATAATGATGGTTGGATAACAAAAAGAAAGTAATTGATTTTGTATTTAATGAGTGTTGAATAAAATAAACGGAAATGAGAATTTGAAATAAAATAGTGTAGACAGGAAAAATTATAAAACTTACTGTCTTATGATGAATATAGAGGTGAAAAACGTATTAAAAAAGTTTTAAGAAAGACGGTAATATAAATACATATAATTCTTAAATGAAAATAATTAATGTTCTAATTTTCCTTGAACTTTATTTTAAGGTTCAGCGATTGTTATCTCCACCCAAGAAAAGGGTGTTTCAACATTTACGGGAAGAATTAGGTGAGACCGCTTACAAATCTTATTGGACTACGGATTTAGGAAAAGCTCCAGATCAAGTACCGAACTTGCCGGTCGGAATGAATCCAGAAACTACGGTTTTTGGAAGGCCATCTAGTAACTATACATTATTCATAGCGATAAATACTTAAATCATGTTAACTTTTCTTCTTAGGCTATCTACAGTTTCAACCTTTTATAATTTTAATTAGTCCTGTCCAGATTTAGTAGATGAAATTACGCCTTTATGATTTTTCCATTGAGAGTGGCTTGGTCGCTTGTTACACTATTTCGTTCTCTTAACTGAATCTTAGCAACATTAAATAGGCTAATCAATTAGGGAACCAAATTCTTAAAAGCAAACCAGTTATTACCAGCAAGAAGTAGTACAGTTGGATAGCTCTGTGGATAAGGCAATGTGCTCCATATATCAAAGGTCTAGGTTCCATATTTTATTGTGCATATATCTTTAGGTAAATTTATCCAACACGCTGCCTCCTTTATCACTAATTGTAATGTACGCTGATTTATACTTTTTCGTTAGCTTTGTTGGTATTACTTCAAAATTTCTGTCATACTTTATGATCTCACCTGTTTTTGTCGACTAGATTCCTTTTTATTTTCTTGGCCAATAAACTAGCCTTCCTGTTATTCTTAAACTTTAAAAGTTCAATGGCTTCTGAAGTTCGAAATGGGTCCATGCCTTCACTCTATAGCAGTTGTGGTTTCCAGAAGCATCCAGCCTTAGGTTGTAGACCTAACATACATCTTTCACTGAACGAGTCACGATAAGTTCATGAAACTCTCTTGTGGAGCATTTTTTTAAGAAAATGAATGTGAAATTTTAGGAAGTCAGGAAAACTTTGAATCCTTTTGTAGAAACTTAGGGAAGTGTACAAAAAGTTATCTAATTAATAATTTTACATTATATAAAAATTTATCATTTTCGTATTTGTTTAACTAATTCAAGTATAATTTCTGTTTAAAAATTGATACTTTATAAAAACATGTCTAAATTAAATAATAATTTTGTAATTGCCTAATACATAAATATTGTTGTATTTTACAATTGCTAGCTGGTGTTATGTTTATATTATCAAATTATGTCTATCGTTGTACCTTATAATAAATAATTTTACAGTTTAATCTACGATGTGCAAGGACAATCAGATGTAAAAAAAAAATGTTATGCTTCTAACCTTAAATCCTCAACCTTCTTGAAAGAGGGGCACAAAAGTGTGCATCTAAGCTAAGATAAAGAAGCTATCCTAATCATCAAGTCTCTTACGGTGAACCGTCAACTATTCAAATCATTATAGAAAAATATTATTTTTTGTATATTTTTATCATCTTTTCGTGGTATATATTATTTCAGTGATTAATTAAAAAAACATTTTACACCAATTTCGTTTTTATTTTCAATCCTTTACTGGATTATGAACACGTTTCGGCTTAGCCATTTTCAAGTCTGAAAAGAAATTTTCAAAAAACAGTTATTGAAGTGAAAACTTCTTTAAGCGCATTTCGCACTTTTTTGTGGAGTGTGAATTAGATTGACCTGTCAGATTTCAGTCAAGTATTAACGCTCGGGTAAAGTCAACTAGAGTCGACTAACTGAAATGTTTTAACATATGTATTAAAATATCTTAGAAACTATAAATAGGGCCTGCACAATATAAGCGGGGAAATTGTTCAGCGTTTCATCTTTTCTGTAAATGGCTATAATTCTAAATTGTATCTTAACGCGACGCCGTATTAGGTTGGCGAAAAGAAAAAATAGTGTCGAAAACCAAATGATAACGAGTTTAGTTGAACATGTGGATTAAAATATTTCAGATACTAAAAATGGAACCTGTAAACTGTCTTACTGTTACGTGGAAAATGTTCAGCAATTCATCTTCTTTGTAATGAGTTATTGTTTAGCAGAGTAGAGGATGTAGAGAACTGGACCCATGACGCTGTCATGCGGAACACCAGCTTCTATTGGATAATGGTTGGGGAGTTGTGTGCCGCAGCGATTTGATAAAAATCGGAAGCCAAGGAGCCATAATCACGCCGGAGGGGGTGGGAAGTGGTGTGGTATTTTGCTTCGTCACTACCGAAGGTAGGAAAGCATTGTGTCCGTGCGAGAGGTTGAGGTTTGTGATCAGAATCAAAAATTTTCACTCGCGTTTAAGTTTCCGACATCAAGGATCAAATTTGGTTCGGTGGCTATCGGTCTGTAGTCAAATCGATGTGACGGGCATATCACCTAGTACCGTTCACCCAGGGGATTATTTATTATCCGGGGGATTACGCAAATTTTCTGAGATTATGCGGATTGGTGTCTAGATGGCTCCATATCAATTTTGTCAAATTCAGCTTACGTACGCGCAAACGTATTTTTTCAGATATACCAATATTTCAGAAGTTAATTTATACTGTATTGTTTCGTTGATTCCAAACGTTACATAGATTTCGTGTAATTTTCAATAAATTTAAATTAATTTTTACTCTGAGGTTGTATAAAAGAAAAATATTATACACTGACAGGCAAAAAATTCCACCCATTTGATTTTTTCATGGTTTCATCTAAAAATATTTTACCCACTTGTAAAAAAAGTTGTATTTGTATATAATACATGGTATTTGTAGATAATACTTAGTGTTTATGGAATTTTATAATCTTTTTTACATTTAATAATCAACATGTGATTGGGTAAGAAAGATTAGAGAAAAAAAAAATTGAAAAACGAACCATTATTATTCTAAAAGCAATTAATTACACCATCGTTTAGTAGCGCGTGTTTCCTCCTCTAGCCTTCACTACTTCTTGAAGACGCCTCGGCATACTTTCCACCAGGCGGGAAATGCCCCTTTGCTGGAGGATAGCCCATTCCTCCCGAAGAACCCTTTCAAGGTCCTGCAATGTATCAGGAAGTGTTGCACGCGCTCGTATTCGTCTTCCGAGGTTATCCCATAAATCTTCAATGGGGTATAATCTGGAGAACGTGCTGGACAGGCTAAAACCTCAATATTGTTCTGTTGAAGGAACGTCTACACTATGCGGGCGACATGTGGGCGTGCATTAGAATAGAACGATCACCGATTTCCTTGAGGGTAGGCAACACATAAGGTTCCAAAATCTCATTTACATAGCGAATGGCCTTCAAAGACCCTCCACGAACAAAAACCAATTCTGTGCGGAGCTTCATTGAAATCCCAGCCCACACCATTAAGGAACCACGTTGGAAAGGTTGGCTTGGAAAAATTACAGGCTGCATATCTTTCGTTTCTTCTTCTCCACACCCTTTCACGCCCGTCTGGATATCGAAGAGCGAATCTTGACTCATCTGTAAAAAGTACAGCACTCCATTCGTCCATAGTGCAATGGCTGTGTTCTCGAGCAGAAGCCATCCGTGTTACTCTGTGAGTGCTCGTCAACTCTGGTCCTCTTACTGGACGAAAAGCCATTAATCCATACTCATTTAATCTTCTCCAAGCGTACGTTTAGAAATTTGTACACCTCGAACTTCTTCGAGCTGATGAATCGCTTGAACAACGGTAAGGTGCCGGTTTCGTAAAATTCTCTAAGTAAAAAACCGGTCATCCCATGGTTCTGTTACCCTAGGCCGTCCAGAACCGGGCCTACTATTGTAAGAACCAGTTTCCCGAAAACGCCTACGGCGTCTCGTAAAGTTTCATATGGAACTCCGATGGCATTAGCTGCATATATAATGGAACATTAATCATCAATGAGTGCCACACCACTAATATTGAAAAAAATAAAAGCCGGAGACTAAGAAATGTGTTGCAAGAAACGGCACTGAACTAATGACACTGAATAAACATTTTGATTCCATAGAAAGTAAACATTGGAATCTAGAATCATTTCATTGAATTAAGGATTAAGGATTATTGTACTCTATATTAACATTCCTAATTGAAAACAAACAAAATTATTACCTATTTATTCATTAAAAACGATAGACCAATCCAAAGCAGAAATATTTTTAGATGAAAACATGAAAAAATCAAGTGGGTGGAATTTTTTGTCTGTCAGTGTATGTGATTTTGTTTGTTTCTATTGAAGTTCAACCAGCTCGTCGTGGTATTGAGTTTCTGTGTGATTTTTACATATATTTTTATATTCCAGGTTAAATAGTTTTGTTCTGACTGAAGAAAAGTATTGGTCTTGTTATCTCTGAAAAAACAAAAAGTTTAGTTTTTCTTATTTCTTTTATGAAGCTTTTTTTTTACATCGATTTTATGAGTTAATACATGCCGATTAAGTATATATTACTACTGTTAGTGCAAAAAGTCGTCAGCATTCTACTACAATGAAAAATAGCAGAAAGCAATAAATTATGAAATTATACTAATAAATCATAACGAAACAATTAGTTTTTATCCTTTCCTGTAAAACACTCAAGGTTTACATACGACTTTTGGCACGAACAGTAGTGATGTTCATGTCAAGTACACACTCGATTTTTTTTTTTAATCCCCAGTTTTCAAATATGCAATCTGCATATACGGAACTTTTTCGCATTTAAGTATTCACTGATGAACAAAGCTCGTGGATATCAAACCTGTATATGTTGAGGGATTACTGAATTTCCGATAAAGTTTAGACCTTGTAATATAGATATTTTTTAGCAAATGCAAACTGTGAAGAAACTGTTCTGACTTTCCTTGGCAGACTTTTTTTTCTTAGATTCCAACGAGAGTTTTCAGAAGTAGAGAGGTGGAAATTGAAGTATTGGGATCTGAAGGTAGGCAATTTCTTTTTTTAACAGTTTGGAAAGGTGGTTGAACAATTTCCGATCGTCAGGATGTCTGGTTCTTTGCCAGTGGGTCCTGGACATCGTTTGGCAGTGCTTACATCGTTTGGCATGAATGAGGCCTTAAGGGATAGGATCTTTCTTGCGGTATTTCAGAGAAGGATAAGTGAGGAAACAGTCCAAACTGCTTGTTGGATGGAGGCCGTGAAGGAATTAGCGGCATCATGTATGTCTTGGGGAGTTTTTATGGATACTCTAAGGTCAATTTTTTCGTTTAATATTGATTGAAAAAGATTCCAGTTTACCTGGCCCCTTATGAAAGAAGGTGGATATGGATTGGGATTTGGTGATGTGGAAAGGGTCAGAATAAGCGGAATATGATCCGAGGATAGATCGTCGAGCCCTGAAACAGAATAATTCAGTGGCCCCAGACCTTTGAGGATGAAAAAATCTAGAATGTCGGGATTGCGGTTAGGATAAGTTGGTCAGTATATGGGAGTGTTCGATGAGATAATTTTGCGATGAAGGGTAATAAGTGCAGACAGCAATGCCCGCCCTCGGGTATTCATCGTTCTGGCTCCTCATTGCTGATGTTTAGCATTTTGGTCTGCACCTAGAAGGAAATGGTGTACTAAGGAATTAAGGAAAGATTTTATTTGGGATTCGGAAATGGATGTTTTAGGCTGAGAATACGTTGCAACAATTATTAAAGGAAATAATGGGGTTTGAATTGTGACTACAATGGCCTGTAAGAAATCAAGGATAGGTAGGGGGAACAAGTGATGGGAAATGGATTGGTGGATGATGACAGTAGTATCACCATGGGTTGTTCCATCGGGTTAGTCTATTCGATAGATTTGGTAGTTAGGTATGTTGAATAATCATTAACTGGTTAATCGGGTTTCGGTTATTTGGGCTATGTTAATATTTTTTTAATTTAGTAAAATTTTTAGCTCGTTAGTGTGGTGTCGAACACTATTCGCGTTCTAAAGGAGAATGGAACGGGATTTCCTTGTGGTAATATAAGGATTTTTTTGAACCCCATTCCCCATGAAGTATTAGATTGGACACATCATTTGGCAATAGTGTGATAAGTGGAGTGATGAGTGATCTGAATTGAGACAGGAATAATTTGAGGAGGCTGGTGATGTCATTGGCATTGTTAGGAGGTATGTAGGAGATTTGGTGGTGATTGGGGTTTTGGGTAGGTGGTTGAGGTTGGATATCATGTGGTTGTGTCAACCACTGATTATGCAATGTGAGGCTGTTCTAAATATATTAACATGTCGGCGAATGTTCATTTGTTATTCTGGAGGAGTGCCTGAATGGTCTATGAGGTCTAGATGTCTCCTCCGGCCCGTGTGCTGTCTTCATCCTTGATTTTAAGGTTTTGTATGTTTCATATCCCTTATAGTTAGCCGGGTGTCGTTAGTGGAATAATGCACATACAACAGGCTCTTGTCTAGGCTTTCTGCAGTGTTTTGTTTTTTGATTTGTACCACATTTCACACATCTCTGCACAGGCGGATTTACGGGGAGGGGGCTTTCGGGCTGAATGGTAAAATGTAACCATGTTTTATGGTAAAAAATATAAAAAAATTATGTCTTAAAGTATTATTGCTCGTTTAATTACATTTAGTAGGGCTTCAAGAATCACTTAAACACCATTTCATATGGGTAATTATTATCTTTCTGTTTTTCCATCCTAATTATCGTTATATATATGAAAAAAAAATAGCTTCCGGGCTGAAGCCCCCCCCCCAAAATTAAATCCTGGATCCGCTAGTGCATCTCTGTAAATGATGGCAGTAGTGTTTTATGTGGCCATGAGTCTGACAGTTATAGCATTGGACTATATCCCGCTTAGGGTTTTTCGATGATTATACTTGTGTAATAAAGACGGTTAACACTATAGATGTCCTATACCTGAGGCTTTGGCTCAAGGTCGACGAAGAATAGAGGTAGAGTTATTTTATTCTTTTCTCCAGCGTTGTATTTTTCTCTTTATGCACGTTTGAAATTTCACGAACAAGAAATACCATAGCCGTTAACTCTTATTTTATAACATTCAGTGGTGTTGTGGGGTGAAGTCGACTGATTACGACCCTTAGCGCTCTTTCCTGGCGTAACTGATAAGTGTGAAAATCTGCATTGGAGTCAGAAAGACATTTCAATATTTTTCTGTAGGTACCAACAACTTTATTTAACTGTTGGCACAGAAGTTGAACATTTTTTATATTTTTAATAAATATCGGAGGAGGCTTGGCTTCTTTGGGAATGGGTGCAGTTTCTCTCTTCTGTATTTGTGTTTGATAGCACTTGATATTGATTAGGAATAAAAAAAAGGAGATTCTTCCGTGGCTTGAGAAGAGCTGTTTTACTGATAAAAAAGTCACTAAATATAGTGCGATCCAACATACGTTCACGAAAAGCTAGCGCCTTCGCAGAAAAAACAACTAGAATTATAACACGAATTTGAATTTCTGCGGAAAATCGGCCCATTGTTAATATGAACCTTTTTGTAGCTCTGGAGGTCTACTGTTACCTCTTTAAATGTTTCCCTCTACTAATGGGAGAAAATTATTTTGAAGATTTCCTTCTTCTTCCTGTGGGAAAAATAGTCACATTACCATACACATCCAGGAAAAGATTATTTTTTGCGAAAAACCTAAACACTATACATTTTATTGTGCTCAGGATTATTTAAAAGATTATTAAATTTCTACAAAAACAAAAATCAAAATCGGACTATTATTTTTAATGATACAGTTTATTGTAATTTGTAAACATGAATGTAATGTAATGCAAATTGTAATACTGGTTTAGAACATAAATGACTTTTTTTTTTATTTCTTCATTGAGTATTATAACAATCTGTCTCTTAAGACTTTAAATTAATTTTTTTGTTGGCTTGGTGAATTATAATTACTGAGAAAAAGATAATAGATTCTTTCATCTTATTAGCATTAACTTATTTTCTTATTATTTTGTTCACCAATTTACCATGCCCATTATTCTTACGGAGCAACAAGTATATAGTGTAGATGGTATCTAAATATAAATTATTATATTTGTTATACATTACACAAAGGGTTAATTTTTTTAATTTGTTCTCTTTTTTAAGAAAAAACTGAAGAGGAATTCACAAACACTGTTAGCGATGTGGTTTTCCCCAAGAAACCATATGGTGAAATTGAACTTGAATATGAATTAGGATTGAATTTATACAAAAGAACTCATAATCACTACCTCCCAGGGCAAAAGAGAGATCACTAGTAAGAATTGCTTTCTTTTTAAATTAATCATTAGAGCAGGCTTTCTTCTTAAAATAAGATTTCAAATAATAGTAATATTGGATTTCCGGAAAATAATGCAGGATTTTGGTTTACAAAGAAAGACTTACAACTGTTTTATTTAATCAAAATAGTCTCCACTATTTTATCTCCACTTATCAATAAATTTCTGCCAACATGTTGGCCACTTTTCCATTCCATCGGAATTGAAATTTCCATCTTTAGAATTGATAAACTCCAAAAACGCATTTTATTATTCCCCTTGTCCATTAAATTTTTTGTCACGTAAGTAGTGGACCAGGTTTCTAAAAAAATGATTATCCGTAGGTGAGAGGTCCGAAGAGTAGGGCGGATGTAGCAGATTTTCATATCAAAGCTCCACGTGCGATATGTGGACTACCGTTGTCATGTAACAAAATTGGGCCCTTCCGATTGACCAAAGATGGCTTCATTATTGCCAATTTCTAAAGAATTGCATTAATTTGGGTACTGTTAGTTCTCGAACAGTCGTTCTAGGGTTTTCTTCCACCAAAGCTCGCAGAACATCGTCATCAAGAGAGGAAGTCCTTCCATGACCTTCTTAGTCTTCAAGGCTGAAATCTCCTTCCCAAAATTTTTTGAACGACCGTTGAACAGTGCACTCATTAATGCAGCTCTCGCCCCAGAGTTGATTGATCTTTTTGGCCGTCTGGGTCCCATTCCGGCCAGGCTTAAAGTCGTAAAACAAAATTATACGAAAATCACGCGTTTAAATCTTACTACAGACTGAATTATTTCCAAGCAGCCAAATGCTACACAGAGATGAACAAACATTATGGAAGAGGATTTATAAGTTTGTTGACATTTATAATGTTTATTGACATTCATACAAATGAATGAGCCAGTAAACATAAACAGTTTGTTATATCGAGGCGTATTTTAAAGAAAACTCAAAATCCTGCATTATTTTGCGGGTAACCCGATAGAAAATTCCCGCATGGGCTTGCTTCGTGCATAGGGGCTAGTGGGGATTAGAGCTCTCCCGGAACCCTCGGCGATCGCCGTCTAGCCGACCTGGCCTGTCGTCTAAGTACCTGTTTAATTCAAACATTGCCTTTGATTTAGGTGTCCCTTTCGGAGAATGTTGCTCTTAGGCACTCATGAATGTTCAGACAACTTTTTTTTCTTTATTTTTCTGGACTTTTCTCCGTATCTGGAACGAATTCCAGTGGTGAAACATTCAGTTCCGTTCCGACCTGTAGTTGGAATTGCCCTACCCTGTGTACTTCCCTAACCTACATTGTGTTAAAAGACAAAACAATTAAATAAATTATTAAAAAACTTTATTCATTTTGTCTGTGATTTGTGGTGGTGTATTATGATAAATTGATTATGAAAATATATTTTCATTATTGTAAAAAATACTGTTTATCCAAAAATTAATCATTTACAGTTATAATACACAAGTTGTTAATGTTTTTTAAACAGATCTTTATTATAGGAATTGATGCTTATTGTAGTATTAAATGACCAAATAATTTTGGATCAAACTAAGATGAGCAAATATTCGAAACCCTAATATTTGTTTTCATAAAAAAAAATAAACCAATTGACATTTTTTTTTTTAAATTTATAACTGTTAATTTACATTATTAAGCTATTACCTTAAATTGGCATTGACGCCCAATTAATAGTGAATATTACTCAATTTTTATTAATAAAAAGTGTGTTTTCATAATTGATTGAGTACAATACACCCCAGCTTACAAAGGAAAAAAAAAATCAAATAAATCAAAGTTTTGTAATAATTTATTATAGTTATTTTTCCAAAAACACAGGGATTACGGAGTGACATAATGTCAAATCACATATTTTTTTTACACAAATTTCATTGAAGTGGTAATAATTGATATATTACGAAATCCTCACTATTCATTTACCGGCCGTGTATTATTTGTATTTTCCTGTTTTATAAACACTTATTTTAAATTAAAAGAATTTTTATAAGAAAATAATTCTTACTATTGGTAATGTAATCATATGATGCAGTTACGACGCTCCTAATGATCTCGTTTTTGGTAAAATTGGAGAATATAGCAAAACTGGGAAAGGAACGAAGCATTGCCTCCAGTGGTTTGTGCAATCAAATGTTTCAAGAACATCAAAAAGACTCGCCAAGTTTAAAGAAAGGACTTATGCTCCATTTGGCCAAGTCCTTTCTCCGTAAGTTAAACTTGATATTATTATTTTATTTTTTTGCACAAATGTATTTAAGTGTTGGAATAATCTAATAAAGTATATATCATACGATTTAAAATATACTTATGTAACGAAGATTAGTAGATAAAAAATAATATGACATTCGTTTCTGCGTGTATACATCCTGACATTTCGAATCCCACACCCTTCACTCTATCATAGGTATATTCGTTTAACATACTCCAACTCAAAGAAGCTTCTTTTTTTGATAAATTATATTAATTAAGAATAATACAAAACTTCTTTGAGTTTTTCGAGGACCCTCCATGTTCCATAATTATCGTACAACGTTTTGAAATTTTAATATCGCGTTCTTCAGAATCGATTTATTTTAACTTTTCAGATTTTTAGGTTTACTATAGGTAGTGTTGCCCAAAATCGGTCAATTGCAAAGTGCAAGACCAAGACCAAGACTGTTAAAAGAAATTGATTTTTGTAATAAAAATTAAGGCAAAATAGTTACTAATGCTTAACAATTTTAGTTACTATATGTAAAGACTTGGTATAACCAATATAATTTTGCATTTAACTTCTAATTTTTCATTCGGGCTTAGTTAGGTTTCCCCTATCTAAAAAAATACATTAATATCTCTATAATACTAAGCTAATAGGTAACTGCAAGACCGTTGCGAGACTCTTGCGCAAGACCAAGACCTAGACCAAAACTGAGTTTGCAAGACCAAGACTTGTCTCTCGCATTTGGGCAACACTAACTATAGGGTTGTCAGAGACATAGTTTTCGAAAATGCTATCGTGCTGAAGCCAGCTTTTATGTGTAAGTAGCAATTTAATTAAACTTGAGGGATTTATTCGATCTCGAGGTCCATAATCATGTTATCGATTTTTAAAATACTATAAATTCTAAGATGATAAATAATTCATGATTCGATAGAGAATTTAGTTTGAATCTTATTATTCATATCTAATAAATTCTTAATTTACATTCTTTTGATAAACCATTCCTACACCAAAGAATTCAGTAGACCTAATAAATAATCGCTCAAAAGCTTTAAGCTTGAGTGAGGGAATGGAAAAATAACCCAAAATGGAAAAGTTCTTTTTCATTGGTTTATGTGGAGTGATTTATGCTGATTTAATACCCAAACAATCATAATATATTTTATATTTAAATTATAAGGATGAGTTAACCGGAGAGTTCAGACGGTTACACAACGCCGAATTGCGTGAACTGTATCCGGGTAATATAATTGAGGTAATTTCATCGCGGCGAATCAAATAGGCTTTAAAGTTGTTGGACTTGGTAACGAGAGAATTCCTAAAAGGTTAATATTTACTGTGCCGAATGGTAAGCGTCCGAGGGGCAGACCGAAGCGAAGGTGGGAAGATTGCATTAAAGCCGATCTGAAGGGACTGGGTCTGGACGGCGAACGGTGGAGGGAAGTGTGTAATAAGCGATTGGTGGTGTCGGCATCGAACCTTAGGGTTCGCTAAGCCTGTTTATTATTATTATTATTATTTAAATTATAAGGCATATTCAGTTGCTAAATGAAAGTATGTGTGTCATCATCATCATGTGTGGCACGACATCCCGTTACCGAGACTGGGCCTCCTCCAAGAGCCTCCGTTAGTTGGCTCTGTCTTCTGCTGCAGCTCTCCAGTTCCGTACACCAAGCAGGGTTCTCGCATCATAGGCCACGTTGTCCAACCACCTCGTCCTCGGCCTTTCTACCCGTCTTGCGAGGTGCAGCTTCTCCATCATTATTTCCTTGGGTATCTCAACGGTGCTCATTCTGGCCACATGCCCTGCCCACCTTAGTCTGGCCAGTTTAATATAGGTGACTACGTCGATGTCTGCATAGAGAGAACTGAGCTCCCTATTTTTAAAGTATGTGTGTATATATATATATATATATATATATATATTATATATATATATATATATATATATATATGTATGTATGTATAAGTATTATTTTTCCTGTAATTACCGATTTTGTTATTTTTTCTTTCAAGGCTTATTTACCGTTATATTCCAAAGTAATTACCGTTATTAGAACAATCTTTCCAAAATTAAATTCTGGATCCGCTGCTCATTCGTGTATATGAAAAACAAAATAAAATTGGTAGCATAAAAACCTATCGTTTTAACTTAGGTAAAATGCTTATTATATAAAGAAAAACTAATATGTTATAAAATATTTCTGAATTATCGAATACTGATACGAAGCAAAAAAGGATAACCATAAAAGGGTTAATAGAATTCCATTAGAAATAAAAAAAATTTTAATAAAATCAATGTGCATAAATTGAAATCGTTACAAACTGTTTTATACTTAAGAGTACATATATCAAAAACTGTACTCATCAACATAATCTGCTGGAGGAGAGAGTAGACTTTGCGGAATCCAAATTTTAAAAGAAAAACTCTTTATTAAAAATGCTTGTTCAAATTTCAAATAAATTAATCGCTAATAGAGTTGAAGAGATGAGGCCCCTTGACTCTCCGCCTATTGATGATTTGCTCTTATAAGTTCTAAGAGAATATTTTTATAGGAATAAGAACATTCTGGCAGTAGGATTGGATCATACTTTCGGAATTAAAACTATCATTGATGAAACTGGTGCAAGGGAAGCAATGCGGTATGTCCCTGTAAATAATGGGAAATATGTCATTGGAGAATTTATTTCTTACATTTCTTCATTGAGAAACAAGTTAAAGAAGAGAATTCCCCCTTTTCCATTTTTTGAACTTTTGGCCAATTTTAAAATACTAGATCAGGTATACTATAAGTTGCAATATTGATTAGTTCTACTACAACTAGTAATAATATTAATTAGCCATACTACAATTAACCGACCAGGTATATTATAGTTAGCAATAATATTATAACTGCATTACTGTCCTCATTAAGTTCCTAAGAATATATTAATGTATTTTTTTGCTTTCGCTCAGGAAAGAGTTTTAGAAAAATAACAATTGTGTGAATGATATTGGTGAGATATTCAAAAGTGATAGCATAACATAAATAAATTAAAATTTAAAATTAATACAGAAATAACTCTGAGGGAATCCACTTACAGACATAAACTCCTTGGTAGATTGTTAGCGAAGTTGACGTATACGATTATTTAAACTGGGTGTAGAAGAAAATGTAGTCAGTTTTTTTTTTAATTATAATTTGTTTTCCGTTTTAACGGTTTTAGTCTGTCAAGTATTGACAATTTACCTTATTTATTAACATGGGGGAGAGAATGGCCGAGCTGGCTAACGCGTATGCAAGACATGCTTTCTCCGCCGATTAGATAAACTTTAATATAACCTGTTAAATAATTTCGAATTCGAGTTTGGGACCGCGGTGGTCGAGCGAGTTAAGAAGCCTACAAAAATACACTCAATTTGGGAGGCTTTTGGTCTTGAAGTTACCTTTAACATTTTCAATTCTAACCACGCCGCTGACTGGGGCGAGCGTAAGGTTCTTTGCACATAGGCTCTAACTTACTCACAAATTACTCAAATTTGGTCTCTTTTTTTAATTCAAATGTTTTTGAAGCTAATGAATTTGAATTCAAGCAATTTGGTTGACAATTTGCATGCACTAAAAGCAAGATAATAAAATATTAATCTTTTATCTTGAATTTAACTGTATAGGTAGTTGTTTTTCTGTTTAAAAGTTACGTGAGTACATATGAAATATTATATTTAAGATAGCAAACATTCTAGTATAAAATAATTCATACGAAATTTCATAAAATTTCAATTTCACTTTTAGAACGCAAACTTTTCGCTTCCTGTCATACTTTACCTTTAATTAGTTCATAAACTTGATATGATGAAAGCAGAATTGATTAACAAATTATCAACCATTCATTAGATAAATGTATAGGAACTAGAGAAGTTCAATCTGTCTACTGATGTACACACTCAATTTTTTTTCTTTAACTGTCAAAAGTAAAATATTGTATTCATTCAAATACAATAATTTGAAATATGTTAGCAATATTTTGAAACGTGATAAACTGTTCTTTTTTCATTTTGATTTATTTAAAACAAATATTCTATGAAGAAAATATTTTTTTGACATTATTGCTCTAATATATCAATTGCTATTTATATCACTTATTTTGTGTTAAATAATAATTGTAATAATAATTTACAACAAATATAAGTACTTCACGTAAAATAAATTTTGTAAAAATATTTGTGGTAGATACCAACAGATTGTTTAAAATCCATATCTTGTAGTTTGTATTGTTAACATTGTTGAGATATTGTACAATTTATCACCTATTTCATAACAACACATTATAATCAAATATAAATATATAAAGTAAACTTAGCTATTAAACTTGTGATATGTTTATAATTTGGTCAGTTTAGACAACTAGATGTTATGAAGTTAAAAAATTGAGTCGATAGTAATAGTCCAGTAACCTTGTCATGAAAAGGGAGGTCTAAGTTGCATAGAATGGGGGTAGAAGTTTTCTAAAGTAAGTTGTTGTTATTTAGGGCTTAGGGGCGTTAAACCCCGAGGTCATCAACGCCTATATAATCTTCATTTCAATTATTCCAATAATAAATGCGTAAGGTTTGTATGCCCTATCCTTAGTCTAGTCAATGCAACTTCCTCCCTTCGAATAGGGCGGTTCAAGATGGACCATTGTTTTATAGATTGCTTGATTTCCTTCAGTTTGTTCGGGGGGCTCTCGTCCCGTATGGATTGCCAGACAAAAGCTATTTCCTTTTTGAGGGGAAGACTTGTGTCATGCGGTATTAATATGGCCGCGCCGCCATGGCCTTGGCATTATCGAGCATGCTTTTAAAATAATTGGATGTCTCGGATATATATTATTAATGCCTTTTAAAGAACTCAAGTCTGTTATTATTACAATAGTTTTGGGAGTCATCGGCATGGATAAATGGAGAGTTGAGGCTATTGCGTGAAATCTAGTTGTTCTGCACAACTTACGTAGTTTTATTATGAGGGTGGAATCGCTGGTAATAAAAGAAGATGCTATGGATTCTTCGGATTTTGATCCATCGGTATGTTGCCAGGAAGGTATTGGGATGGACAGGGATATCGGCGGTAAAAAGGATATAAAAAGGACGGGGCGCAAGACGCTACCTTGAGGATCACCGGCTTCAACTGGGTAGGAGTTGAAAAATTCTGAACCACAGCGAACCCAAAGCGCTTCAGAGAGGTAGGAGCAGAGGATTAAGTACAAGGACTGAGGTAGATAGGTTTTCAGCTTGGAAAGAAGCCCGGCGTGCCATACCCGGTCAAAAGCTTGAGCTATGTCCAGAAAAGCACCCGAGCAATATTGCTTGCTTTCCAGTGCTGCGGAAATATGATCGACCACTCGGAGTCCTTGTTGGACTGTGGAGTGTTATGAACGAAATCCGAACTGATGGGAAGGAAGATTTTATTATTCTATTAAAGGTAGGATTCGTTTCAGGAGGATCTTTTCAAAGATTTTGGAGAGGATTGGAAGTAGGCTAATTGGTCTGTAGGACTTAGAGGTGTTGGGAGATTTGCCTGGTTTCGGAAACAGGATAATAGTGGAATGTTTCGACAAAAGAGGAAAGTGGGTGGTTCTAAGGATGGTATTATATAAGTATGTGAGAAATATAACAGTTTTAGGATGAAGTTGTCGAAGGATTTGAGAGGTAATGAGATCGTATCCAGGAGATTTACGGAGAGGAAGTTTTCGTAAGTGACGTTTGACCTCAGAAGGATTAATTGCTTTAGGGGGTAAGGAAAGTGGAATGGGTGATGTAAGGAATTCTTCTACTGTTATGGTATGGGTGAGATTGGATTCCGGAAGTGAGGTGAATGTTCTGGAGAGATGTCTGGCGAATTCCTCAGCTTTGTCTTCATCAGACGCTGCCCAGGGAAATATGATAGGATTTAAGGATTTTGTTGGTGATATTCCATAGAGAATTGTCGTGAACAGAGAGGGAAGTAAGGTAGGAGTTGAAGGATTGGGATTTGAAGATGGCCAATTCCTGCTTTAATCGTTTAGTGAAATAATTATAAGAGCGACGATCGGTGGGGTGTCTTGAACGTTGCCATAATAGTCGGGCACGGCGTTTGATATGAATTAGATCTAGCAGGTGCTGAGGTAAATTATTTTTCTTAGGAATTTTCAAGGAGAGATTTGGAGAGGAAGCAGTCCAGATTGCTTGCTGAATAGTGGTGGTAAAGGAATTTACGGCATTATCGACGTCTTCTGGGCTTTTCATGGATATTCTGAGGTCAATTTTATCGGAAAAGATTTGATGAAAGAGTTTCCAGTTAACTGGGCCTCAGATGAAGGACGGTGAAGGGGGTTTAGGAATAGGAGCTATTGATAATTGAAGTATTAATGGACTATGATCTGAGGAAAGTTCGTCAAGACGGGTAAGGGAATGATTGAGGGGACCTAAACCACTGTGGATGAAAAAATCAAGGATGTAAGGATTGCGGTTAGGATCAGTGGGCCAGTAGGTTGGTGAGTTGGGCGGAAGGAGACTGAAACGTTGGGTATTGAGTGCAGACAGAAATGTTCTGCCACGAGAATTCGTAGTTCTTGAACTCCAAACTTGATGCTTGGCATTTAAGTCTGCACCCAGGATGAAATGATGACCTAAGGAGTTGAGGAGAGAACTGAACTGGACATTGGATATGGATCTGTTAGGAGGGCAATATGCTGATGCAAGGGTGACTGGAAAGGAGAAGGTTTTGATTACAATAGCGGTTGACTGTAGGAAATCTTGAGTAGGTAATAGGAGTAAGTGATGGGAGAGGGATTGGTGTACGATGAAAGCAGTACCGGCATGTGCTCTACCGTCAGGATGGTCAGTACGGTATGTTATATACTGTGGGATTTTTAAATGCTGTTTTATGGTCAGTCGAGTTTCTGTAATTAGGGCTACGTCAATGTTCTTGTCTTGTAGTAAAGCTCTTAGTTCATCAACGTGATTTCTAACACCATTCGCATTCCAAAGGAGAATGGACATGGGTTTTGGGATGTGAGTCATTAAGGATTTTTTAAAGGAGGGATGAGGTGAGATACGAGATTTGTAAGGAGTGATATGAGTGGAGTAACAAGGGATTTGAAATCGGTGAGGAAAGATGCTAACAAACTGGTGAGATCTGTTGCATTTGAAGGAGGAGAAATATGAGGAATTTGAGGTTGTTGATGATTATGTGTGTTAGGATGAACAGAATATTGAGGTTGAGGCTGAGGTAGTTGCTGCGGCAGAGCTTCACATGTATTATTTGGGTTCTTACCTCCAAGTAGTTCGGAGTATGATAAATTATTATTAACAATTCTAGAATGTTCTCTTCTTGGTCTGGTTGTCTCATCTTGAATCCGGTTCTTCTGGTATCTGGATTTGAGGCTCTTATAGGTTTGTCAGCCTTTGTAGTCGGCCGGGTGTCTCTCCTGACATAGTGCACACACTGCAGGATCTTGTATCGGTTTGGTGCACTCCACAGATTTGTGCTGTTCACCGCATTTCACGCAACGCGGCAGATGCTGACAATAATTTTCCGTGTGGCCATACGCCTGGCAATTGTGGCACTGCACAATTTCCTTCTTGGGGTATGGCTTCTCTATCTTCACGATAGTGCAGTACAATCTCTTGATATCATATATTTTCTCAATACCAGGTGATGGCTCTAGGTCCACGAAAAATAAAGGTAGTGGAATTTTATTTCTTTCTCCTGGCTGCTCCTTGTTCTCCTTCAGAACGTTGGTTACCTGACGCACTTTGAAACCAAGCGTCGCTAGTTCTTCTTTTATCACTTCAGTTGGGGTTGAGGAGTGTAAATTTCTTACCACCACTCCTAGCGATCTCTCCTGTTTCAGCTGGTACGTGTGGAAATTTGCATTCGTTTCTTGCATTACGACAGGTACTTCATAATTTTTCGGTGGGTTTCTGCAGTATCTGGTGTTATTTTTGTATCGTTGGTTCTGTTGAGACAAGAATAACTGCCTGGGCTGATTTCGTTTAGTTGTGTACACAGTAGTTGGAAGTTTTTGATATTTTTACAAATATCGGAGGAGGCCTTGGTTCCCTGGATATTGCTGCTGACTCCATTACTTCTCTGTCATTATGAGGCAGTTGGAACGGGTTTGGAGTGAAGAAAGGAGATTCTTCAACCATTTCTTGCGAAGAGGTACCTGGTTGAGGCTGAGGTTCTGGACCTGAAGTTTTCACTGTGGTTATTGGAGCTATTTCTCGCAGGCAGCGACGAGTTCTTTGTTTCGCTAGTGAATCACAAGGGGTACTAACACCGTCTGACCGAGTCCTCTTAGTGGGCACCTTACTGGACATCACTTGCTGGCAATGCCGCATATCATAAGAGGAAAAAAAAATTAAAAAAAAAAAAATTTCAAATAAAAAAAATGTAGCAAACAGTAAATAACAACTGCTCTGGTGTACACTTCAACTGTATTCAGTAAATAATCAAAGAGATTCCGCTGAAAAATAGGCAAAAACTGAGAGTAACTTAAATTAAACATTTTTTTAGTTATTGCTTTTTATTCAACAAAAAACGTGGTTAGCTTAAAAATTACAAAATTTATATAATTATGTTGTCAATGATTTCTAAGAACATTAAAAAGAAACTTTGAATAATTATTTGAACGATCGAAAATGTTAAAAAAACTAATTTTTTTTATATAGAAATATAATAATCTGTCACGTGGACAATAATTACAGTGATATATAAAATCATTCACACCGTATATACAGAAAATATAAAATTAAAAAAAGTAAAATAATAACTAAATAATAATCAAAAACTATGTACAATAAAATATAAAATAACCTAAAGATAAGTAAATAAAAAACATAAAAACACAGTCATACCTATATACAATCAAGGAGGGAACTCCAAGCCAAGCTTCTCCCTCCAACTATAGAAGGAAAAGCAGGACTCCAAGACAGCCCTGCGCTACTCTCTCAACTAAAGCCAGTGGAGTTTGAGCGAGAGCGCTTTAGCCACAAAAAAACTAATTAAGCTTCAAAAATGTATCGTCTACAGTAAACAACATAAATTTCGAGTTTTGGAGCAATTTTTGCTTAAAGTGGAAATTCAATAAATATAATATCATAAATGTTCCCGTAAGCATTGATTTTGTCAAAAAAAAATTGTATAAGATCATTTTTATATAGGTTTTAAAGTTCTTTAAGATTGTAGTGGACAATCTTTGCGAAAATCCTCATCGTTTTTGAGATTTTCTCAAAAAACTAAAAAAAAAAATTTTCTGTCCTTCCTCCCCCTCCATCCATCAAAACCCGACGCGGGATTTTCTGGGACTTTTTACAAGTTATTATGGGGAGGCTAGTGAACAATTTCTTACAAGTTTCATATTTATTTTTTGAATGTTTGGATTCAGTCCTTAATTTTACTGGACTAATAGTACTTATCCGGAATTTCGATTTTTCACACATCGCGAAATTAAAATACAACACTTTTAATAGCTGAACACCATATACAATTCTACCGTTTGCAACAAAATTAAATAACTTATTCCTGCCACTTGTAAAAAAAGGTCAGACCACTTTTATCTTTTATTTTATCATTTTTAAGTTTCATCTGAAAACGGTTGATAGGATTGATGTGATAGTAAGTAATCTATTATCTTTTAGATTTGCTTCTAAGCCTAAAATTATTTAAGTGCCACACAATTAATCAATTTTCTAATGTAGAAAGGAGTAACATTATTATCAACAAACAATTTATGATATAAATTTCAAAGTAGTTGTGTGTAGTTTGAATTTTTTTTTTTCAGAAAAGCTGTGGCTGCTTACCCCTTTCAATGGTTTACAACGTCTGCAACAGCTTTGGCCTTTTTTTTGATAACAAAATATACGAAGCAGTTTTAAAAAAACTGGGAATACTTCATGGAGAAAATACTGATATTGTTAGCTACCGCAAATTCTGTAATTTGCTTGATTGTACCAAGCCTTTTCCAGTACTGCCTAAAATTGATGGTAATTATTTGTTTTATTTTAACTATTAAGTATTACTTTTATAAAAATAAAAAAAGGAGGCAGTAATAAGAATTCGCCATAAAGCCTCGTTGATAATGAAATAGTGTTATTTATTAAGCTCTGTATTATATTAATAGATCGCTATTTATAAGTGATCAATTAAATGTTTCCAATATTAATATTTACGATTTCATGAAAATAATTTAAGGAATCGGCGAACTTATTTATTTAAACGTAAATGTTAGGATTGGAAACGTTTAATTGGTCACTAATAAATATATTAATAAATTCACAACTTTATTAATATGGGCTTCAAGCTTACAAGAAAGTTTTCTAAAAGGTAGAGTGTCTATACTATAGTTCGATGGCGATAAATAAAAATCGTGAATAATTCATGATTTTTTTTATATCACAACATAGCTTAGTTTATTCGTTCAAAAGTCCTTTAAATGGTGTTAACGATAATAAACTCTACTTTCGTTTGAAGCAAATTTTTTCTAGTTTAGAGTGAAACAATTGTAAATTAATTACATTAATTAATACTTTAGTTATCGCTTCCTATTCAACAACCAAGACATTTAAAAAAACATAAAACTTATAAATTGCCAACTATTTGGCCGGAAATCGGACTATTGTTTATATGAAGTTTATAATAGCTCTAGAGGTCTATTATTGCCTGTTTAAATATTTTTCGACTTACGGGAAACCTTATATATTATTATCTATGATTGTAATATTTAGGTATCAATAAAATCCTTATATACCTACTGCCTTATAGACCCTAGCCTAGCTAGCTCGTCGATTTTTCTTAATTGATTTTAGTTTACACATTTTATTCATTTATTTATTATTGGTTTTAATTTTTGCATCAATTTATTGAGAACGGATAAACGTTATTCTCGCTCTCTCAACATTTTCATTGGGAGGGGGGCGATCGCCCCCTTCGCCTCTCCGTAGTCTGCGCCTATTGTAGAAATGACAAGTTTTCGTATTTTAAACCAATACTTAATAAATTTTAAACGATTTGGAAGAAGCCATGAATCGAACTAATTAAGACGATGGATGTACACAGCCTGATTATAATAGTCTCACGTTAACTTATATTAAATTTTTGTAATTTGTCAAGGTAAAAAATTAAAAGTGTTTAATTTTTCACACTTATGTCACAGATATTCCCGATGAATTAAAATGTTATGAAACTACTTATCAAGCACTATCTAAAGATCATATGAAGTTAAAGGATTATCGTAAGTAGAATATACATAAGTTCCATACTTAGAACCTTCCATCGTTAGTAACAATGATTAGATTGTGGAATAAGCTTAATATTAAAAATTATTAATCGAACAGATATAAACTATGAAACTAATAACATTGAAACTTTTTGAACTAATTAATTCGATATAGAGAATATTAGACTTGATGATGAGTTATTAGTTAGAAACCATATTTTATCTTATAGCATAAGTATCGTGATTTATTACACGATGATAATTTTAAAATCTTGTATGTTAAATGTCTACTTACAATAAGTACGCAAATGGCAATGAATATTTTTCTTTTCTTCCTGCAAAAGTGATTTGGTTTATTGTATTGGATTTGATTTATTTTTTATTTCCATTATTCAGTTGGTTGATCATTTCTCAACAATCCCTAACCACCCATAACCAAACCAGGTTGAACTTAAAAATATTTTTTACATGCACTTACGTATCTATGAATCCTATGCATATTAAAGTATTTCGATCGCATTCCGGAATTGGCTAACTGCGAGCATACATAAATCACGAACTCTAAAGAATTTCACACTTTGAAAAAAATTTACTTTCAATTTTCAAGTTGAAAAATGCTACCCTAAGACCCAGAAACAAACTCCTGGAGTCCAACTATAAAGTCTGAGAAATCTAAAATCTAAAAACGAATTTCCAGAGATTCTAAAATGCTTAGCTAAATGGTCACGTGAGACTTTTGTACGACAAGATATTGAAAAGGAAACTTCTATGATGGATATACTAAAGAAAATTAAACCAGTATTCAACAGCTTCAATATTTTTTCAATATTAAAAAAAAATGCAAACAAATATTGGGCAAAATGAACGCAACAGAAGATGAAATTTCAAAATTCTTCATATTATTTGAAGGTGTCATCTCTCTTTTCGATTGAGAAACAGAACGTATTATATTTTCAAAAATCTTTTTATATTATTATTTTCTCTATTTTATTTACTTAATCAATCTGATAGTATTCTAAAATTATTAGAATTATATTCGAATGACTTCAGACTTAATAACAATATCCTATTGTACAAGATTTTTGAAGAGAAGAATAGTTGGGGTGCTCAGTCAAAAAAGGAAGGCAAAAAATAAATTATAATATTTATTTTTTACATATGCCGACGTTTCGACCTGAAGTTCAGGCCATCATCAGGGCTTTCTCCTTAAGTGTCAAGGGGAGGATCTTTTTTTAAAAAAGATTTTTGAACATTTACTTCTAAACAAACCTCACATCTATAGATATCCCAATCACAATAAACTAGACAAGTTGCTAGTATAATACGTATAAGTTGCTCCACTAGCGGATCCAGGATTTAATTTTGGGGAGGAGGGCTTCAGCCCGAAAGCTTTTCTTTCCATGTATATAACGATAATTATTTAAAAAAAAAAAAAAGAAAGATACTAACTAAATGTATGAAATGGTGTTTAAGTGATTCTAGAAGTTTTATTAAATGTAAATTAAACCTACAATAATACTTTAATAGATATTTTCCCCATAAAACATGATTACATTTTACCATTTTGGGGGAGGAAGGGAGAGTTTAGCCCGAAAGCCCTCCCCTCCGGTAAGTCCGGCTGTGAGTGGCTCTATTAATGATCCCTTCAACCTGCCATTGTTAACCAATTGAACAATATTATAGTTCTAGTAATATTATACGCGAATTACTTTTAAATACTGCCACACATTTAAACCTAAGAATAATAATTCCGGATAATCCTACATATGACCGATTCAAGCCCAGTGCGTTCGATATAATATTAACCAAAACATTTTATTTATTTCCAACTAACAAACTTAAGTTCGGATGACAAAACAGTATTATTTCGCATAAAGTTAAAAACAGATTTACTAAATTAATATTTTAAAATATCCATGATTATTTTCTGAATAAACGAATGTTTATACCTAATTATTTAAATATAATACCAGATCTATAATTACTTAACTACAGTAAATATAATTAAGGTTATAAACATATGCTTTATACATCCATGAAATATTTTAATGTTTCACTTCTTCTTTCACAAAAAGTACAATGAACTGGTATTTTAAACAACGCCATTGTCTTGATTACTGGATTTCAAATATTTTTTTAGAAGTTTACATTTAGTTAAAAAATTTCATTTAATATCCTTGAAAACAAGTGATTTCCGTTAAATAATATTAGTTTTCTTAAATAATTATTTATAATTTTTCATCACTCTCCTTTACTTTCTACGACTTTGTTTATTAGGTATTGTCTTTTTTATAAAATTCACTGCTTCCCAACGATATATTATACGTTTACCTTCTGAAGAGTATTTCCGGAAATTCATTTTCGACCTGGATAAGCATTTTTTTTTCTCCTTAATTCAATTATCAAATTCTTAAGTTATACTTGGCATTTTTTCGCAACTCTTAATAATGTGAGATAGTTAATTATTTAAAATAAACCATATTAAAATTACTTTAGAGGAAGACGTACATGAACATTGGACATTTAAGCCCTGTAAAGTGACATCAACCGGGATAAGACCTAAATAATATAAAATACCACTTAATCATGCAATGATAAACCGAGTTTAATCAACATCGTTTGATCCATTTTTGAGAAAAATTTAAAAATATATTTCAGCGTTGACAAAAGTGCCCCTTACTATATATTACATGTATAGGGAAATGAAAGTAAAAAATGAACAGCTTCAATAGAGAAAAACAATGCATTTGAAATCTAATTTCACTTTTAATAGTCAATATTACATGGCCAGTATTACAATGAAGTAGGTATATCAAAAGTATCAATATAATTGTTATAATACACTCTTTATAAAGTAAATATATTGAGAAATTCTGTATTGACCTTGTGAGAGCCCCTTGACAATAATAAGACATTTAGACAATACTAAAAATCATTACCGAGATAATGCATGAAATTATATTTTCTATAAATTAATAAGAAAGGATAGTTAATGTTTGTTTATGAGGCATAAAAAAAGTCATTAATGAATAAACATGTCATAGAAAATATTACAGCTTAGTTAGCACACTAAATATGTGTCAGGAACGGTTTTAGGGAGGGACAAAGGGGGCAATTTCCTCGTGCGCCTCAATTTAGAGTGCAGTCAATTTTGAGATTTTTTTTTGGTTGAAGCATAAAACGTTTTCTTTCCACTTTTTGATTTTTTAGACCCTAATCCATTCAATAGCATATGAGTCAAGTTAATGATGATGATTTTAATTGCAAAATACACTCCACCGCTATAAAATGTTAACTTTTATAGGGGATATTTAAATTAAACTTGCCGAAAATTCTAGTCCGGTTTTGGTATAGCGAAAACCTTAAGGCGGGTCCTTTTTGCGTGGATGCAACTTTTTATAATTAAATAATATTTGATTAAAATTAACTCACGAATTAGTAACTACACAATCGAAAGAGTGTTGAAACAAATCAAAATGTAAAAAAAAAATTATATGGTAAAACATTTTCATAAATCATACAATTGTTTACCTATAGCGTAAACCAAGGTATTATTAAAAATTATAAATATTTAAAAGGTAGCTTAGTATCATCTCCAATATCATTTGTAGAAAATATATCGACAGCCGGTGTACCTACCCTAAGAACAGACAGAGAGGCACCTCAAGATGGAGAGTGTAGAGCAGAAACGGAACTTCTTCTTGATGAGAACGGAGTAGACTCTTGCATCAGACCATCAATTTTCACATCATATGGTCTTCACCCTAGAGATTTTATGGAGGTAATTCATATATATGTATATCTAATAATAAGGAATAAATCATATTAAAACCATACACGTTCTGGAACATCAAGTCATTTAGAAGAGCCCAGGAGAGTGGAAGCATACTTGTACTGACATTTATAAGCGAACAATCATTTGTTTAGAAAAGGTAAGGTTTTTCGTGTAAAGGAAGGTTTTTTTTTAAACTTGATTATAATGAACCATAGTCCTAAGTTAACCGAAAAAAATATATTAGCCTCGCAAATAGAAAAAATTTAACTTTTGCAACTTTCTAGGGTCTGAAACTTTTTATGAGTGTTTCAAAGTTTTTTTATTTTATGATTGTCCTTATAATTATTCACTCTTTTGGGTGACATCGAAACTACACTAGGAATATCGGTTTTCCGAGAAAATCTTTCAACCCTTCCAGTTCTTGAGTTCTGATGGTCCCCATACGAATGAAATATCAATTTTTATATTGACCATGAGACCATAGTCGTGAAATTGACGAATAAAATGATATAAGCCTCACAACTTACAATAATTATTAACTAAGCTCGCCGTTTATTTCAGAGCTATTTTTACCAATTTTAGCAACAGAATTATTTCTAAAAAATTATAGGAATTTCTAAAACTCGTAGGTGACAATAAAAACTCTAACAAGAATTTTTAAATGTCGACATTGAGGGGACCCTTTTCTGAGATCCAATTCCGGGGAGTTAATTTCTCATTCTGTCTCCATATATTTGCAAGATTATAATATGCGGCGTACTCGTCGTTCCTTTTGGGTGGCTTTGGTCTTTGCACCGGTCATTTTCTAGTAGAACCACCTTTATTCTGTGGGCCAGACCCCTCTATCGAGCACTCCCCCCCCCCCTTCCACCACATCCCCATAAATTGCGTATCGTTGTGTTCTTTGCAACTATTTATTAAAAAAAAGCCAATGTTCCCACAAAAAAAGTGAACGCACTGCCCAAAATGTCGTCCATACACGGCGGACTGACGACTGACTTTAGTTAGTTGTTTTTTCACTGAGAATCAGCATTTGGCTTTATTTCGTCATAGTTGGTCTTTTATTAAAGCTGGATAGTCAGAGAATAATAAAATGTGAAAAAATGTTAGATTGGCAAAAAAATAATTGGCTTAGGCAATAAAAAACACCATTAAAGTAAAAATAATATAGTTTTTCAATTCGATCAAACTAAGTTGAAAATCAAGCTTCGTTTGTAATTAAACTGCCAACAATAAAGGAAAAGGTGCAGAAACAAAACATCTGGAGAATATATTTCTCTTTCTAAAACACTGATTACTTTTTAAAATATTTGAAGCAGTTTCTTAGAAAATGCACTTAAGCGGTAGAAAAACTGTATTGGCGTGGGTGCCTACAGGCCTCAAACCACACCATTCAGTACTCATAAATGGCTTAGTTATATTGATTGTATTAACGAACAAATATTAATACAATAATTTAATTTTCCGAAAAAATTAAACAATTTTTTTTTTAATTTATTTTTTTTAAAATTCAACTTACATTATTCTATACGGAGGTCGTTGAAGAAGGACTCTATTGTAAAAATGATATAATTATAATAATAAAACTTAATTCAAAAATAATTTGCTGAATATCTTGATTTTTTATTTAACGTTTGCAATTTAAAACTTTGTTTAGTATATTTACTGATTATTAGAGGTAATTTAAATTGTATATATTTCCCCGAAAATGAGTCACATTAACACCTGTTTTCGATCGAACGTTCGATTACATTGCGTTTTTGTTCCGATCTGAGATTTCATTCTAGCATCCGTTTGGAATCTATATGATACGTGTTAAATGTATACGTGTGTTATTATTTTTATTTTAAATTAGCAAGTCTTAAATTAATTAAATTGTGCGTACAATAAAAAAAGCAAATTAGAAAACAGAAATGGATTTTCACTCATTAATATGTTTCTGTAACTTGGAGTAACAGAATATTTAAGAAAAACTAAGACAAATATATTAATTTATCAACCGAAAAATAGTTTTATTAAAAATATATAGATAAAAGCAAATAAATCTATAATATAAAATTTAGAATGAATTAAAAAAAAATGGTAAAAACTATTTGTAAATTAATTTAAAAACAACAATTTTTACTTTACCAACTGATGGTCGAATCAGACCTCCGTTAATCAACATGCCACTTTTGAAAAGCTTCGTTGACATGGAACCGAAGTGGCGACTATACTCGACATTTCTTTAGCAATGATGTGCAAATTAGGGTAGCTGTTCTGCATACCAAACCACCACTTAATAGGGTCCTCATTGTCGTATAAAATATCCTTTTCTAAGTACATGTTTAATTCAATGATTGCCTTTGATTAAGGTATACCATTTCGAGCCCTCATCAATGTTTTTAAAATTCCAGTTGTTTTTTTTTTGCTTAATTTTCCTGTACTCCTCTCTGTTTATCTTCATTTTCCTCCGCCTCAATGATTTTTCAGTCGTTTTAAATAGTTTTAGTATTACGCATATTTGCTTCATTATTCTCTGTCGCGGTTCATGTGTTGTTTGGAATGAAGATGGAACGGAATGAGAACTTTAACGAATTCCAGTGGTGATAAAACTCCGTTCCGTCCCGACGTAGTTCTGTAGTTGGAATAGCCCATCCCTAATTTCATAACTACTTTATGTAAAAAATATTTGAAAATCATTTTTTTTTTTTAATAAATGAAATGTATCTTTATGAAATTGTGTTTATTGCTATGTATCCCATATCACAGAAAAACAAGAAATCTTTACAACAGTTAATTCTATTTAGTCATTTTTGATGAATATACGGGTACTCTTAGGTGAATGGATAGAAAATCACACTACTTCTTCACACAACTTGTGGTGAATCTCAATGACTAAAACTACCAATAACCATTCAAAGCTATAGCTCTAAGCAATTCAGAGCCATATTTTCAATATGCTATTGACTCGGTAAGAAAAGTACTGTATATACTGAAGATAGTTTTCCTGATATAATCGGAAACTTGAAAAAGTGACCTAGGCGAACGTTTGGATTCCGATTATATTAATTACTTACACATGTACGGTTTTCATAAATGGTGGTAGTGCTGGTATTATATAACATTTAATTATATATTTTACGTTAATATAAAAATTTTAAAAAAGTATATACACTGACAGGCAAAAAATTCCACCCACTTGATTTTTTCATGTTTTCATCTTAAACTATTGGTCTATTGTTTTTAATGAATAAATAAGTAATCTTTTTGTTTGTTTTCAATTAGGAATGTTAATATAGAGGACAATAACCCCTAATTCTCAATTCATTGAAATGATCCTAGATTCCAATGTTTCCAAGATTCCAAAACGAACCATTATTATTCTAAAATAAATTAGTTACATCATCGTTTAGTAGCGCGTGTTTCCTCCTCTTGCCTTCACTACTTCTTGAAGACGCCTCGGCATACTTTTCACCAGTCGGGAAATGTCACTTTGCTGGAGGATAGCCCATTCCTCCCGAAGAGCCCTTTCAAGATCCTGCAGTGTACCAGGAAGTGTTGCACGCGCTCTTATTCGTCTTCCGAGATTATCCCATAAATGCTCAATGGGGTTCAAATCTGGAAAACGTGCTGGCCAGGCTAAAACCTCAATATTGTTCTGTTGAAGAAACGTCTGCACTATGCGGGCGACATGTGGGCGTGTATTATCGTGCATTAGAATAGAACGGTCGCCGATTTCGTTGAGGATAGGCAACACACGAGGTTCCAAAATCTCATCTACATAGCGAATGGCCGTCAAAGACCCTCCACGAACAACAACCAATTCTATGCGGCGCTCCATTGAAATCCCAGCCTACACCATTAAGGAACCACGTTGGAAAGGTTGGCTTGGAAAAATTACAGGCTGCATATCTTACGTTTCTTCTTCTCCGCACCCTTTCACGCCCGTCTGGAGATCGAAGAGCGAAACTTGACTCATCTGTAAAAAGTACAGCACTCCATTCGTCCATAGTCCAATGGCTGTGTTCTCGAGCAAAAGCCAGCCTTGTTACTCTGTGAGTTCTGGTCAACTCTGGTCCTCTTACTGGACGAAAAGCTCATTTAATCTTCTCCGAGCGGTACCGTTTAGAAATTTGCACACCTCGAACTTCTTCGAGCTGATGAATCGCTTGAACAACGGTAAGGTGCCGGTTTCATAAAATTCTCAAAGTCAAAAACCGGTCATCCCGTGGTTCTTTTACCCTAGGCCGTCCAGAACCGGACCTTCTATTGTAAGAACCAGTTTCCCGAAAACGCCTACGGCGTCTCGTAAAGTTTCATATGGAACTCCGATGCCATTAGCTGCATATCTAATGGAACGTCCATCATCAATAAGTGCCACACCACGCGCAACATCCTCAGCACTAAGAGACATTTTAAAACTTAATATTGAAAAAATTAAAAGCCGGAGACTAAGAAATGTGCTGCAAGAAACGGCACTGAACTAATGATACTGAATAAACATATTGATTCCATAGAAAGTAAACATTGGAATCTAGAATCATTTCATTGAATTAAGGATTAAGGGTTATTGTCCTCTATATTAAAATTCCTAATTGAAAACAAACAAAAAGATTACCTATTTATTCATTAAAAACAATAGACCAATCCAAAGCAGAAATATTTTTAGATGAAAACATGAAAAAATCAAGTGGGTGGAATATTTTTCCTGTCAGTGTATAACGTTTTTAAACAAATAGAAAAACCCAATATGAAATATAAATGAACATCTGACATTCTCACTGACACTCTTGTCAGATAAAAAAAAATTTGTGGCCCATAATTATTTATTATAATTAAATAAATAATTAAAATATACAGTCGTAAAAGGAAATGGTTAATGACGAAAAACGCATAAATTTAATAGATTAGATGAGTCGGAAAAAATTGAGTGATTGATTGTTTAAAATAATATGTTGTACCATCTATGACTTTTACTTTCGGTTCCTATCAGCTAAATATTCAATAGCAATATTATTTTATTAATGGAGCGCTGACCTTAAAACATCAAATGATAAAATGGATGGTAAGTGAAAGTCGTGTCAATTGCAATTGCACCGGATTTTTTAGTTTACAAAGTAAAATATCTTGTGATATTTATACATTAATTGGATACAAAAAATTCTCTAGTTAACTTTATTTTTCTAGTTAAGTAGAAATAATTTTCACCAAAAAAACTATTAATTCCTTTGTATTAACTTTTGTCCTGCTAGATTGCTTATAATCCACAGTTCGTCGACACAAAATAATTTTTTTTTATTTTGGTTCTCAGTGCATGTCATACCTCAAACAAAACATTATTATATAGTGTAACGTCATTGAACTTATTATAAAAAATACATTCTCTTTACTTTTATTATTCTCATAATAAAAGTTCTGTACTCTGTATGAGGTATATGTTCAATTCTATGTGAAAATTATATGATCAGTTTATTACAAAAAAAATCAGAAATTAAATTTTTCATGGAGCTAACCTTTAAATTACAGTTTTATGCATTTTGACCTTATTTGTCGATGAAAAACAGTAAGTGCAGTACAATGAAAAAATATCTCAAAAATATTTACATGAAGTAAAAAATGTTGTGATTTAGCAGTAAATTCATCAAAGTACTTACAATAGTGATTTCATTTTATTAAGCGTTACTCAAGGATTTGTTGCAATAAACCCAAGATATCACTATAATGACAAAATACGTGAGCTGGTTATGTAATATATCCTAATATATATATCTATATATATATATAAATTGTTTGTTAAATATATATTCATTAACATTGTTGATAATTAGAAGTCTTATTGTAGTTGAAATCAAAAGATTATATGAAAGATTTATGGAAGAGAGTAGGAGTCACAATACCAGATGAAGTTTTTGAGCTTATGTGGAAAGAAGCTCTTACTCGAGAAGAAAATAACGCTGAAAAAAATATGGTTTGCATTGAAACTTTTAGAAACATTTTAGATGAAATGAGTGCAGCAAAACTTAATGAAATGCAAGAGGGCTGATTAAGAATTTTGAATGAATAATAAAATTTATAGTCAATAGAAACTTTTTTATTCTAATTTACCACTAAGCTTCATGAAGATCCAAACAAAAAGTCCATTTCCATACTAAGCGGATACCCGTCTTATAAAATATGTCTAAGATTTAATTACCAGGAGTTTGTAATTTATAACCTAATATTTTTTTTTATAAATATCTTTCTCAAATGTGCATTTTCAAATAATTGCGTGGCCCCATATCAAAGACAGACATCCGTCATTTTTTTTTATTTACAAAATGTTTCGGGCTGTACAACCACCTGAGTAATTTTTTCCCTAAATTACAATTTTTTAATCAACTAATAGTATTACTCAAATTACAAAGCTACAGATGACAAATACAGTTTATCAATAGTTTACAGTGAATATAGGAAGTCAATAAACAGTTACTGCTTAATAAATATACAAGCAAAATTAAATAAAACTTAAAAGTATAGATGTAATTTATATTAAAAGTTAGAGATTAAAGGAAGTGAAATTAACAAAAACCGGTAAAATTAAAAGTTAAATATTACAAGAATAATAGTTATCATGTATGGTTTAACAGTAGCTTCAGTATATTGCCCTCCGAGGTACGTATTAACACCTTCTATGTTTTGCAATTATTTTCGAATCCTTGGGCGTTGCTTTATAGTAGGCGGTGACTTTAACACAAAGCACCAATTTTGGGGGCACACCAAGAAGAAGAAATCTGAGGGCTGCTATCCATTAGACACTATATCACCTGATACACCGACATATTGGCCGACTTCACACTCCAAACCTGCTAGACTTTTTTATAACCAAAGGACTGCGCATCATATCTTACACCATAAATACGAGCTCTGAGCTTTGTTCTGACTATTTCCTTATACATTTGGTTATCCTTGATGAGCCCATCAATCTCCCACGAACACCTAAGCTCCTTAATGATAAAATGGATTGGGATGCTTAGAGGGCAATTCTGGATTCAGAACTTTCAATCCCTGGCTCCATTAAAACAGCAGATGAACTAGAAGAGGCAGTGGACAAATTTACAAAAAGTGTCCAAAAAGCAGCTTGGTCTTCATCTCTACCAAGGTCATCAAGAGCAGAACACTTACCAAGATATCCTCAATATATATGGGACTTGATCACGACAAAGAGGAGAGCACGTAAGATATGGCAGACTAACAGACTTCCCTCAGATAGACGGTCATTTAACAGACTAAATAACGAACTTAAATGACTAATACAAAAATTCAATAGAACGAATTATGATGCTCATTTGAGCAGTTTATCAACTGACGATGGCAGTTTGTGGAAGCATACCAAAAATATGTTAAAACATCGAGAGGTGTCAGTACCCCTGCGAAACGAAGAGGGTTCATGGGCTTTGTCAGATAGAGAAAAATCTGAACTATTTGCAGGCCACCTCTCAGCAGTATTTACACCATTTACCGACTTCACGAACACAGAACATGAAACATTATTATTTGATACTCTAGATATACCATTACAGATGACACCTACCCCTCTACCGTTCACTTCTTCACAAGTCGCACAACAAATCAGACATCTCCCTAAAATAAAAGCTCAGGGTTCTGGCTTAATAACTGCCGAGGGGCTCCAGCAAGTGAATAAGGAAAGTTCTAGTGTTCCTTACGACAATATACAACTGTATTCTGAGGACAACTAACTTCCCATTACAATGGAAATATTCACATATTAAGATGATACACAAAAGGGACAAGGACATTTTCAATCCCTCATCCTACCGACCAATCAGTCTCCTTCCGATATGTTCCAAAGTTTTCGAAAAATTAATATACAAAAGACTGGTTGACATACTCACAGACCAACAAATAATACCAGACCATCAATTCGGTTTTCGTACATTTCATTCAACTACACACCAATTACATAGAGTTACTGATTACATTGCTGGAGCGCTAGAGCAAAAACAATATGCTACAGGCGTATTTCAGGATATTGCCCAGGCATTTGATAAAGTCTGACACCAGGGACTCCTCTTTAAACTCAAATCTATACTGCCTAATACATACTATCTCATTCTTCAGTCTTTCCTTTTCGACAGATTTTTCTCTGTCCGACAGGGTTTAGAAATTTTCTCAATTCGACCAATATCAGCAGGGGTGCCTCAAGCACCAATATTGGCACCTATACTCTACATTGTCTATACGCATGACATGCCTACCACCTCTGAAACATTGACTGCTACTTACGCTGACGATACAACAATTTTAACAAAACGCCACGACCCCAGACTAACCTCATTAAATTTATAAAATGGTATGTTAACAACAAGACTTTACATACCGACCTAAGACAACCAACCATTGACCAGCACATACGTACTCTTTACTTCGGATTTCATCTTAAACTACACGGACATTACAATGGACTTATCAACGACATGGCCACGGCTGAAATGCTCGTCAGGAGGCGACTGAAAAGGAGCTGGATGAGAGATCTCCTTTCCCGATTTTAGGATGTAAACAAACCAGGGAAGAGGTGCTGCTGGGCTCAGTTTTTCGTCATGCCTATCATACCCTTTTCAACATAACAACAAACACTTTGCCACTCCTACCATGTTTTTTCTTTGATTGAAGAGACAACTTCAGAAGCACTAGCAGATCCAGCCGGTGAGCGCGCACCTCCATCCTGGAAGTTGGAAAAACAATTCCGAAAAAAATCCCAAAAAGCAGCTATTCTGCCGTCCCTTGGATGGCGATCCCTTGGTACGAGCGAATCCAAAAGGGGGACGCGCCCCTCTCTCTCCTGAATGTTTGGAAAAAAAAGTTCCAAAAATCAGCTTTTTAAAGAAAACAGAAATATAGGAAAAACTCATCCTCATAGACAAATTTTCTAATGTAATATAAAAAAAAATATTATCGTGCCCAGCATTAGTAATTTCTACTAGGAGGCGCCCCCTCCCCTCTCTGGCTCGTGGACAAAGTACTAAAAAAAAAAAAGTTCCAAATATTAGCTATTTAAAGAAAAGAAAAATAAAGCAGAAATCATCCAGGCGGGCGGGGTGGCCGAATGGGCTAAAGCGTGTGCACTGCACCGCCGTTGCCTGGCAACCAGATATATGAATCAAAGATATAAAAATAGTCACGAGTTCGCGTCCCGTTGCCGGGGGAGTCTTTTAAATCCCCGCCCACACTCCCTGACCCGGGAAAATCCCGTATAGCCTTAACGGCGAGGAAGGGAAGGAAAAAAAAAAAAAAAAAAAAGCAGAAATCATCCTCTAAGACGAAATTTCTAATGTGATCATCATCCCGATTTCGACAATGCATTACTGGTTCTTGGCTGCCTCAAGAATTTTCCTCTATGTTTCCCTGTCCTGATCAGCCCCCATCAGTTCCTGATTCCAAGAATTCTGGCATCAACACTTCGTCCATCTATACAACATGGCCCTCCAACCTCAGCCTTGGTATACGAATATATTTCACCATATCCGGCTGCTTGTATAAGTTGACTAGATCTTGGTTGCGTCTAATTCTCCATTTATCTAACATCCTCAATAGAGCCAAATGTTCTCTCTCCTTCCACCCCTCTCTCTTTCGAATGGTTGGGAACAAAAAAATCGAAAAAGCAGATGTTTAAAGAAAAAGAGAAATATAGAAAAAAATTCATCCTCTACGACGAATTACCTAATGTGGTATAAAAATGATTGCTACCGCGACAAGTACTAGAGGATCCAGCCGGGGGGCGCGCTCCTATCTCTTGGATGTGGTGAAAAAAAAAAGTTCGAAAAAGCAGATGTTCAATGAAAAGAGAAATATAGGGGAAATTCATCGTCATAGACTAATTTTCTAATGTGATATATACAAAAAAAAAATTATTGTGACCAGCACTATCGAATTCTGCCAAAGGGCGCCCATACCTCTTGATGGGGGACAAAAAAATTCCAAAAAAACAGGTATTAAAAGAAAAGAGACATATAAGGAGAATTCATCCTCATAGAGGAATTTTATAATGTAATATTAAACAATTGTTATCATGACCATTTTTATTACCCCTTACGGTTTGTTATATCACGTCACCACACCAGGCTGTGGATCAACTTGCGCCCGGCCTTTGGCGGATGGCGAGATTTTGTGAACAAAGAATGGAATGTCAGAGCAAAAGTTGGCTCCTAGAATGAAGTGAGGCAGTTTTTGGACCGCCGTGAGATGTGAAGGACGGTGCTCCTGTCGCAGTTTGTTCCTACCGACTCCGACTGATTGTGAGCCTTGTAGGTGAAATACATGATGGTAGAAAATTTATTTAAAAAATGAACTATATTTATTCTTTCGATTAAACTTTTATTCCAGTTCAAGAAAATGCGGGTTTTCTCCCGGGTCCATTTTTTATTCAGTTCCAATAGATCTGGACAAATTGCAAACTGCACCAAATATAATCTTCTTGAAGAATCCATGCAATTCATAAAACTGGTCACGATAATAATTTGTATATTTCTCATTATAAAGTATTTTTCTTTTCTTAAAATAGCTGCTGTTGGGGTCTTTTTCATGAAAGAAAGTACTAATAGAAACCAATATAGACACCACTCCGCTGTGCCATGTATTAAGTAATTAACAGAAGAGGGTAGTGCTCATTCATATAGGGGAGGACTGTCATGTAGCTCTTTGGAAAAGCTAAAAATTTATTAGCAAAAATTCACACAGCATATTGTTAAGTAATCAAATGCCAAATTAATAAGAAAAGAAAATTATGCAACGTATCAAAAGATAAAAAATTCAATTGTTACTTTATCGATAAAAATAATCGACAAAGGAAACAGTGATCAATTTAAAACTTGATTAATGTTTGGAACCAACATGTTTACAAGTTTCAATAATCTGTAGCTTTGCTAAAAATTGTCCGATTTCGAATTTTTTTTTTTCCTTTTGAAGGGAATTTAGCAATCTTTTATATAATCATTAGCATAAATAAGGGAAAAATGTGTAATTGTTTAGTTACTCGCAAATTAAGTTTCTTTTCTTTCACAACTTGTTTGCCTGAAGGAGAAGGAAGCTTTAAAATTGATGGCTCAATTTCGTGGATTTGATGAAGATTTAACGATGATATTGCTTATCGACAAAAAACACCTTTGATAAACTCCTCCTCTCTCAATCATAGAGACAAATCGACGAAATGAGACATTTATTCCATGACAGTACTACAATTAACGTAAGGTTGTGTGGATGCGAACCCTTTGCCTTGCATTATCTTTAAAGTAGTACGTTTTTGGGCTTAAAAACAAAAGGCTTGTACACATCAAAATCTTCGAGGCCCCAATTTGTCCCATATCGATCTACAGACTTACCACCGTTCCAGTATTGAAGCCTAGCAAAATGTTTGTATCGATTTTATTTATTTTAGAAATAAAAACAAAAGTGAAGAATACCATTCGGTAACCCCCCGTGAAATTTTGAATCCAACGGTACCTTATTCATGGTATTTGAGCACGATAGGAGCTTAAATTCAGTACAAAACCGATTTCGAGCCTTGCTGCAATAATGTATGTGGGGATATATTGAATTTATGATGTGTTAACACAGTCGATTACTTTCGTAACGTCATTAAAATTCAGGTTGTTATAAAACTGTCTGTTATTATCTGTATTTCTCATCCCAAAATAAGGATACAATACGCCTCTATTACCATTAATTTTAAAAGATTTAATATGGAAAGATGGTTTGAGATTAGAAATTTTTATCTCCCTATTAGAACAGAACAAAAGCAGATTTCAGTTGGAGTTGGGGAGCAGAAGTTCGTCCGGTAAAATCTCGCCTCAGGCGCCAAAAGCCTACGCGATGAACTTGCACCTTGTGCTAACCGAACCTCCCAAGACCCGCCTTAACGCAAGCCTTGCACCTTCTATGGACTATCAGGTGACACTGCACAAATTAACTTTAAGGGAATTTTCCACCGCAAAGTTATCTCAATTGTATTCTTAAAAATAAAACGAACGCATCGCGGCCGTCTAAAGTCTTCGGTTAGCTCGTCTTTCAACCCATAGCCGGATCTACGGAGGGGAGAAGCTTTCGGGCTGAAGCCCTCTCCCTAAATGGAAAAATATAAACGCGTTTTGTGAAAAAAATAATCGCTAAAAGCATTATTATTCTTAAAGAATCACTTTCGCTCAATTCCATATAGGTACTTAGTTTCCATCTTTCTTCCGAGGCGATAGCCATAAAATATAAATTAAAAAAAAAAATCTTTCGGACTTAAGTCCACCCTCGAAAATTAAATTCTGGACCGGTTAGAGCTTCAGTCCCAATATTTAGCACAATACATTAATTGGAAAAACCCCTAGTTATAACTTGTTCCTTAGCAGCCATGTTTTGAATCCGTAAATAACGTAGGAAGTATAATTAAAAAGTTATGTAAACTTCATTTTTGGTATAAAGGACACCAGCTAAGTTTTTTTGTAATATTCAATCTATTTTCTAAATGTCTCCAGCTGTATATACCTCTTCCCTTCAATATATGTACCATTGAAATCATTTCCATTTCTGCAGTTAACCAATATTCAAATGGAAGTTTTGATAAAGTATAATTCTTTAAAGTGACAAATTATGTCTCAATTCATTAACTATTTATTAAACCTCCCAATTTTTTCAATGAATCTTATTGTAGTTCAGTTTTGAAACTGGCAGTCCTTAATTCTTTATGAAATCCCCTTTCATTTGATACATCATTCATCAAATCCCATCTCTCCTGAAAAAGAACCTATAATGCTTTATTACAACTTGTACAATTTATTGAACTTTTTTGAATTTTTTGAGAATGAATGATCGAAATGTTGAAAGGACAGAGAAACTCCCCTGGTGACCATTCCTAAGAGGGAAAATATGAAGCATTGAAAGTGATCCAGCTATTTTAATTCTTTTAGAATTATGAAGAATTTGAAAAATGTGTTTTTCTTACCAAGAAAACATAGAAAATTTTAAAAATACTAAATATTGAATGGTACAATGGTATGACATCAATAATGCAAGATAAACAACGAATTGTATTATACAAATTATTAACAATTATGAGATTATGATCCCATGAGGCCATAAACTAGACTACATATATATTGATGGTCAATTCCAAAGATGTAACTGTAATGTTAGTTTCAAGAAAAAATATATTTAAGATTTGATTGCATCCTGTAATTCCTAATTTAATAATTCTCTTAGGCTTCTTGTATAATTATTATGTTTGATATGTACTTAAAATTCACATTAAAATTTTTTGCAGGCCTTGATGAGATTATTTATAACTCATAATTTAATTAACACTGAAACCTGTGAAGTTGACCATCAATAAACATGTTAATATACAAAAATATATAAAATGTAAACATTTAAATTTTAGTTTGGTACAAAAACATAAAAAAATCTGTAAGATAGTTTTTATGACGAAATTTTAGTTTTGATTACTTGGCACATGATAATAGTAAAGGAGCCAAACATGTTGTAACTTATTATAAATTTCTTAAGGGAGAGCACTGTTTCTAAAATAAATAAAGCTTACCTTCTCAACGAATAATTACATAAAATGACAATACTAACCTCATAAAAATTCTAGATTATTTTAAGTCTGCTACTTACCATAGGAGAAATATAAAAATATCGGTTGAAAATTAATTTTGTTAACTTCTTAAAAGTATTTTCATGAATATTTTGTTTCATCATTTAATAAATGTTAAATTTATGTAAATGACTATTTAAAATTAAGATACTTAATTTTTTTCGGCCATCTCCTGTTTTTTAAGGAAATACCAGCTTGTATCTAAAGTATGGAAAACATCTTTCCAAAAAAAATGAGTAGGAGGTTTATCTTCACCATTCTCAAACTTCAATTGTTTGCTGAGCTGAATAGCTAATTTAGAAGCGACTAGACCAATCGATCCAGCAGTTTTATGACAGGGATGATACATTCTCCCAGTTTCTGGATCCATGAAGAGTTTTTCAGGCAAAAAATTATTAAACATAAGATCTCCAGCGTGTCCATAGCAAAATATGTCTTGACCATCATTATTTATTATATGTGTATATACAATAGGGACATCATCACATCGAATGTAATTCCTTTCCCTGCCACACAGTGAAACATATGGAAATGAAGATTCATACCTAGACGTGTTATTGAGACGAATTCGTTTGAAGAAGAAAACAAGAAAATCTTTATCTGTAAAATTAAATAATAAAAAATTATTTATAAATATAGTACAATTAATAAATAATCGATTAAAAAAAAATTACAAAATCTTAAATAAATCAAACAACAAACTTAGATTGATAGAAGGGTCGTTCCTTACCAAATCATCCATCTGAAGTTCAATCTAACACCCACACATTACAGATTTTGTTGAAAATTTGAATTAATACAGAAAATACACAAATAAGGAAAAATGACAAATTTTACCTAATTCTAACGAGTAGTTTCAGAAGTTTGGATGTTCCAAGTTTAAAGAGATTTAAACTTCTGTGGCCAATTTGAGCTGGTAACCAGACTCTATGTATTATGGTTTTTCTATGTAAAATTAATATTTGTTGGGCTAGAGGCTTCAAAATATATCCTTTGGTTTTACATTTTATAAAACATCAGATGATACCATACTCTAATTGGCATTATGATTTTTCATCATGAATAAAATAATTCATCAATCATATGACTATCATCTTCATGAAGTATGATAACTGAGCTCGACTGGTAAACTTAGCAGTATCCAGAGATCTTGTTGTGGGTGGCACTCTGTTCCCGCACAAGAATATCTTTTAAGGCATAAATCCAATCTACCCGATATTAAGACATCCCGAGAACCTAATGTCATTTCTGACCACTACCTCTCAATTGCACATTTTACAGCCAATATCTCCATGTCCAAATTATGCTTTAGGAGTAGAAATGACAAGAGGTTCAACTTACTGAAACTCCAAGACCCAATGGTAAGGAACCAGTATATAGTCGAGTTTGAGGAGGCATTACAATTAACACACCATGAACAAGGATCGGTGGAAGATGAGTGGCAGGCTTGCTTTAAAGCGTTGAATGAAACGGCTGATGCAATGCTCGGACCAGCCAAAACGGAATGCCGTTCCCCATGGTTTGATGACGAATGTGCAAATGCAACTCATCAAAAGAATGTGGCATATTATGCTATGATGCAGAGAGGGCCAAGAGGTAATGTTGAGGAGTACAGGAGGCTTCGTCGAGAGGAGAAGAAAATTCATCGCAGAAAGAAAAGGCAGAAAGGGGGAGTTGCAGAAAATAGAAGCCTTGCATGGAAGCTATGAGATAAGAGTGTTCTGCAAGATAAATAAGCTCACAAAGCCTTCAATTGGGACTCAGACCTCTTGCCTAGATAATAATAATAGTAAGACCCGATATCGTCATAATAGGTTTTGGGACTAAAAGAGCGAAGTTTATTGATGTCTTTATACCAAGTGACAATAATATAAATAAAACTGTAAGTGAAAAACTAAGGAAATATCGGGAATCGGTGATTCACCTAAAATAATTGTACCATTTAGAAAGCGCAATGGTTACACCAATTGTAATATCAAATATCAACGGATGGTCTGATCCCAAAGACACTGGTGGCACTTACTGATGGCTTGGAATCGCCCCTTGGTGTGCTAAGAGAGGCTCAGCAAACTGCAAGCTATAAATGGTTCAGACATTCTCCAAGAATATTTATTCCTTTGTTCTGCCAATTCATCGTTTGCATGAGATGATGGAGAACTGATATAAATATTTTAGGAGAAGGGGTCTCACCTTGTCGTACACTTTTACAAATTTTTATTTTTACTTTATATATTAAGTTTTCTTTATAGATAAAGAAGGCAATCTTCTTATTGATAGGTCGAAAGTCCTAGCAGAATGGAGAAGACATTTTGTAGAACTCCTGACTGTCCCAGATGTCTTTCCTGAGGCTATTAATAGAACTCTATCAGTTGTGGCAGATATGGAATCTGAGTTAGTACTGTCCAATGAGAAGGAGATTGAAGCTGTGAATATGCTGAAGAGCCACAAGGTTCCAGGGTGTGATAGACTCCTCTTCTCCCAACCTTTTACAATATGAGGCAATCGAAAACCTTTTTATGTCAGCGTGGGAGGATGAAGTAATATACTTAGCATGGAGAAAATTGATCTGTCCAATTCACAAAAAGGGTAATCGTCTAGCATATATTAATCATAGAGGCATATCCTTACTGACTTCTGGATGCAAAGTCATCTCAAATATCTCCTTTCCTAAGCTGATAGAGCAATTGGTCCCTGCCAATGTGGAAAATCAACTGTTGACCGAATATTAAGCAGTTGACATTTGGAACATCCTTAAAGTGAACGGCTACATGAAACTTTGAAGATTGGGGAAAGTTGCTGGCGGTGGCCTGGACCCAGGAACGTGTTGTAGTGCCAAGATAATAATAACAATCAAATAAATTTACAATTTATATATGAAGTGTATGGTTTCAAAACCAGTTACTTCCATTTATTAAAAAAAAGATATGTTTTTAATGTATATTTATAAAAAATTAGATATGTTTGTCTCAAAATCATCTAGATCTTCCAATAATCAATACCAAAAGATTAGATTTCCCACCAAAGTGATTCTGTACAACCTTTGTTGATCAGTTCCACAGCATTTTTGAAAATGGATGTAACCAGTTTTGAAACTAAACGCCTCATATACAAGTAAATGGAGAATTTAACGCCGTGTCTCAAATTACTGAAATGAACATGAAATTCTCTATCAAATGATAAAATAATAGCAGGGGACTTTTTGAGTTTATTACAATATAGATCAAAATAATTCAACATTCTTATTATTCAACATGAAACTTCCTTAAACAAACCTACAGTATAACATCATGGGCTTTTATTATTTTTTCATATAACAAAGATAATTTAAGAAAAAAAAATTATATATGTACAAAAATTACCTTTGAAGCAAGAAGTGAAGTTTTTCATTCTAGCATCATCCAAAAAAAGCTACAAACAATACAATTAAAACATAAATTACTTCAAAAACTAGGTTGAATATTAATTTGATGGAAGTGTTTACCATTCCTTGATGATCTATATAATAGAAATATTCTCTTATATTTTTATGTGGTGACTGTCCTTGAATATAAGATACTTTAGAACAAGTAGCTCTTGTAAATGTAATAACTGATTTGGATGAAGCAGAAAGAAATGGTTTTAAAAAGTTATATTTCATAATTTGAGAACACAAGAAAAACTAAAATTACGTTTTTTACGTTTTGATAGTGACAGAACGAGTTGCCAATGGCAACAGTGGCTCAACTGATTAAACCATTATCAGTAATAACCGATAAACGCCAAGAAGTTAATAATTGAAATAGTAAAATAATTACAAGTTTCATCAGTAATTAAAAAAAGTTTACTTTTTCTGAAAAGATATTTAAAGTAAAAATGATTAATATAAAGAATTTAATTATAACTTCTAACCTGAACTACAACTTGTGTAACAAGAAAGAAGGTTTCATCAATTAACATTTTAGTGTCGTTTTTAAAATGTTTATTTAGTTTAGTTTATTTTACCATAAAACTATTGAGGTGAGGCTAGACCAAAAGAAATGACAGTGTATAGAAGCTGAACACATTTATTTTAATGGTGGATTCAATGACGGCATAGAAGTCTTGATGTAAGCGTTGTTTGTAACTTCATCTCATCAGAGAACTTCATAATAAAGGAAACTTCAGTGTGTTTTTACTTTAACACTCCTGAAATCCTTGCGATTTTTATTTATACTTAATTGTACTTGTTCTCTTGAATGATTTAGTTTTGTCAAACTTAGTTAAATACTGTTTGTCATAGGCATTATTTAAGATCAACCTTTGACAAGGCAAATGTATTGAATAATTACTTGTTAATGGAGTTTAATGTCGTGTTCATGCTGATTTTTAAACTTATGTAGTCATGATTTTAAACCACTTTTCAATGTAGCTGGTATGGATAATATAAAGCATGATGCAGTTAAAGAGGAGGAAATTGAACTCAATAAAGGTAAATATTAATTTCATTATCATTTCCTTCCTATATTTTAGTATTAAGAATAAGCGTTGACATTGATTTACAACAATCTCCACATTGATGATTATTTTTCCTAATAGGATCACTGGATGTTACTAACTGTCTGGCAAAATCTGAAGGAGAGGATATGGTATGAATAAGGTATCATGAAATCGAATTCATTCAATTACCAAACCTTAGTTATCTCAATTTCTTGTTTGCAGGGATGGTGTGTTCCCAGTTGTGAAAGTGAAGTGGAAAAGGATATAAAAGAACAGCGTCCTTTTAACCATTCTAAGAAGATTATGAAACATGCGTTACGCCAACAAGCTAAAAGGCGTAGGAAGAATACTACGATAGCTGCTGGAAACCCTGCACCGACTCAACGATTAACGTTATCTCCTAATAGTTGTGATAGTGCGTTTTTCTGTTTCTGTCTCTTATCCCTTAGAGTTGTGTTGGTTATTAGCAACTTGAAATTTATTCGTTGTTTTTCTTTTGTTGTTTTTTAGTTGAAGATATTAGTTGTGATACTGCATGCTATCGGCAACCCACTATGGCAGAAGTTCTGGCTTCTATTCCAGGATTTAGCATGAAACCCAGAAAAAGATCACAGAAAAAATTATCTGCTGCTGCACAGTTGGAACAAACCAAGGAAGGATGTGTTGATCTTGAAACCCCTGACTCAATTCTTGTGAACTCCAACCTTCGGTCACTGCTTAATAAACATACATTTTCTTCCTTGCCGTCATTATATCAATATAAGTTACTTCAGTTATTGCCTCATGTTGATAGAACTGGATCTGATTCTGTTTTTAGGTATGTTATTATTTAAACTTGTATAGAACTTTTACTTGCATTAGTTGTTCAACTAATGGTTATAAAACAAATAATGGGTATAATTTTGAATTTATTTGGGGCAGCTAAAGTTACTATTTCGCTGGTACTGCCCAAGGCAGCGACTGCTGGTGGTTGATCACTGCTTTAGTGGAATAGAAAGGAACCTATTTCGTTGGTACTGCTCGGCAGTCTAGGTATGACATCATATCTAGGCTTCTCCTATCTGACCGCTCTTGAAGTAGTGAAGCTGTTGGCGGTTCTAGATTATGTCATATCGGAGCATTGTTTTGAAGATAACAGTCAACTTGATACATTTTATTTCCTTCTGTTTTTTCATCAAGTCAGGCAAAATTTAATGAAATATTGTTTAAAATTAAAAGAAAGTTATAATAAACCATTTTTTAAAGTATGAATTAACAAGATAATTTGTTCATTTATTCTACCAAAAGTATTTTACAAAGAAATTCAAGTATACCTAGATCTAAATGACATTAAATAATAAAAAAAAATTAATTTCAGGTAAATATTCATATCCAGATATTGAAAAATCAATTTGTATCTTTTAATTAAAGTGCTGATTTACTGATTACCTATTGATAAAACAGTAAAATATATCTTGCTGTGAGTTCATTACAAATATGTGATATTTACTATTATTTAATTATGTAATAATTACTGTTACTTATCAAATTAATAATTAGTAATATAATTAAAATCGGAGATAAATCCTCACTTCTTAAAGTAGTGGTTTATCATCTTAATAATATCATGAATACTTATATTTTATATTTTATATTCTAACTATTACAAGAAACAATCATTTTGTAGAAGGTAGGAATTAATATGTGGGTTATTGTTAACATTTCATAGTATAGACATAACCTAATTCAACAACGAAGCCTCAGAAATCGGACTGTCTAAGTCAAATGGCAACAACATGGAACTTTCAAATAGGTATTTAAATTTGGAATACTTCCATTTATAGACCGGATGCCTTTACTGAATTGAAGAACTAATCATCCTGCCATTTAAAAAACAAGATGGACAGGATGTGGTTAACTAAAAAAAAAAGATAAGTGAAAGAAATATGGAACCTCCTGGAGTAGGTCATAGCAAAATCAGCGGACCAGTATTGTCAGAAGTAAAGGAGAATCAATAATTCCTGGTTTGATAAGAAATTTAAAGAAGTACTGGCAGAATGGAATACAAAGAGGTCAGTTCACTTGAGCCAGTACACTAGGCAAAGTACAAAGAAGCCAGATCTAAATCAATAAAAGAAACAAGCGACACTAAAGAAGGCAAAGGCTATTGAGGATACAAGAAGTAATGAGGCAAGAATATTTTTTGCAAAAGTCAAGAACATAACTCTAGATTTAAGCAACAACTCTATAATTAGAAATACTGAAGATAAGCTACTAGTTGTGGACAAGGATATTCAAGAAAGATGGAGAGACCATTTCAGTAAACTCCTTAATCCTATACTTAAGGTCACATTATACCCCTAATCCCATAATAACTAGGAGAGTATCAATGTGGATTTAAGGCTATTGTTCAACCATTGATCAGATTTTATCACCTATTCAGATAATGGAAAAAATGAGTGAATTTAGCAAATGCACGTGGCTACTCTTCATAGATTAAAGGCTTACGTATGACTCGTTTAATAGGAAGCAATTTTACCGAGTAATGAGAGAAATGGATGGCTAAGTTAATTCAATGAAGGACACTGTAGGCAGTCAAGATTGGTGGAAATTTCGGATGTATTTTCAATGAGGTCAGGACTTTCAGAGGTCAATGGGGCTCTCTTACCCCACTGCTGTTGGAAAATTGTCCAAAATGTGATTATAAAAAGAGGACTTATGACACATAAAACAATTTTTAACATGACCAAAATGATGGTGTGGTCATTGCAGGAAGGTTTCCACAAAGAATCAAAGAAGTGTTTCTAGTGCTTGAGAAGGAAGAAAGAGGCTGGTTTCCCCTAGGAGTCACTATTTAGTTGGACGGTTTAGGTTTGATTTTGAGGTTTGAGAGGCTGCTCAGTCGCATGACCAAACTCAGACTGTACAAGACACTCATCTAACCCATCTGGACATATGTATCCAAAACCAGAACAAAATCTCATTTTTCAATAAATTTATCCTTACAGGCTTTTGCAGCATTGATGTCAATATACTCTTGAGAACTAATTATATGTACAAAATATTAGGTATAGACTATAGGAAAATAGGAAAAATTCACAACTGATGTTCCTAGAAAGAGCTGTTAAGAATGCACTCTGAAACATCTGTTTAATAATGTTACTGTGAATAAATCCATTCCGTAGGAATTAGTTTTGGAACTATATCGTCTTGTAGTATTTGGGAATAGTTTTTAAATAAAATTGGGGTAACTTTTAGTTTATATTTTTTCGTAATACATTATATGCAGAGTTAAGACTATTTATAATCTTTACGAATGTTGAAAAAATAATTTCTTAATGCCATTAAATGAATGATATTAATAAATAACAGTAGTTGGTCTTTTAGGATTTATATTAATCACTGAGATTATAAATAGTTTCTTTTTTCATATTGGTTTCTTTTTCTATTTGTGAACATTTATTTATTAGGTTAAGTGGATCAGGTCTGAACAATGAATTTTTCGCACGTGCTTGTCTTGACTGGAGAGAAAGACTTGCTGAAGGGGAATTTACACCTGAAAATCAAGCCAAAATTAAGGCTGAACAAGAAAAAGAAAAGAGTAAACTTGATCCCTGGAAGGTATATTTTCTTTTTTATTCATGAGTAGGGACCAGCTTTATATGTATTTATATATATTTTTTCTAAGCCTATAATATTCTTTGGAAGTTTATTGCATGTTTATACAATTTAAAAGCATCTTTCATTTTACATGTTTGTAGAATATCTACATATTATCATCATGCTGTTTCTAGCAACATATGGTTGTATTCGGAGAGATATTGTAGCAATTTTACTTGTATATATAACTGATAAATTAAAATTTAATGTATTAGTTTTAAATTGTAATGTAACTTTTCAAACTCAATATTCCACTAATATAATTTTTCATTTGATGGAGAATTTCATTCTTTTTTCATTAATATACGGTTGTATTGCGGTATTCAGAGAGAAATTTTAGCTACAGATATTTTTCGGTATCAATTAGCACACAATTTCCGCATCACTCAAAATCAAAATCATTTCAAACTCAAAATCCCACTAATATTATTTCTTTCATTTTATAGAGAATTTCATCCCTTTTTCATTAAAATATCATTGTATTGGGGTATTCTGAGAGAAATTTTAGTTACAGGTAGTTTTAAATATTTTTATCACTATTTTAAAAATTTATGTTTAAGAATTTTTTTATATGTAATGAAAAATTATAATGCTAAAACTTATATCAGCAGATTCAGTATTAAATTTATGGGGAATAAATGAATCTTGAAAGCTCTTGGTCAATAAATATTGTTTTTACAAATGAAAACCAAACAGGCTCATGCTGGTTTTGAGCCCAAAATATCTTCCCAACTTCAAAAGTTTAAAACCCCATAATTCTGAGACTGATCATTTGAATTGGCTAAAATTTGGTATTTTTACGTACATGTATATTTACAAATTTCCATGAAGATCTGAGGGAGGTGGGTTATAAGCCCTGGATGATTTGGCTTGGAATGATCCTGCCAGTAAAAATAAAAATCTTATGCCCCACCAACCCATCAAGCAACAGTTTTGAGGCACAGTAAGATATCACCAGTGTTTCTGATCGGAATACCATTGTTTATTGGTGAAGTGGAATAAACATACCTTCCTTAGGTCTGTCCTTTCTCCAAAATCTGGCTCCTGAGATACAGGTCATTAGTGTAACAGTTAATACTATTGGGGGGCGGGGAGGCCGAATGGGCTAAAGCGTGTGCACAGCACATCGAGTTGCCTGGCAACCGGATTACAGATTTAAAAAGTACGAGTTTGCGTCCCGGTGCCGGATAGTAAATTCCCCGCCCTCACCCCCCGGACCGGGAAAATCCCGTATAGAAGAAAAAAAAAAGAAAAGTTAATACTATTGGTTTTTATTGCCTCCAAGTGTCAATCTTGACACTGTAGATTATTACCAATATTCTTTGACTTGGTTGTGAGTGCATAGCAAGCATCCCATCATTTTCAACACTCTGAAATAGCTTTTTTTTTTTTTTTTTTTTTTTTTTTTTTTTTTTTTTTTTTTTTTTTTTTTTTTTTTTTTTTTTTTTTTTTTTTTTTTTTTTGGGTCCTTCCCTTCCTCGCCGTTAAGGCTATACGGGATTTTCCCGGGCCAGGGAGTGTGGGCGGGGATTTAAAAGACTCCCCCGGCACCGGGACGCGAACTCGTGACTATTTTTATATCTTTGTATTCATATGTCAGGTTGCCAGGCAACGGCGGTGCAGTGCACACGCTTTAGCCCATTCGGCTACCCCGCCCACTTCACTCTGAAATAGCTGCCAGTGCCCCTTGTGAGTTAAAAGCAGCATAGTTTTAAATTTGTTAGCCTATAAAATGTTTTTAATGCCTTTGCTTCTTCTTCCAAATGCAATAAATCAAAACCCAACATAACTTCCAGGGCAGCTATTGGGCTAGTTTTCATGGCACCTGTCATCGTTAAACAGCCTGATCTTTGTAGTTTGTCTAACTGTGTCATATTGCAACTGATTTTAGTTCAGTGGCATCAGATCACAGCTGAGTATAAAGGCATAGGTCTGACAGGACTTTGTCAGTTGTGTTTAACGAATGATTGTTCCACTTGAGTTTATAGTGCAGCGTAACCCCAAGATGCTTCACTACCTTGCTTGCAGTTTGCTGGATTCCATTGATTTTGGGTAATTTAATTATTACCTTTATGTTCAATGTGAAGGTGCATACATTAATCTTTTTGTAGCCTTATAGGCTATACAGGGTTTTTTTCCGGGCCAGAAAGTAAGGGCGGGTGATTAATTAGAGGGTCTCCTTGCTTCAAGCCCTGTTTTACCTCAATGCTGTTTTAGAGGACACTTTGAATTTTGATTTTGCATTTCGGGCCTCTTGGCCTCATGGTTCTATCTCAGTCAACATTATCAATTTTTCTGAAATTCCTAGCATTCTTATAGTTTTCGTTAATTTCTTACTGTCTATAGATTCGTTTACCTGCTTAAAATCTATAAGACATGATGCAGATCCACGTTATGTTCTACGTTTGCTCTGGTCCTTCATTGAATCACTGCTAGTCTGGCTCTATTTCTTTCCTCTACCATCCTCCTGCATTCCTCATCAAACCATGTGCTCTGGGGATTCTCATGATTTATTAATAGGGTTTCATTAGCTGTCTCTGTTACCACTTCTTCATCTTGCTCTATCTAGCTTCCACACCTTAGTTTCCATCTATAGCTTCTTGTAGTTACAGCCACTCTTTCTGCATACCTCTTTTTCTCGTCAGAGTCTTTCAGTTTCTCCAAGCAATACTTCTTGGTTTTTGCTTTCTGTCCGTTTGGTTGGTTGGCAATCATTTGTCGGTATTGTAATACGACCATGTAGTGGTCTGATGAGCAGTCAGCGCCTCTGAAGCTTTGAACATCTGTCACATCTGTAGCATGCTTTTTTTCAATCATGATGTGATCTATCTGGTTCTTAGTTAACCCATCGGGGGAAACCCATGTTTCTTTACGAGTGCTTTTATGGTCGAAATATGTACTTGCAATACTGAACCCCGCAGAGGTAGCAAAGTCAACTGCTTTAAATCCATTTTCATTACTCCCCACGTGCAAGCTATGTGGGCCGATAGTAGGGCGAAACATTTCTTCCCTTCCGATTTTTGCATTAAAGTTCCCCAATTCTATTTTGACATTAGGTCTTGGTAATCTGTCGACTGTTGAATCCAGCGCAGTGCAGAAAGCCTCTTGCTGTTCCTCATATTTATCCTTTGTTAGTGCATGAACGCTAACCAGGGTTATATTGAAGAACTTTCCTCAGAGTGCAGAACTTTTCTGAGAGTGCAGATTCTTTCATTTACCAGTGCATAATTCTTTATTGCTTATCTTATATTTCTCCTTACTAAGAATCCAGTGCCTAATATATTTTCCCGATGTCCACTATTAAGAAGGGTTTAGTCCTTTAGCTCCCTCAGTTCAATATTCCTCCATCTAATTTCTTATATTGCTGCAAGCTCTATCCTGTATCGTGCCAGCGTATCCTCCAAAATCCTGCTTGCTCCTTGCACAAATATGCTTCTAGCCAAGTGGCCATTCTGATTGGTTTTATCCTTTTCCGAGATCCGTGTCATTTCCGTAGAGACTGTTCGGCTTTTCTTTGTTGAGTATTCGCAACATTTGTTTTTTTACAAGAATGGGGTGTCAGCCCAAACTAAACCCACAACCTGGAGGACCAGGAATATTTACATAGAGGCAATCTACCTATAGACAAGTTGCCTACCGAAGCTTAAGTGTCTTTCCCACCCTTTTGCAGTAGGCTACCTAACTAAGCCTGTAGGAGCTGCCGTTGACTGCCCTAGACAGTTCTTCCGTCACCATCATAAGTGGTATGCCCTGCTGCTGGCACACCTCCTTCCTGGAAGGCCTATTCCCAAGTATCCCTAGGCTGCCCTTCCAGGGTCCCCTCTCTCATTTGTTTGCCTACCCAGTCATCCAAAGAGATTGGTTACCAAGACCTCAGACTGGATTGCTTGGCTTAACAGGCCCACCTCGAGAAGGTGAGAGTAAGAGGTAGGGAGGAGAGGCTAAGTGGTCCTTGGTGACCATGTGTTGCGCATCACACCCGGTTTGGGGCCTTCCAGCCGCCATTCATAGTGTCCGCAAATTCTTTCTTCCCATGAGGCTAGGCTCTTATTTATATCTATCAAGAGGACTTAATATGCAGCTAGTAGTGCTATTCCTCTGTAGTTAGCTCAATTCAACTTGTCCCCTTTTTTAAAAATAGGATAGAACTGCCGTGTTCCATTCTTGAGGGACAGTTTACTGCACCACTCAGATTATATATATGAAGTTATAGAGCTGTTTTGTTAATTCTTCTCCACCATTCTTTGGCAGCTCAGCTGATATTTTGTCCATACCCTGAGACTTGTTGGTCTTTATAGCCATAATTATTTCCTCTATGTCTTCCTTCTCTGTTGGTATTTATTCTTTCTCACACATGTTACCTCCATTTCTTTTGTCGTTCTTCTTCATTATTCAGTTCTTTGCTTCCTTTGTTTAATACTTCCGAAAAATATTCCGTCCATTTGTCTAGTAAAATAATTATTAACCAAGTTGTTATATATCATTTTACAACTATTTCAATGACCTTGAAAAGTCAGGAAATATTAGTGAAGGTTTAAGGTAGACATCCTTTACTAGAATAAATCAGAAAATAAAAAAAATAAAAATTAATTATAAATAATTATATTTTTAGTACTTTTATATTTTTGCTAAATTATTATGATTTTGTTTCATTTTTAAAATCTAATAGTTGCTTTTAGATAGTTGAACTGATTATTTGATTAAATGTGTCAACAATTTTAAGGTAATTTGCTTAATAGAGTTAAATACAGTTGTTTTATTTATAAGTTCTTAACATAAGGATATGTAAATTTATCTTTTGCCTATTTTAATTTTTTTAAATATTTGGTGTTGTAGTTGAAACATTTTGAACCCACTTGGGGTGAAAGTTTGCGAGAATGGCCTTCATTGCCTATATCAACATCTTCAGCTGTACCTACAGTTCAGTCCAAACCAAAAGTTGTTAAGCCTCCACCACCACCTACAGTCACCAGGCTAAGAACGGTTGGTGCAGTAACTAGGGCAGTTACATCATACAGAGAAAAAAGAGCTGCGCAGAGTCCTCCACGGCAAATGGAAATCAAAAGGAATAAGCAACAAGGTTTTAAATTTGTTTTTAATTTAGAAAAATAGTGGAATACAAAACACCAATTAAAATAGTCTATAAGTTGTGCCTCTCTACTTATTTCCTATAAAAAGGCGTTGTTCTAAAATTCTTGTATACATGGTATCTAATAACCGGAAAATTGAGGAATTTTCCTCCAACTTAATTATTTGGAATTTTCAATTTTCAAGAATTTTCAAAAACATAATTTGGACCAGCAAAATTTTAAAAAATAAATAAATAGAAAATAATTAAGTTCAAAAAAGTAGGTCCTCAAATAATTTTATGCTCAGATTAAAAAATACTGAGATTGTGCGGGATGGGATGTAGATAGTTCCATATCAATTTCTTCACATTCCATTCACTACATTTACTTCAAATGTGCAAATTTATATTCTTAGACATGTAAATATATTTTTTTTTTGGTGGGCGGGGTAGCCGAATGGGCTAAAGCGTGTGCACTGCACCGCCGTTGCCTGGCAACCAGACATATGAATTAAAGATATAAAAATAGGCACGAGTTCGCGTCCCTGTCCCGGGGGAGTCTTTTAAATCCCCGCCCCCACTCCCTGGCCCGGGAAAATCCCGTATAGCCTTAACGGCGAGGAAGGGAAGGACCAAAAAAAAAAAAAAAAAAAAAAAAAAAAAAAAAAAATGTAAATATATTTTTTAAAAACAGCTGGTTTGATTTGACTGAAAGTTAGAGGAAATTGGGATTAGTGAAAATATTGAATTTTTTTCCTATTCCATCTGCTACTATTTCTTTTCCATATGCAAAGATATTTTCTTTCCTATACATATTGTAATTTCTCTTATATTTTAAACTAGTAATATAACCTCAGAATATCATTTCATACTGTAGCAATACTTCCAAAAGAAATAAGATGTTGTTAAATAAAAAACAAAATTATCAGAATATTCACATCTTAAACTAAACTTTATAATTATTTTATCTCGTGTATGGGTTACTGTCAATCAGATCAAAAGACTCAGACTGACTAACATTAACTACACTAAACAGTGTTAGATTTAAAATAAAGTTAATTATGAATTAGCAAGCTAATCTTTTTTCTATATACACTGTTTCTTCCTTTGTGGCACTAAATTCATTTGTCTTCAAATACCTTCCAAAATGGTGACACTTTAACTACTCAACTCGAGCTCCCTGGGTGATCCTCTCTCTTTTAATTCCAAACAACTAGTGCCCCTGCAAAAAACAACTTCTTGCCAAAACAAAAATCCTTTGTCCCTCTCCTCTTTGTGGTTTTCCTTTTTGGGAAAACTACAGAGCAGCCATTTTCTTTTCTCTGAACTAGTGAAACTTTTTCAAATTTAAACTTCCCCTGACATTAGTAGAACTAGATTAGCTTGTCTTTTAACTGTTCAACATTAATTTATTTAACCTTTTTTGCCAACTTCCAATAAAGGTGTATACTACAATATATTTAAAAAACCTTTCCGCCTTTAGTTTGTAAAGAGTTATAGCCTGGGGCAGAGACTCTCCTAGTGCTCATCCCATCCCCTCCCCCCACCACATCCCTATAAATTGTATATCGTTGGGTTCTTTGTAACTATTTAATAAAAAAAAGCTAATGTTCCCACAAAAAAAAATGAACGCACTGCCCCAAAATGGCATCCAAACATGGCGGACTGACGACTTTGACTTCACACTATTTCACGTTTCGAATTATCCTGGCGTTTTGAAATTCATATTTATTCGTTATTTATTGTATTATATTCATATTATTGAAATTGTAAAAAAAAACAAATGTAATAATACAAAATACTTTTATTTTACAACATATATATTAAATAGACAAAAACAAATGTAATAATAACAAAACAGTTTGATTTGAAATTGAAATGGACAAAAATAAATGTAATAATTCCCACAGCAATAACAAAACACTTTCGTTTGCAACACATATATGAAATAGATAAAAATAAATGTAATAATAAAAAAATGAAATAATTAAAAAACACTTAAACAACATATGCACATATAAAAGAAACAATAGAAATTCTATAAACAACATATGTACATATAAAAGAAATAACATATGTACATATAAAACAATTTTATTTTCATTTTATTTATTTTGGCAGACAAAATAGTTTAATGCTATTTAAAATAGCTAGGAACAGGTCCTCTGTGAGCCCGCCGCCACAAAAATTCCCATAAATGTCAATCGAGGTGTTGTCTCGCTGTTCCTCTATCTGTGACCTTCTTCACACAATTTCATGTTTGGAATTATCCTGGTGTCTATTTATATTTCACTCACCCTGTTCTGCAGTGAGTCTTCCTCAGTATTGTACCCAACTTCTACAACTTTCTCTTGTTCTATTATTTTCTTGTCTTCGTCTAGTTGTAGACACTCACTATTTGTTAACTCTCTATTTTCTTCTCTCCTTCCTCTTTACTAGCTAGCTGGCTATCTTCTGCCCACATATGGAACTTGCTTCCCTCTCCAATTGTCATTCCTGTCAGTAGTTCGTGATGTCACCACCTTCACGCCACTATTCAAAATCATTATGTAATATTTACATTACAATATACATATTTTTTTTCCATTGTTTTCTTTACTCCTCTGGGTCCGTTGACCTTTGGAGTGCCGGTTCTTCTCTTTTCTCTGCTGGGCACTCTCTCCCCAAGTTGAAGTGTGTTGGGCCCACTACTTCCTTCCACCTAATCACGTACTCCGTAAAGTGAGGGTAATTATTCTCCACCCCCAGTCCTGGGAGATCTTCTCCATGACTGTATAACCCGATTTTCCTTGTCAATGTTGGTCCACAGTGTATTCCGCTGTTTCGGGAACCCTGCATGTGGGGCACCGAGGGTCAATATTCTTTCCATGTTTATTCAAATTATCTCTAAACCTCCCTCCCATGTTCACTAATAATTTGAGAAGATCAGTAATCAGGTTGGACCCATCTTGCCTCTAATTCATTAATTCTACTGCCTGTTCCTCTCCTCGAATGAATCCTCCCTTAACTCCTCTGTCGTAGTCCTTCCAGGATTGATCCTAGCCCGTGTCTCTTGACATCGAACTTAATGGCGTCTTCCCTCAGGATCAAGTCCAGGAGCATTTCCCCGGCTAGCATCTGTACCGCTTCATGCAAGACCATCCTGTAGGCTTTTGTAATCCTAATAAGTGCCAGTCTCTGAATGGTTGCTAGTTTTTTCCTTTGTACTTGTATAAGGCAGCGGCCACAGACAGGGAATGCTTGACCAGATTTTTAGTGACCAAAAAACTAACTCAAGTCAACATTGTCAGACTGCCATGATTGGACGCCATTTTGGGGCAGTTCATTCACTTTTTTTGTGGGAACGTTGGCTTTTTTTAAATAAATAGTTACAAGGAACACAACGATATGCAATTTATAGGGATGTGGAGTGGGGTGCACGGTAGGGAGGGTCTGGCCTATAGACTATGAGTACTTTTTCCACCATTTTGGTTATTCCTAAGTGGTCTGTAGATTTTCCTTTCTTGCCTTTCTGTAATAATATATGATTGCTTCACCTTTTAGTGAAATATTAATGCCAAGTAGAGACACTGTTGTACTGAAGACCATAAATATTTACTTAGAACTAGCGTACTTAACTTTATATTAAATTAATATTAATTAAGTTTATAAAGTATTCTTATTATATTTATTATTGTTTTTAGATAATGGTGTAGATGAGGAAAGTATTGAAGACAAACCACCTAAAGAGGAAGAATCTCAAAATGGATTACCGTTTAATGAATTAAGAAATTCTTCAGAAGAAAATGTGAATAGCAATGAACAAAAAAATGAAATTGTAAATAATAATGATGAAACTTTTAAAAGTGAATCTGAAGAAGACAGGCTAATTGATTCTCCAGTTGCTAATAATTTAGATAATCAAAATGCTGTTAAGCAGCCTGATGTTTATATTGCTGAGGTTCTTGAAGAAAATAATGCGGTGACATCTAATCAAGTTGAGGAAACTGCTGTGGAAAATAATGAGTCTGCAAAGGATATTAATTTTCCAATGCCTTCCAGTTGTAAAATTTCTCCAGAAGATAATTCTGAACAATTTGTACATGAAGTTGGTATCCTATCCCAGTCACTTTTGATAGATGAGTTAAATAATAAACAAAGACAATCTGTTTCTGTTGATTCCAATGTTTTAGTTATTCCTGAAAGTATACTTGATATTCAGGAAAATAACATTGATGTTTCTGAAGTGAAGGATGTTTCTCCTATCAATCATGACAATGAAAGTAACGTCAACGACATTAATACAGTAATGACTCTACCTATTGCAAGCAGTCAAACCCCATTTTCTGAACTTCAGATGGTTGATGATGCTTCAGTAACTAATATGCCTGTGATTAGTGAAGTAGTTTTACCAAAAATACCAGTTTCTAGTAATCAGGTTATTAATGAACATCATATTTCTATTACTCAAAAACCTAATATTGAAGAAGAAAAGTGGGAAGTAATACAAGTGAACCCTGGGGAAAAAGAAGGCAATATTTATTTTAAGGAGGATGAAGCTGCTATATTAGCTGCAGCATGGGATGTTGTTGGTTCTTCTACTCATTTCCAAGACCTTCATCAACCTGTAAGTATTTTATTATTAAATATATGTTCAATTATGTTTTGTTCAGCACTTTTCATTTCATTCATTTAAATACTACATTCTGTTAATAATTTATAATTTTTAAAATGTAATTCATGGAAATAAGTTTTTATCACTTGGAGATCACTAAATTGAAGGTCTTGTATTTTTCATAGATGTTTTTGTTTTGTACTTAAACTTGGAAAGTAAAAATTAACTTAACCACCATCATTATCTCACAATTATTATGAAAATAAAAAGGAAAATTGAGTAAAGAATAAAAAAAAAAAAAAAAAAAACTTAAGATAGTGAAATAACTATTTTATTTTGAGCTTTAGGCTTATACAATGAATAACAAGTTTATTTTAAGCTATTATTATTATTATGGTGCTACGGTCCTGCAAGAACCCGGACCTCCTCCACTACAGCCAACCAATCTCAACGGTCTTGTGCTACTTCCCTCCATCTTCAAACGTCCAGTCGCCTCAGATCGTCCTCAACATACTTCAGCCATCTTATCCGAGGGCATTTTCTTTGTCATTCTTTCCACATGACATAACCATCTGATCCTGGCTCTTTTTATCAATGCCACATTATCAGGCTTACCATAGAGTTCCCGCAGCTCCTCATTCTTTCTTATTCTCCAAATTTCATTCTCAAAGATTCCGCCCCATATTCTTTTCAATACATTCCTCTCCCAGGAGTTGAGCGTGCGTTCTAAGTTTCTGGTTAAGGTCCAAGTCTCACACCCATACATAACCACTGGTCTTACTGTGTTTTTTTATATGAGAATTTTGTTTCTTTTAGAGAGTGATCTGAACTTCAAGTCTCTTTGCAGTGAGAAATAGCACCTATTTTCTGCTGCAATCCTGGCATTTATTTCACTCTCTATTTTATTATTGCATATGACCAGGGTTCCAAGGTACTTGAACTGGTCAACAGACCTAAAGTTGTGATCCCTTAAAGCTATTTCTGTACTCATTTCCTTTTCCATTTTTGAATTTTCCACATACACTGTCTTATTTTCATTAACTCTAAGGCCCAGTTTAGCCGCTGCTTCTTCGAATTTCTGGAAAGTTCCTGATAATGCTGCTTGGGTTTTAGAGATAATGGCAACATCATCGCCATATGCCAGATGTTGAGACATACAATTGTAGATTGTTCCTCCTGGATTTGTTCGAATAGAATGAATAGCCATTTCCAGGGCAAGATTAAAAAGAAGAGAAGATAGAGGATCATCCTGTCTCAATCCATTATCCACCTCAAATTCTTTGGACAGCGAATTTGCAAGTTTCACTTGACATGTAGTCTTCATTAGCATCATTTTTGTAAGTCTGACTAGTTTCTTGGGTATGCCTACATCTATCACAGATTTCAAAAGTCCCTTTCTGTCTACACTATCGTACGTCTGTTTGAAGTCCACTAAGAGAATGTGCATGTCTATGTTAAATTCTCAACATTTTTCCATTATCTGTCTCAGAGAGAATATCTGGTTAACTGTTGATCTTCCAGACCTAAAGCCTCCATGATATTCTCTTATGATTTTTTCAGTAAAATCTGTCAGTCTTTTAAGTAGGAGTGCTGCCAATATTTTATAGGTTGTACTTAATAGAGCAATGCCTATTCCTTGCTTGTGTATTGGACATATTGCTGCTCTTGTCCAATCTTCAAGCATTTTTTCTTCCATCCATATCTCCCAAATTAAGTCATAAATTTCCTCCCACAGATCACCATGTTTTAATATCTCTGGAGTCATCTCGTCAAGACCTGGCGACTTATGATTCTTCATTGACATAATGATATCAGTTATTTCTTCTGCTCCTTCCTTTGCTTCACCCAAAGGTGTATTTAAGTTGCTAATCTCTTCAGATGTTTTTTTCAGCAATTCACTAAAGTACTGATTCCACCTTTTGAGAATGTTCGACTCTTCCCCAATCAGATCTTCTTTCCCACTGCTCAATCCAGTTCTGGCAGTGAATCTTTTTTTTATGTCTTTTACTCCTTTGTAAAATTTTCTTGTTTCTTTTTTTCCCCAGGCATCCTGCAACTTCTCAAGTTTTTCCTTTTCCTGTGCTCTCTTCTGCCTACAAACTCTTTTAGCTTCTCTTCTTTTAGTCATGAATTCCTCCCTACTATCTCTGGTCTTCCTATTCAACATGTTTAACCTCGCCCTATTTCTTTCATCCAATTTTAAGCTATAGGCTTACATAAATAATATTTGTTTTATTTTAAGCTTTAGGATTAAAATAAAATATTTGTTTTACTATTCTAATTTTTTTTATGATTGCCATCTCAGGCAACTCTTTCCTCTATATTATACTACAGTCAACCACTGAGTATTCAAAAAGGAAAATTATTTGGATTTTTTTTTCAATATGTATTTAATCTTTTATCTTCATAAATAGCCAATATATATATGTGTTTATGAAATTTCTAATCCCCTGTTATTTTGAAAATGGCGAATATTAGTTCATTTTACCAAGATCATTCTGGATTCACATTGGAGCGTGTGACATTACTTACTTCACATGGCTCTACAACATGTTACTAAGTTTAGAACTCTTCAATAAACAACCACAGAAGTCTGTCTAATGCTGCTGCCATCCAGTTGTGGACTCCAAGGCTCATTGCTTCTCCTTCCATACAGTTAATCCAAGAAAGCCTTTAAATATTGGACAGGATCTTATATTGTAGAGTATTGTGCACTATAGAGTGGAAGTGATATTTCATGGTAATTCCAGCAATCATAAGGTCTTCTTTCTTGTAGATTGGCCATTCTGTGGATTCATTCCACTGATCCAGAATCATCTTATTCACCCATATGTCTATGAAGAGCCTTTTCAAGATTTCCATACTTGATAATCTCATCTGGGATATCATTTATCCCATGTGCCTTTTGATTGTTTAGTTTTTCTATAAGTTATGTTACCTCTTTATCATTGGGTGGTTTCATGTCTTCTACTCGTAGAGATAGATCCATCCTCATTTTGCACCTTGACCAGCTAGGAGGAAGATTTCTCTGCTATCACTCCTGAAAGAAATATTCTGCTGCCAACATCTCCCATAAAATGGCAGGGCCGCCAGGCCAGGACCTCCTCTTCTGTCAGTTAATCTACTTAATGGTCCGCAGGGATTTTGAATCCACCTTAGACTAAGTTGCTTAGTTCATCAGGTCTTACTAGATGTAGGAAGGAATTGTAGATGAGGAGAGGCTAAACAGACATTGGTGACCATAAGTTATACTCCACTCCTCTTTCGAGTCCCAGCATGTCACATTGGTGGAAAAAATTGGCCCAGTATTCTCAGAGAAAAGCACTAAATGGTGAAGAGACGGATTTTATTCCATTATTATTACAAATAATTATTTAATTTTTGGATTATACTTATCTTAAACAGTAAAACCTCAAGTTTTATGAGAGATTACTATTGTTTTGTTAATTACTAAGGTTTATTATTGGAAGTAATGAACCGAAAAGAACCAACAAATATCCGTCACATTACAGTCTCCTCACAGGTAGTCAAATCTATGTCTCTTAGGCTACCTAATTTTTCCCTCTATTAATAGTGTTGTTGTTTTTTTCAGAGTATTAAAAATGACATACAAGGTATCAGAAAAAACACTGTTGGATCTTTAAAACATAATTATTATATAATCGAATACAATATTAAATTCATGCTTGGGGGGTGATTGTTGTAAAGATGCAGAAATAGAATACATACCTCTACTTTAAAAGAAAAGTTAAATTTGGCTAGAAATAAAGCTGAGTACCATGAGCAGGTTGAAAATAAATCTGTGGCACAAAATTATAAAATTACATGTACCTCATCAATGTACTAGATTCCTTCCTTTATTTGTTTGTTCTTCTGTATGAGGAAACAAATTGGAATAATATTATCTTATATTAAGATTTATCAAAGATTAAGTTCCAGAGCTAAACCTGTAATATGTCCGAATTCACAAAATAATGAGGATGCAGTATAGTAAATAACTTTTTCCTATTTTATGTTGGCTTATGTTGTCGGTCTTCTTTTTTCCTTAAAGAAGCCTAAACAGTTGTATTTAAAATACATTTCAAGTTTTCTCAGTTTTTTGTTTTGGCAATCAACCTGTCAGCTGTTTAGTAAAAAAAGGTGTTTTTTCTGATAACATTCATGTTGTTTTTAATACATATCATCCTCATCTATGGTTATTTCACTAAAACGTTACATTCCACTCAAGAAAGAACATTATATTGTTTTCCTCTGGCCATATAATCTTCAGCATCAGGATTTTTGTGAGCGTTAGCAATTCTTTCATACTTCTTAATCTTATTGATTCATATCTCACTTTTACATTTCCAATTAATTATTTTGTGTTTTGCATTGCTTGCTAATTATCTTTGATTTATTTTTTAAAACATTTACTATAACGAATCATAATAATTAAAAATAAAAAGGGCCAGATCCAAGCCAAACTCCAGATTCAGCAATTACATCAACTATTGAGAGCCATTTGTTCAACAATCATTGCATATGTTTTACCAGATAGAGTCCAAATCGTTTTATAATACTCACAGGATCTATTCAAATAATGTATAAATCTTAATAATAAATAATAAATGTAAACATCATACTTATAAATCTGTCCAGCCATTTGGTCAAAAAACTGTTACATACTTTTTATGAGATTGATTTAAACACACTTTATATAATAATTAGTATCTTTTTTACCCAATTTGTTTCAACATACACATGGTATCTCACTGAATAATTTGAGCCATCAAACTTAAAAATTAGTCTAACCATACTCTCAAAAAATAATTATGTACCATTTAGCAGATAGCTGAAACACATTATCCTCTGTGTGAATATACCATTATCAGATAATTAGATACCTATACATTTCAGCTCTTGCAGAAGTAATACCTCATTACTATCCTACATATGTTCGTAGACATTTTGAAAATTTTCTGAACACAGATGTCAGGTAGAGTCAGTCAGTAGCAACTACGTCATTAAACAATTTATGTAGTAAAACTATGTCAAAGCCATCATCTAAGAAACTTTTCAAAATCACTTCTGATAATGCAACTTATTTTGTTAAACCAAACATAGAATCAAAAGGATTGAAAGTCTTTTTTGAATTTTTGTCATTTTCTTAAAACTTAAAATGAGTTGACCTGTCAAGATATTCAGTGGACATTTAATCTTCCTTGAGCCCACACTGTGAAAAACTACAGGAATCAGCTATTAAATTCATTAACACACATATTAAGTGTTTAGTAGGAAATACTACTTTAAATTAATGTAGTTTAATTCATTAATTTGTCAAATTGAGGTATGTGTAAAATCAAGACTTTTGCATCCTCTATCTCACGATACTTCTGACCTTTTTATCCTTAGCCCTTCTCACTTCTTAATTAGTAAAGCTCTCAACATGCCTAAGCCCGACTTAGACCAATTGAAGTTTAATCACAGCTGATCCAGAAGATGCAGCAACAATTCTGGAGATCTTGTTCAAGAAACTACCTTTAAGGAACCCAAACCCACTACAAACGGAATCAGCCACACAGCAATGTTCAGATCGGTACATTAGTTCGGGACTAAGAAGACAACCTTCTTCCATTAAGTCGGAAGTCAACAAGAAGTTATCAAGTTCACTCTGGACACAATGGATTCGTTTTAGTGGCAACAATAAACACTCCCCATGGTCTACACAAGAGATCCATCGTTTGTCTCTGCCCGTTATTTATTGATTAAGAAGATAACTCTCCCAGCACACCAGGAAAAAAAAAAAAGAGACCACCAATAAATAATGAAGTATGAATAAACTTTCCCAGACCGTTCCACAATTGCTCCGAGGTAGATGAAATCCAGGACTACTTCTATTTTTTCTCTTTTACACTTCAACATTTTCCTGTAACCTTCCTACCTGAATTATTTTGCTTTTGTCAGTATTGACGGTAATTCCTTTTCTATGGAGCAGTTTCTATCATTCTATCACTGTTTTCTGTAGCTTCTGTTCTCAGTCTACAATGAGGACAATATCATCTGCATACAGTAACAGCTGGATCACCACAGGAAGCAAATTTCTCTGCCCCAGGTATGTCCTGTCAGTTAGTCTTTTACAGATTGTTGCTATCTCGTCCATATAAATTAAGAATAACAAGAGGCTAAGACTGTCACCTTTTTTTATCCCCTCTCTATGTTAAAATACACAGACTCCTATCCATATAGCCTGACTATCCCCATAAGTGGATTCAGAAATCCTCCACAGGATCAGTAAGGCAAACGCTTTATATTATCAGATGTGCCATACTGTTATTAGAAAGCGATAGGTGGGTAGGAACGTGAAGCTTCACATGTTTAAGTCTATATACTTGCCAGTACTCCTATATGGAGCTGAAAGTTGGTTAATGACAGAAGAACAGCTGAGCAGGGTGACAGTTGTGGAAATGAGATTTCTTCGAAGAATTGCTGGGAAAACCAGAAGAGACCACGTCCACAATGAAAGGTTCAAAGAGGAATTAGGAGTCCCCTTGGTGAAGGATTGTAGAGGTTCACCATCTGAAGTGGTTCGGCCATTTTGTCAGGATGGAGGAACACTGAGATCCACTGAAAACTATGAACAGTGCCTCTCACAGTAGAAGGCCTTGAGGCTGACCAAGGATGTCAATCCTATGTGCAAAAGGAGAGGAAAGGATATCTGCCAAGGCAGGAATATGACAAGAAACAGAGTACAGTGGCAATCATGGCTATGCGCTCCCCTACAGTGACAGGCACAACAGGGTGATGAAAAAGAAAAAGAATAAACTTTCAATGTTTTGTTATTTTGATTATTAATTAAGTCAGTAATTAATTAATTACTTAAGTCTAACTTGTTTTCATTTTATGTTCATATTCATAAACATTATTCATTTTGTAATAAATTTTCTTGCATTTTAATTAATGTTTTTTTTTTTTAACAACCTTTTAAGGCGAGCAGGATGAACAGTTCTATTTAATTTGAGATTGAAAATAATTATAGAGATAGGTTAATGTTAAAATAATTTGAATTTGTTTAGTCATACTAATGTCTGTATGTTGAAAACCTAGTTAGTAAAGCTCATGTTTTTAATAAGTAACCTCAAATATCAAGATGTCATATTTGAGGTTACTCATTAGGTTTAAATTCACATTGTTTCTCTATTCTTTTAACTAGAATTTGGCAAACTGTTCCATTACAAGAATGGGCTGTTAAAAGATACTGTTAAGATTAAAACGTTAAGAAAATATAACCTTAAATCTTGAATATTTTTCCATAATTATCAATTTAGGTCCAATATTGTTTTAATAATTTTATTTTTCAAACTATTTCATGAATATATACACTTGGTTTTGTTTTAAACTGTTGTTGGATATATATAATTGTTAGTCCTTTGTCTTATACATATATCTTTTTTTTATAGGTTTCAGTGATACCATGCCAAGAAGAGTTAGAAGTAAGACTTCATGAAAGTTCATTACCAGCTCCGCAGTGGGTTGATTATAGTACTTCTACTGACAAGCAAGCACCTGGTCATGTTAAGCTAGAACTTGAAGGTAATAAATACCTCTATACTGTATATTATATGGTAGTATAGATCCCTTTTCCGGCTCTCAGGAGTGAAATATTTTATTGAATGAGGTATCAGGAAAAATAATTTCATAATAATAATTCAGGGGTATCCATGAAAATCCAACTTCAATGAAAATCATTGTAAAAATTGGTAGGTTTCAAAACTCAGATGGTTTTATAGTCAACTAATCAATGGTATAAATTGTGTTTTAGGATTTTACTCTCATAGGATCACACACTCCGTTTTTCTTTTTCTTTCTTGAATAAACTCAATATAAAAATTTCACTAGGCTTCAATACTGGGACATTGGCATGTCGGTGGATTCAGATGTGACCAATCGGCTTTTTGAAGATTTTCATGCTGATATCAAGACACAGTTGAGCTTTTTTAAGTTTTTTTTTTTTTTTTGAACTTAACTTTCTTTATTGAATATTAATACATTCTGCCACATTGAAGGACATTAATATTAAGGCTACATGATTCATTCACACAATATGTACATACAATTAATATCAATAATAAAGAAAAAGAAATATAAAAAAAAAAATAAGTAAATTGGTATGCCTGTGTACAAAAAAAAATAATGAAATAATAGATAAAAGCTAGATGAAATTAAAGTAAATAAATCCGATTTTTAATTTTAAGGCTACTTATATAAATAAAAATACCCACAATGAAATATAATTTAATATAGTGTTTATAATTTTTACTTTCACTTCTCCTTTGTCTGAAAATACTTATTTCTATTAAGAAGAGGGTGGTAAATGAAATTTGTGTGATGTGCGCACTGCACTAGATTTTTTGTAATTAATACTGGCCAAAATCATGGAGGAAGTGAATAAAAACTAATTGCTAGTATGAAACTAGACAGTTTAAGTACTTACTAAAAATGTGTTGAATAAATAATTATTAGTAGTGGTAAGTACTAATTTGATATTTTTTAAGCACTTAATAGTCCTGAATGCTCACCTACCTTTATTCTACACTTCTGTACAGTGACTATATCCTGTATATTTTATTTTTTTAAATATTGTTAAATGAGAAAAAAGTCGGCCTAACAAGAAGCTTGATCGAGAGCTGTTTATTAGCCTGTTTTCTGAAGATAATGTTATTATTCTTTTGAGAAAAATCTAAAATCCCTGCTGTGATAAAGGCAAAGAAGAAGACATGATCAGTGATGATAGAACAATTCTTCTTTATGATTTAAATTTGTAGCACATATGTACACAGCAGTATTATAATAAAATCCTTACTCATTTTATATGTATAAATCTAGTGAAGTAATTTTAATTCTGTTATAAAATTATAATTTTTAAAATGTTTGTTCTCGAAAATGAGTATTTTGACCTTAAATATTGGGTTGGCAAATAAGTCCTTTCGGTTTTTCAGAATAAAATAAAACTCAATGTATTATAGACATAAAATTTATTTTATTCTACAATATATTGACCGTTATGTAATATGGCTTTTTCCCATCTTTCCAACTGATCCAAGTTTTTTTTTTATGTCCTCTTCCTTTTGGAATTTCTTTTCATTCATGGAGTTCTGCAGAGACCGGAATAAGTGGTAGTCACTTAGAGCTAGTCTGGTGAATAGGGATGGTGGGGCAAAAGGTCCCATCCAAGGCTCAATAATTTATGAGTGACCAATGAGGCGTGGGGTCTAGTGTTATCCATTTTTCATCTCCTGTTGTCAACCTTTTCAAAAATGGGTCATTTTGTTGCCGTTTCCATAGTGAATCAAACAGAAATGTATGTTGCCAAGTTGGCTTCGGCTAGAGAGTGACAGACCCAAACCTTAAGCCTGGAAACATAGCCGAGCTTGTGCAAATGGTTTTCTACACTTGTGTGCGACACATTTAGGACCATAGCAATCTCTCGCACTGATTGGATGGGATTTCGATCAACAATGTCCTTAACATTGCTCGTTTCAATATCATGTGGGCGACCAGACCGTTGAGAATCATTGATGCCAAAATTTCCTGAATGAAATTTGGCAAACCAATTTTGGCAGGTGCTTTCGGTTAAGGCATCATCCCCCAAAACACTGCAAATTATTCAATGAGCTTCTACGGCACACTTACCTTTTTTAAAATAATACTGCAAAATATGCTGATAAAGAATAATATTTTCTTCCATATTCACAGTGCAATAAAGCTTATACATGAATATATAGAAGTGGTTAATAAGTATGAGTGTAATAAATATGTATATATATATATATATATATATATATATATATATATGTTTTTTTCCTTGTTCATGCACTTTTTTTCATTTAATTTTTCTTTATATCACTCCGAGTGAGGTGTCGCTGGGCACTGATCCTCGTAATGCCTTTCATGACATTATTTTTTCCAATCGACCTCACATTCACTGGTTGTCATTACCATTATGACAGGTGTGAATAAAAAAATTAAACAAAAAAAAAATTTTTTCTTTCTCTCACTTGTCCCTCTTTATCTCTCTAAAATGCTTAAAATCAATATAAACAATAACCAAAACAAAAGTGTATATACAATTTAATACAATACAACTTTTTCAATAAATAAATACATACATTCAAATTCTCACCCTACCCATGTACATGGTGGTGAATGATTCTCAGGGAGTCGAGGACTATATTTTCAGCCAACCTCGCTACGTCCTTAATGTCGACACCTAGTCACTCGAGAAAGCTCCTTGTTCTTTTTGAACCAGAGGCCTCTGACGGTGAAATCTCTCTCTCTCTCTCTCTCCGAAGGTCTCATGGAACTTCTCTTTTAGGAAATGAATGCATTTATCATATGTATTCTTTTCCCTTTCCACTTCACTTGCCCGATTGAGGTCATTGCTCTCAAAGCAGACAGTTGGATCCAAGATCAGCGCTGTCCTTCCTGTCTTGGGAAAGGCACTGTCGATACAATAGACCTCGTCAAAGCAGGTGAATTGATTTTCTCTAAAGAGTCTCATCATCTTGAACTTGACCCTATAATGCCGATGTTTTATGAGGAGGGAATTGTTGGGGTATTTTCCCAGCACATGGGCTGGTGTTTCAGATTCTCTGCCGCTTTACGACAGAGGATTTCAACTTCTCTGACCTGTCCGCTGACACCTGGGACTCCACACAGGCGTGCATAATTAATTAAACAAAAAAGATTTCAGGGCGTTCGACCATTCAGATCCAGGAAATACTTGCTTTTCATACATGTATTTATTCGCTTTCTCGGTCTCTTTAAAATGGCGAACACCAATACCCTGCCACCTGCAGTTGGCCCATTTCTTGAACGAATTTTCTCGTAGCGAATGCTGTAGAACTCATATTTTGATGACCTTCATCAACCCCCAATCTCTCATCACATTCAGCAACTTCAGTCGAACAATCGGAAGTTGATTGGATAAGGGCATCTGATACATTGGACCAATGTTGATGAAAAGCATTAACAGAAAAACCGAAAGGATTTATTTGCCTACATTATAATAATAATAATAAAAGGCTTAGTGAACCCTAAGGTTCGATGCCAATACCACCAATCACTTATTACACATCTCTCTCCACCGTTCGCCGTCCAAACCTAGTAACTTCAGATTAGCTTTAATGCAATCTTTCCACCTTCGCTTTGGTCTACCCCTCGGACGTTTACCATTCGGTACAGGAAATATTAACCTTCTAGAAATTCTGTCATTACTAAGCCCAACAATTTTACAAGCCCATTTGATTCGGCGGGATGAAATCATCTCAATTATATTACCTGGATACAGTTCACGCAATTCGGCATTGTGTAGTCGTCTGAACTCTCCGGTTAATTTATCCTTCTTCGGTCTGAATATTCTACGCAATATTTTATTTTCAAAAACCTTAAGACGTTGCTCATCCCTTAATGTAAGCAGCCACGTTTCGCATCCATAAAGAACTGTAGGTAAGATAATGGTTTTATAGATTCTAATTTTTAAGTTCCGGGACAAGAGGCGCGAGCTAAGTAGTTTTGTCACAGAAAAATAACAAGAATTTCCCATCTTCAGTCTAACCTTAATCTCTTCTTCAAATTCGTTTTTTCTAGTTATCATAGACCCTACATATCTAAACTTCTCTACGTGTTCAAACATATTACCATCTATATCGATATCATCAGTAATATCCCCACTTTTGCAGCTAACCGTATATTTTGTCTTATCCGTGTTTATTTCAAGCCCTAGGTCTTTACTGCCATTCATTAACGTTGTTGTATTTAGTTTTATAGTTTCCACATCTTCACTTAACAGTACCAGATCATCCGCATAGCCCAGCAGGGGTTGTCCCACCCAGATCCAACCCTTTTTCGGTACACATTACCTCCCTATTGGCATGTTCTAATGCCAAATTGAACAGGACAGGCATAAGGGAATCCCCCTGTTTCAAATCTGAACGAACCTCAACCCAATATTACATACTGAATTAAAATGTTACTATGTCTGCGGTACCTCAGAATGTGCCTTATCACCCAGTTTGATAAATCATACTCTAGACAAAGCGAAATGGTTGAAGCAACACCAACACAAATTCATACCAATTGTCAAAAATTTGGAAAAACGATACAATATAACCAGTTTATTAAACTGATCAAACATAAAAGTTAAGCATATTTTAATTGCAATGAGCAGTTTTACTCTGCAACAATTCCTTTTAATTTAAATAAAGGCTAAGTTAGAAGAAAAAGAATTGGAAAGAAATGACAAGACTGTTGGTAACAGAACAAAAACAGAAGCCATGGGAAAGGAAGAATTATTTATTTTTCATGCTTAATAAAAATAAATGCATAAATTTGAAAGAGTTACAAACTTTGTGTGCATAATAAATAAATAAGAACAAAAACTAAAATTTTTCTGGAGACGAAAAAAATTTTGTAATTTTTGTTTTATGAGCATTATATTTTCGGTTCAATTTTTTTTTTTGCAGGCCTAAGACAAAGATATAATTCTCTATGTAACTTTTTTGATTGTATTTCTGCCAAATAATCTTTTAGAGCCATTACTTCTAACATAGCTTTTTATCAAATTTATTGTTATTTATTAATTTATCCCATAATTTTGTTAATAATGATCAAAGCATGACAAGAACAAAGTCAGTTTCCAAAATGTAAATAAACGATACTTCAAATGAAAATTTGTAGAAAAATTGACTGGAAAGCAAGTATTCGATCACATGGGTTATTCACTTTTCTGTCTCGAACAAAGTGCATGCACCCTATTTTGTAGTAGTCTCTGAAAGATTTTTTTTTAACATATTCAACTTTGTATGGACATGGTTTGATTCACAAATGCTTGGTAAATTCTAGGTAACCTGCTGATGTGTAAATCACTTCCTTTCTGAGCTTCTTGGGTTTTCGAAAATTCGTTGGTTGGAAAATATGAAACTAGAGTTCTTTTTTCGTCTTGTGTTAAATTTTCCAATCAATTTTTTGTCGGGCTGGAAGTGCCCACCACTTATTAGAAATTTAAAAAAAGAATAGAAAGCTAATGAGATAAATTAATTTTAGCCTATTAATATAGCTATTTGATACTGTAGTCAAAGCACAAAACGCTTTATACAATCTGTATTTACATGACCACTTTTCATTGAGCATTTCATTATGTGTTTTCCGTTGTCGCTTAATCTCTATAACCTTCACAGTTTTTAAGTTTGCTGGTTTTAAGTTACAAGTTTTTACAAAAGGCCGTAGAGAAGAAATGAGACATCGTAGATTTGATTTTGTGGGATCAGAATATGTGCCAGGACAAGATTGACCGTTAAAGCTCAAAACCTCATTTTCCATGAAAATTTTCTTTACAGTCTTTCGCAGTATGGCTGTCAATATATTTCTCACCCAAGCCACTGCTCTTATTATTTATACTTACTAATATCAAATCTTCTTCTTTGATTATAAATCTTAATGTGCTTGACCTCCTCTACAGTTGTAACTAACCAAATAAAATTAGTTACTTAAGATTGAAAGTGTTGTTTTCTTTTTTTTTCTTAATTCAACAAATTTATTAGTAAGTACTTATCATCTGGTAAAACAACTGTGCCAAGTAAGTACTCAGACCCCAAATTATTACTTGTGAAGTTTATTCACCAAAAATAAAGTTAGTACTTAAAACTCAACCAGTATCGACTAATATTAGTTTTTTTTCACTTCACCTATTGCTTTTTTTTTATTTATTTTTTTTTATTTCTATTAAATTAAAATAAATTTGTTAGCTAATATAAATTTTAATAATATAACTATTTTTAGTACTGGGTATTGTTTTCTGTGCTTGAAATTAGTTTACTATCAGAATATCCAGCAACTGGGTTATTACTCTACAATCGTGTAAATAATTTTTTGAGTATAGTTTGAAGAGATTGTTATTGATGGGAGAAAAAGTTCTAACTCTTTCTTATAATTATCGATAGATTGTCTCAATGCTTAATATAAATAAACTTGAAGTACCTTGGGGCAGAATTTTTTGAATTAAGAGGAAAAATTGTATTGACTGCAGTGTATCTTACTGGTACAGGTAGGGGGACTTAGTCCGTCAAATGGGCCTATTGGTCCTTTTTGCCAACCCCAAAATTTGATACTACCAGTGGTTGTCTATTGTACCTCTATTCTGTCTCAAACCTTTTTGTTCTTCTAATGAAGTTCAAAAGGTTGGACCATTTAATGGAGGCAGCTTTGCATACTTGGATACTGTCTGCTCCCAGAAGTCTGTATCTGAGTGACGCAAATCGATCACATTACATTATGAAGTGAAGAGCAGTTTCAGGTGCACTTCTGCAGATATTACAGAGTTCATCATCCACTATCCCACAGATCTTTAAGTGTCTTTCAAGTCTGCAGTGGCCTGTTAGTACTCTGATGATGAGTCGGATTTCTTTCCTAGTTAGGCCCAGCAGCCACTTTGTTTTGGAGGGAGAGGGGCTTTTAATAAATTGGTTCGCTTGTCTAAGCCCAGTATATTCCCTCCATTCTTTACCTGTTATCTTCCAAGTCCAGTCAAGGACTTCTTTCCACTGATGCTTTCTGGATATTCCTATTGCAGGTTCCGGGCCAATAGGAGATTCCACTCCTTCTCTTGCTAGGTAATCAGCTTTTTCGTTGCCTTTAATTCCCTTGTAGCCAGGGACCCACACTAGTTCCACCACCTTGGAGCAGGCCAGTTTCTCCAATGCCTGTTTACACTCCTGCACTAGTGTGGAGGTCACTTTGGGAGACTGCAATGCTTGTAGTGCTGACTGACTATCCGAATAGATAGTAATGCCAGCATTCTCGCAATTGGTAACTTCTAAACAGGTGACTGCAGAAAGTATAGCAAACACCTCTGCTTGAAATACTGTAGTATGGTTACCTAGTGGCATGCTTAATTCTATATTTAGGTTCTCTATATAGATTCCTACACCCGTAAAATTAATAAATAAATTAAACTTGTAGATTCTTTCCTTGAACCATCAGTAAAACAGGGCAGGTAGTCCTTTTGAGTCTCTACAGAACCCTGTTTCCAATCTATTATGTTAGGGTACAGGTAGCTGACCTTACTATCTAGAGTAAGGTTTTTGTCGAGCGGCGGAGAGAGATACCGTAAGATAGGTAACTCTTTTTCCACCTTCCTGGCTATTTCTAAGTGGCTGGTGTGTGTCCCTGTTAATTTCCACTGTCTATTGTCCTTCATTCATAAAAATGCCATAGCCGCCTCACCCATTATCCATAGGTGTAGCGGAGTCAATGACAATAACATTTCCAGAGCCTTTGTAGTGTAGTGTGGAATGCTCCAGTAATGCTAAGCAGTGTGTCTTATCAATCAGGAAATTCAAAAATTCACATCACATTTTGTGAAAGTCATCGATATTACTAACATATTTATTTTTTATGTTTTTATCTTCTTGTCAAACAAAATATAATAAGATTTAATATTTCACATTATTATTTACATTTCATTTTTGACAGTGACGCTGACCCCTGAGGTGGATTCTCAAGTATCATCTAGCTCAGCAGAAGGAGGAAACGAACCTGTTCGTGTTATTCCACCCACAACAATTGTTTGCCTTCCACCGTTAACTGCCACTGCACCACCTCCTCCCCCACCTCCACCAGCTTCTTCATCAGCACTGCCTTATCTTGCCTTAACCACCAGTACACCAGTTAGAGCTGTCCCAGCTAAACCACTTCAATCAAAGGTAATTGCTAAATTGTTTACATTAAGTTATATATTGTAATTTCATAATTTAACTAAATATTCTTGACATTATTCATTGTATTCTTATTGTTTATTACTTGTATAAATATATGTAGTAATCATGAAATAAATATATATTCAGGATATTTAATTGTGATTGATAGAAAATAAATCATTAAAGCATCAAAAAGGATCCTTTACATTTAGCCTTGCCCCATTCAGTTTACATCAATTATAGAGATAGAGTCTTTATTCACTTAAATCTCATGGGATAGTTTTCTAAACTTAAAAAATATATAATTTTTAGCTTAAATTTATAAAAATAAAAAAAAAATGTTCTGAAGTAGGTTAGAGGAAAATAGAAAGAGTCTTTTCTAAAAAACTCATCTAGTTTTTTATCATCAAGTCTTTTCTAAACTCATTAGTAACTTTTTTTTTGTTTTCCTGTATTATTTGAATGCCTTCTGCTGTATAGTTCTGTTCTGCAAGGAGTTCTGTTTTAGGCCTCCTCTTTCATAAATTGAGAGGATTTTTCTGCCAAATCTTCCAATAGTTTTTCTTCGATGCCGGTTAGTGCCCAGGTCATCCAGTCATGTAGCAGAATTGACTTTATCAGAGCATTGTGTATTCTTATTTTGAGATTTATAAGATGTTTTGGGGATTAAATTTCTTTGAGAGAGAAAAGAAAGCTCTATTTGTGCTTGTAATTTACTGGATATTCTCGCCTACTTCGTTTTAACAAAAAATTATTGTGGATTCCAACTTGAAAGGTGATTTCAGAATGGTGTAAAACTTGCTCATTATTGAGCATAAATGGAGCCAGCAAGGGCTATGGTATTCCTAATGAACTCTTTAATGTTCAATGGAAAATCGTTTCACAAAACTTAAAACAGAAGGAAGGAAGGCTAGATCTGCTGTAAAATGTAGAAGAGTTTGTAAAGCTGCATAAATAAAATCCTCCTTTCACAGGAGAGAGGACCTGATAAATAAATCTTGGCTGACAGGATTTTCGAATCGCAATCCAGGTGTTTTCTACTTAACTAGGTCCCTAAAGCCGTAACAGCTGACAGTGTCAATATATTAAATACAAGTTTTTCATCTACAGTATCAAAGAATATTTGAAGAAAGAAGGCAATATTCTTCGCCATCCTGACCAAATTTTGGAGAGAGATGATGATTATTACCTTTTTTACTGCTTGTGATTCATTGCTAATTTCTACCTATTTATGTTTTTTCATAAGAAATTATAATGCTGGTCCATAAAAATTCAAATATAAACATTCAAAAACAAGGTAGATAAAGACTGCAAATATTTTTCATTTTCATTCATTCATTTCAATTTTTTTCCCTTTCCTTGATGAAAATAATATCACCAAGTCCACCATCCTTTACATCTATAAAAAAGAATGCGACCGATTTTTATTGCTCAGATACGGACTTCTGGTTTCAGATAGAATACGAAAACATGAAGCTACCTCCATAAAATGATCCAGTCTTTTGAACCTCATTAGAAGAACAAAAAGGTTTGAGATAGAATAGAGGTACAATATACAACCACTGGTAGTATCAAATTTTGGGGTTGGCAAAAAGGACCAAAAGGCCCACTTGCTGGATTTAGTACCAATAACAGTACCAGTACCACTATCTTTTACATCTAAGGGCATAAAAATCACATGACTCATCATATCAATGATTTGTACCGCTAATAAAGTATATATTAACTCCTCTTCATCACAATACCTATGCTGCCATCATCAGATATATCTGTGTTGTATTAGATTTCTTGTAGATTCCTGAAGGTTTTTTGATGTTATGAACATTGAAATTACATAAGTGTAAGAAACTAATAATATTTGTTGATAATTAATAAACAATAATTATTTGTATAAATTGAAAAGATAAGAATTTATGTTTAAAAAGTTAAAATGTCATAAATTCATTTAAATCTATATATTAAGTGAACAAATGAGTTTAATATATTTGACATTACATTGTGTTAATTTCAGTGACATTTTTAATATTTTTAGTCTACAGGCAGACGTTTTAATCCTTGACCCGTTTAATATTTTAACCTGTTAACTAAAATGAATCAAGTTATAACTACTTTTATTATATTTAAAAAAAAATTTAATGTAACTTTATCTGCTGCATTGAAAAATAAATACATTATCTTTTATTAATCAATTTACTGTTGGGTTGGTTTATAGATTTAATTTTTTTTATAGAGTAGCGGCGGAGGGAGGGGTAGTCGCAGTTCAAACAAACCTCCTCCTGGTGCTGTGAATTTGGAGCGGTCCTACCAGATTTGCCAAGCTGTAATTCAAAACTCTCCTAATCGTCACCAGCTTAGGTGCCAGCTGAAGCCGCCCCCTTCTCTCTTGGCAAAGCGAATTCCGCAGCCTGTCCCCAGACAAAGACCACGGCAGGCTGTGGTACTTCGGCATGTTTTCACCTCAAATGCTGGTATTCCTGTTAGTATGGCTGTATTACCCTCTCACCCTTCTCATGTAAGTCTATTTATTCTTCTAAATAAATAAAGTTCAAAAGAATAGAAACATATTTTTATACTTTTTTTAAGTTAGGTTTCCAATTATCTGATAGGCTTTTATATGTCATTTAATTCTAAATACATTAATTTATAGATAAATCTAACCTTGAATCATTTTTTATTGTTGTCATGATTTACTATTTTTGTGCTGATGGCATTTATGCTGTACCTGTTGACTAAAATAGTAGTTAATTTATACATATATATTATGATATATGCAGCTACCATAGAACCTCATTAATCTGGATTAATTGCCTCCGGTGTTTTTTGAAGTAATAAATGTCCGAATTAAAGAAAATAACCTTTTTAACGACCCAATGTATATATTTAAACACTCTGTTCAGGAACAAAGAATGTTATTTTAAATTTCTAAAACTCAATATTGCAACTATTTTAATTTGGATTGAATCTATTAGTTTTGTCAAAATAAAAAAAACTCCAAGAATGAATAATGCAGTAAATCTTTTCCATTTCTTAATTACATTAGAAGAAAAACCCAGGTTTGATTGGGAAAACCTAAAATATCAAAAATAAAATAAATTAGAAAAGATAATTCACTTCTGGCTGAAAAAAAAAAATATTAAAATAACTCTGTGATACCAGATTTATATGACCCCAGTTCTTCAGTATTTACCCACTACCACCACTAATGAGTTTCATGCCTTATCTTAAAAATGGGCTCACTTAATGAACCTAATTCATTTCTATGTCATCCAGTATTACTGAATTTTCAACATTTTTATTAAGCGTATTTTGAAAATCCTGTTTCCAATCCAACCATATCTGGTTTGACCTCTTCATTTATTAAAAATTTCTTCCTTGAGTTAATTAATGTTGATGGTTTAATAGCATTAAATGGCTATCTGGTTTGAAGGAATTCTAAATTAATCTGTTCGTCTTTTTAACAAATAAATAGGACCCCCATCAATCGAAAAAAAAATTATTTCAATCTTCTTCCTAATATTTCCCTCAAAAGGTGAGATCCAGAATTGAGAGTATAAACTTTACGGTCTTTCTTAGATCCTCCAGACCACCTGTAAATTAGTCTAAAGTCTTCTTGAAGCCCTTTTAATTTATATATGTATTTCCCTGAAAAGTGGCTGAAAAAAAGTAGTGATGGATTCGAAATTTCATTTTAAACTTATAAATTTTTCATGTAAAGAATTTAATCTTTATTTTAATATCAGATTACTGTTGAATGTTATTAGATAACTAGTAGTGGTAGTTTTTTTTATTTGCCAAAGAAATGTCTGTACAAATAAATACTTGGATATTATGAACAATATTAAAATTTTTAGTCTAGTTCTGTGTTCAAATATAACATTAGCAAAATTCATAGCATTAAATATGGCTCATAATGAATTAGCAACAGTACATATAAATATATAATTAGTAAAACAATTTTGTATAAATATTTTAGATGTATTAAATAAATAACAATATAAATATGCATTAATATCATTCTATATTGATAACTAAAATATTATTAGATAACTAAAACCATTTAACCCAACATCAGGTGTGTCTTTGGCTTTTTCCACTCTATTATGTTCTCTGCCACTTTCCTCCATTCCTAGTAGAGCCTTCTTCTAGGTAACTAGAAGCCAATTTAAATTACTATGTATGTCTTGGAAAATTGTGCTTTTCTCTCCCATTCATCAATACTTTCTTGCTATATAAATCTTTTATCTTGAACTGAAGGAAGCTCATCTAATGAAAATCTCCTTATTGGTTGATATTGAATCTGATAGGCATAGATTAAATATTATATTTATCATTACATAAATAGACAAAGCGAAACAGTTCAGCAACTTTTTCTCCTCTGTCTCTCAACAGATTTTTTTTTTTTGTTTAGTAGCTACTGAAAAGCTGTAGTGTTATTAATAATTTCTTTTTGTGAACTCTTTATAAATAAAAATTAAATGTTAGTTCATTCAAAACCGATAATCTTTTATTGTTCTTCACTATTGCTTTGAAAATTTGAAACTATGTTGCAATAAATTCAAGAGTGTGCTTTTATATACATATCATTACCAGCTGACCTTTCGTTCCGAAAAGCATGTATAGCTATAGAATACAGCACCAAAACGGCTGTAGCTTGGGCTTAAGTCTTCTCCTTGAAGCTCTTTTAATTTATGTATATAACATATTTCAGTATATAACACTTAAAATTGACTAAAAAAAAGCAATGATGTATTCGGAATTTTATTTGCTAATAACTAAAAAAATACAAAGTTTTGTTTCATTAAATCCATAAGTATTTGAAAGCTTCCTCAATTCCCTTACATAGTGGAAAAAATATCATAAAATTCAATTTTTATTGTATTTTTTTACTCTTTTTTTAGTTTATTTTTTTAGGAGAGAGAGTTGTAACAAATTTATATTTAGCATATAGCTATAGTATGTGTACAAAGTTGATGTGAAACAATGCATATTGACCAAAGGAGTAAAGTGGTTTAGAATATTTTTTTGAAAGTGAAATCAAATTGAGATTTGTATTTTGCCCCTGGAAAACCCCTTAATACTTTCATAGAAATTAGTCATTTTCATAGAAATCAGAAAATAAAAATATTTTGCCTTAATTTTTCACCTAGCCTTCATTCAGTTTTATTTTGGAAATCACAAAAAAAAGAACGATAGATTGAGAATTTTTTTTGGAAATAATTTAAAAAGTACATAAATAGTACTGAACTATTTTATTTTGTAGGTACATATAAAAATTTATGTTCTGAGATATACAATGAATGGATGTATGAGAGTAGAAAAAAAATGTTGGAAACATCCTTAAATTTTCAATAATGATTATGGTCGAACACTAGTAAATACATTAAATAGGCTCTTAATACAGTAGTTTCTAAAAAAAAGAAATAATAATAAATAAAACAATTATTTAAAGGAATTATTAATTTCAAAATTATTTAACTACTCCAAAAATGGATTTCTTTACTCTTTAGCTGATTCTATGTTTGCCGATATTAACTTATCTTAACTAATTCAAGAATAATTTTATAACTTGTAAAATCTGTCTATGGATATCTTATGTGACCTCTTTATGTTCCTGTTTATTTAATTGATCGAGCTTTTAAAATACACACTTTTTAAATTTTATTTTCTCTACTAACTTATGAGTCTTCAAGGCCTCATTTGCCAAAAAAAGATGAATTATCCTCTTCCAGTTGGTATGACGAGTTGAAGTGGCTCTATCCAGCTTTCCAAGTGCTATATTTCCTATTAGTCCAGGAGCCCATGGCAAAAAAGGTGTTCTATTTCATACTAAGATTTGTCCATATAAACTGACTATATGAGATAGACTGACTATATAAACTGAGGCATGATGAGAAAAATGCATGTCTGCCAGCATATAGCCACTGAAATACAAAATGGCGGCCATATGAAGATAGATAGAGACCCTATATAGGTTGTAAACGTATATATAGAGGGGGCTTAAAGATATAGAAAGCTATCAAACCTTTCAATTGATAGTATTTACTGTCTTAAGACCTGAAAATTGAATTTATGAATCAAAAAATTTCCTTTTTATTTCGGTTTTTCACTTATATATGTGAAACTATATATTCTATTGATAATTATGCTATAAGTGAAATTAAAGCTGACAAAATTTGCAACTGAAATGGATATATTAGTTTTTTTGCTATATTTGATTGTTTCCGTGATATCCATCTTCGTAATTCACTAACTTAAAAGAAATTGGGTACTTGTGAACGGTCTGGACCCCAGTAAACCTCCCTTCTTAACTTAGGTTACGTCACATAACCTGTCTATCCTTGTGCTTTGTCCTTTCTGTCCAGCTTTTCATTTATTGTGAGTTACGGAACCAAAAGCTTTTTACAAGATGGGGGAATTGGCCCCACTCTAAACCCCCTATCCAGGAGGGCCGCTGACTTTGATTTTGGAGTTTCCTCCCCTAGGGTGCTGCCTTCACTATGGCTCAAAGAGTTCACCCTACCCTCCACAGTAGGCAATCTAACTATGCCTCAGGAGGCTGGCATTGACTATTCATTAAGTTCATCCGCCACCATTGATTAGGTACAAGTCCTGCTGCCTGCTTGCACCATGATTATTAAGTATTTAATAGGATTCAAATATTCACAGTCCTTTGAAATCTTGAATTTGATAAAACGTTTGATAGAACTTTGAAAGGATTGATAGCTTTGTTTATCTATAAGCCCTCTCTTTATATATACATTAACTACCTGTATAGGGTCTCTATCTATATGCTGGCAGACATGCATTTTTCTTATCAGGTCTGTGGATATGACCAATCTATAAGGACAAATCTTAGAATGAAATAGGACGACACCGTTTTTGCCACAGGCTCCTGGACTATATGTGTATTCTTTATCTAAACCTTTGCTACCTTGTATTGGAATTCCATAGCAGTCTCCATTTGCAAAAACCTCTTCTTTAACTTCTTCTAAGCACCAAAAATTATTCATCCATCTTGTCAGCAATAAATCTTTATAATATATGTAAAAATTAAATTTTCGTATTAAAGTGTTGTCAACCTCATTTTACTGTGATTTCACAGTCATCTATATATATTATATAGATTGTTTGTTAGTACAATTATGTTAACCTACTGATATTTATTTATAATTTTATTATCATGCTTATCCTTTATATTAATTCTAAGGTTACATCACTCTTGTAGTTTAATTATTTCTTGTCATTTTACAGCAGACAAACCATTGGCACTTGTATTGTTCATAGTTTTTATTCTTAGGAAACTAAATGTTCCATAATAAATTTTTGTTTTTCTTTTTCTTGTTGCCTAATTTATTGCTTAACAGTAAAAATAAAAATGCATAATCTGGACCATTCTCTTTGTTTACATTCTCAAAGAAAATGAAAAGGGCTCATTTCCATTACCAAATCTCCTAACATGTAATATAAAAAACCTGAATAAGAAATAAGTTATTAGTTATAAATTCTATGGGAAATTCTATTATATTTTTATTTTTAACAATGATACAATTGACTTAAAAAATTATTTGGATTTTATAGAATTTGGCTGTATTCTGAAATAATATTTTCATGTTATCTAGTAAATATTACTTCTCACAAACATAGGGATATTTTTTTTATTAAGTAATATTATCTTCAGGAGGAGAATGAAACAGCCTTTCTCATTGTGTGTATAGATGTGATAGATTCACAAGGCTGAGACTGGAACTATTTGGGGAGAACGAATGGATCTCCCCAGTAGATATGAGACGGTCAATCCAACCAGCCTACTAAGATACTAAAATAACGTTTTGATTAAACGAATAACTGAAATTGGCACACAATGGACCCAATAGGGGTCGACGTGCCTTGAGCCAACATTTAAAAAAAAAAAAAAAAAGTAATATGGTTTAACACCCCCAGTCTGTTTTACCATGTTTATATATGTTTTTTAGATCTAAAAATTGATTTTTACAATCGATTCTTTAGCAAATTTAGATCTTCAAATTTGGAGCCTATTAATAACTTTACAAAATAAACTTACCAAATTAACTTTAATCTTTAATTTTTATATTATAAACTCTCATTTTAAATTTTGTTTCTATGAATTTAAAGAATATTTTTTTCACATATATTCTCTTGAATTTGATTATCATTATCGGATGCGCTGAAAAACATTCTTAATTTTCTTTTTTATGTTTGGACTCATACAGTAAATCACTGTAGTTAATTAGTAGTAAAAAGTTAACCACTAGTAGTAAACATTATTATTATAAAAAACTAATTATTTAACACAATTATAAATATACTTTGTGATATTAGCATTCTTTATAATATAAGAATTTATTTGGTTATTTAATAGCCTGCTATAACAGGTTGGAGGTGTTAGAAGATCTAACTCTGCTCCTCCATCAAATAGTGAATCCCCTGCTTGTGGTGGTCGTGGGCGCCCAGCCTCAGTTGGTGGCCCAGCACTGTCATGTGCTTGTTCCCTGAGACCATTAGTTCCTTGCAGAAGGTGTGGGGACTTTTGCCATGAGGATTGCATCACTCCATCTCGACTTTGCATCACCTGTGACTCAGCTTAAGATTTCATTACAATTTTTGTTTATATTATATTTTTATTTCCTATATGTCAGTCTTAGCTGGCACTACTATTAGTTTTATTTAGTAAACTTTCAGGTAACGTGAAACTGATTATTTATCCATTAATTTAAATTCAGAAAAGATATGAAATAATTTAGAATGACTCGTATCATATTTATCTGTATAAATTTAAGGAAAATCAATATTTCTATAGAGATTTTAGGCTTAATAAAAGTCTTTTAATGAATTTATCATTATGTCATCATAAGAATTATGATAAGGCATCCATGGTAAAAGAACTATATTATTATATAAAATATTCATAATTCATTTCTAGAATAAATAATTTTTAGTTGTGAAGTTCTTTTTAACTTGAGAATTCAAAAATTACTGATCTGTTAAAAATTTGTATCATTATTAATTTTTTTTTAATCTTTAAAACCTTTGTATATTCAGTAATTTGAATCGGAATACTAAAGTCAAATTTAACTAAAATGCATTATTAAATTTCTAACAGTTGATCAGCTCTCATTAAAAATAATTCAGTTTATATTTATTATATGCAATTATTTGGAATGTTAAAAAGTCTTAATATTCTTCTTCTTTTTTTTTTTCTTTTTTTATTATTTTTACTCCTTTTTTTTCAAATAAATTTATTTATATGTATTTTTACATTGTTAAAACCATTATTATGGTTATCTAATGAAGATCTAATATTACTCTTGACGTAATTCATTGTTAAAATATTTTGGTGGCGATATATATTTATTTATCATAGTGCTTTTCTTTTTCAGGATCAATAGCTTAGTGTTACTATTTTTAGGAGCCTTAAATATATTTAAACTGTTTGACTCCAATGATTCCTGTGATATGCACATTATACCTATTTACGTATTTTCAACTAACATAATTATTGAGGTTGGTCCCCTCTATCTCAATCGATACATATAAATGTTATCTATTAGTTCTGAAATAGCAAATAATTTATCTTTAAACAAAGTATAAATAATAATTATTTTTTTAAAAATTAGTAGCTAGTTTAAAAGTTAGATGGTAATTATATATAAAAATGTATATTATTAATAGTAGTCGAGGCTAGTTTATTATAGACCAAAGAGTTGTATGAATAAATTAGTAATAATGATTATTTTTAATTCTCCTTTGATGACAATGACTGTTCTGACTTTATTTGAGATAATTTGACTCTAAATTCATCACCTTTAATAAATTGTATGGTCTTAATGTAATTGAAGTAAATAGAAAGTACTTTTGCCATTATAAACAAGAGAGGGGAGACTAATAGATTACTCTGTTGTTAGAGAACCAGGTATTTAAAATAAAAAGGTAAGTGAATGCACAACTCTGAAGGAATCTTATTTAATGTTAAGGACTATTAATTTGTATTTTTTTCTGGCTGAAGTTTCAAACTTATTTATTTGGTTATTATTCATCATTCATCATTCATGCTTACTCAAATTGTATTACCATGACATATTCACTATTCTACTGGGTTTTGAAATTCCATTTTACTACCACTAACTGAGATCATGAAAAGATTCATGATAAAATATAATGAATTCCATTATCTTTTAGACAAATATTTGATTATTTTCTGAATATTATAAAGAATAACAAGACATTTTATCATGTAAATGTTGCCTGGTTTCTTTTCTCTCTGTCTCTTTCTCTCTCTCTCTCTCTCTCTCTGCTCTTTTTTATATATTTATACATACATACAAAGAAAAAACCGTTTAGTTATAGGGAGCAGCAGTACACGATCTGCGTACAATACTCCCAAAAATATTGTCAAAGTAAAACTGGGAAGGTTAAAACTTTTTTGTTTTCCTTTTAGCCTTCTTTTTTTTTTTTTTTTTTCTGTGTAGTCTTCATGTTGAAAAAAATAATCCTTTTAAAATGTATACATTATTTTAAAACTGAAAATTAGCTTTACAATTATTTATTGATTATTTATAATATTAATACAAACTAATAATGGTATTTTTTGTTAAATTTTATGTATTCAAGAAGTTATTCTCCCAATAATGTTTATTAAATCAGATTTTAAAGCACAAATTTAAATTATGAATACCAATTCCTCAGATTAAATGTTGGATTTTAGCTAAAACTACATTTCCTTTACAATTTTTTTAACTATTTATAGCAATGGTTCTAAAACAGATTTAAATATTGTAAATAAAACATTTGTAGTGATCTATGCCCCTCGAATCTAAAACCTAATTTGCTTATATCGTCTTTTTTAACAAATCTAAATCTTCAAAGAAAAGGAATAAGCGTCAATCCCACTTAAAATTCATTAATATTTGCTCAAGAAAATTTGTATGTCGATGAATCACAAATATTTGTGATTTATCAACTTTTACTAATTGTAGGTGTGACAAACTGAGAAAAAGGAAGAAATCTTTGAAAAGTGATTAACAAACCCCTTCACTTTTTATCACCATTCCCTTTCACTAGCTTTCTATTGGTAGAAGATCGGGCAGTCAAACTGTAGTTTATATAGAACAATTAAAAACTTCTCGCACCCTCCTCTCAAAAGTGGAGCCTAGTAACGAAATATTTGATTAATTCTATATTTAATGAGCTGTATCCATTCTATGAGTCACTGTCTCAATTAGTCATTGTTAATGAAGTGAAAAAATGAGCCGTTGAATGCATATATGTAACATAAACATTCCAACTTAAGAAAAATCATAAGATATGATTTTGTGATCCGTATAAGTATATACTAAAAAATACAAGCAATTCTAAATTGAATTTCCAATGAAGAAGTTTCTATAAAATCATGGTCTATCTCTCCTCTCTGTAAGAGAACATCAATGAAAAAAAATTGTAGTAAAATTCTCTTCTATATTATAACTTGTTATTTTCTGTAATTATCACATTGTTTTTATTGCTCAAAAAACTGTAAAAACGAATATTCTATAAAATTATATATGATGTTCTGCTATTACTCTAAGGTTTCATGGAAAAACAGGCTAAGAACCAGTGGAACATCTATTAAAAAAATATAACTTATTTTTAATTTTCTGCTGAATTAAATTTTAAACTGTGAATTCAATTTTGATATAAATCGCTATTCCAAATATGCCCTCATATAATTATTTGTAATATCTAACAATAAAGAAATTCATGACAAAAAATATATTGAAGAATGAAGAATTTAATGTAAAATAAAGAGATTTTTGTAAAATTAAACATTTAGATATCTTTTTTGTTTTGCTTTTTTACAAAAAGTATAATAACTTATTTTTAAACATGAATTAATGTTTACCACTTTTTCTTTTAGTCAAACAAAACAACTAAGTGATCCAGTTATTTCTGTATAATGTCATCATTCCAGTGCTCCAGTTTCAAAAATATTAAATTTTTAGTAGTTGTTTGTAATATAAAATTTGAGGTATCATTTCATTTGTGGAGGAACTTTTTTCATTATAAATTTGTAACATTCTACTCCCTTTCATCATTTATTTTCCATACTTTACTCATTTATATAGTAATTTTACTTATTGTATCATACTAAAAAAAATCTGGTGTGGTGCAGTGTTGGCATCACACAACTTTCATTTACCATCATCTTTTTAGCAGAAATAAGTATTTTCAGAGAAAGAGGAAGTGAAAGTAAAAATTATAAATGCAATATTTATTTATATTTCATTGTGGGTGTTTTTATTTGTATAAGTACCCTTATATATACAAATTATATATCAATTAAATATACCAAATAAATAATACTATAATAATAACAATAGCATTTATGAAAACCACATATGTATATTTATATAATGTCGGAGTCCGTATTATATTAAGCTCATCTTATATATGGAAGCTTGTTCTAATCTTTCGGTTGCGTTCGTATTCCTCTGGTTCCTCAATTACAATCTCTTATTTCTCTTTTAATTAATTATCAAATTCTTTCAAATTGTATATTTAACTATCTTTTATATTAGAAATTAATGTGAAATGGTCAATTTTCTCAAATAAAAAAAATTAAAAGTACTTTAGAGGAAGCTAATAGTGAAAATTAGCAATTATGCCCTGTTAGAGAACATCAATCGCAATAATAACTATATTTTATTTTAAACTGCTTAATTGTACACTCATATGATGAATTTAATGAAAATCGTTAACATGTGTTTAGTCCATTATATAAAGAGCCACTTCCGATTAGCCGATTTTGACGAAAAAGTTGTTGTAACATCCCTAGCATATAAAAACCTTAAATATGCAATTTCACTTCCGTACGACTTTTTGTTTTTTATCTAGACTGTTAACACACACACAGACCATTTTGTGGGACTTGGTGGACAGACCATATTTGGACTCAGAGGACATCAAAATGTGTATTTCCTTTGAAAACTGAGATTCAAAAATTTTCACGATCGCAATACTTTCCTTTACTATGTATTTCATATATAGGTAAGTGATAGTAATACATTGCTTGTGGAGAATATTATTGTGTATAATGTAGTTATCAGACCCTTATAATTTTATAAAATTAATAAATAATTTATGTTGAAAACAGAAAAAGTTTCTTCATAAAATAAATTCGTAAATATGTTAATATAATTTCCTCATCAAACAATAATGGAAATCAGTTTATTTCTTATAAAGCTAAATTTGGTTTCTATTCAGCAATAGATTTTTTGTTTTATGAAATTCTTTGATAATCAGCATTAGGAACATTTTTATGCAGCCAAATTTGGAATGACAAATAATATCAAAATTGAATTTCCAATTTAAAATAGCAAAAAGAGTTTTATTTTGAAAACGGATCTTCATCTGGCCTTTTGTCCATTTGTTCATGAAATCTTAAACAATTAGCTGAATTTCCTTTATGGTTTTAAAACATAAAAATGTCTTCAGTTTTTTAAGCAATAAAAACAATGTATTGCAAATTAATAAATTATGATCCTTACAAACCAACAAATCATTTAGCAAAAAAAAAAACATCTAATCTGAAAATCATGAATGTTACTTAGCAAAAAGAGAGGGTCATTGACTATATCTTTTTAGGTACTTTTACGTTAGAAATCTGATGTAGAATTGCTAATATTTGTTTGTTTGTACTTATCTGAAACTCTTTGTTTATTTCTTAAAACTGAATGTTATGTGTATATATATATATATATATATATATATATATATATATATATATATATATATATATATGTATAACTTACGGGATTGAATGTGTTACTGGAAGAGTCCATAAATATGCCCAGTAGAGTTATCACTATTGCTTGAAAAAACAATTATACCCCAAACATCCAAAAGAAAGCTGAAACTTGTCATAATTACCCCCCCCCCTGTAAAAACTGGTAGAAGTCCCCAGGATTTTGATTTAATTTGACAAATTATTTTTATTTGAACTTGTTATAATTTCCTTTTTTCAATAATTAAAAATTTTAAACAAATCCATGCAAACTGGAAGTGATATTATCCCTCTTGAACATCACACCCTAATTTTGTGGCGTTTGAAGTAATTTTTACTAAATTTATAATGTTACTCCTTCAATGTCTCCATAATTGTAATTTTTCTTTTTTTAAATGTCAAGATTTAGAATTGTTTTAATTTTGTATTGGATAATAATATTTGTAATAAACCTCATTTATAGTTTTAAGTTAAAATATTTACAAAAATATGTAAAAAAAAAATGTTTTTTTTCTCTTATCCCCTTCCTACCTCGAAACCCGATACACAAATCTCCAAGACTTTTTACTAATTATTTGGGGAATGTTAATGAATAATTTATGATAAGTTTCAATTTTTTTATGGTTTAATCTCTAAATTTACTGTACTTTTGGAAAATTCATATTGTTTCTTTATCATATTTTTAATGAATATTCAGCTATTCATTTCATTTATTTAAAAAATATTCATTCATTATGAAACTATTCTGTTTCAATTACTAGCTTGTTCAATTATTTTTATAAACATCACATAGATCAATTTTTTTTAGCTAAACCTAATTAATTGATTTGTGGAGATATATATTTTTCTTCACTATTTCTAAGTTCATTAGCTATTTTCTTTCTCATTTACCATATCCTAACGTAATTCATATAACTATCAACTCCTCTTCTCTTTACATGGTAAACATCTTTGTTATCATCAGATTTTTATTACAGTTGGTTAATTTAAGTTTTTTTTTCAGTTAATATATGATTATGTCTTTAAGTGTACATAAGGGTGTGTGTGTTTGTATATGTATGTATATATATACAAACAGAAACACCATATACATATAATAGTTTTTATTATTTATTTTTTTGTTATATTTACAAATGTTTATATAGTTAAGCTACTTAATACGATATAGTTTTAAGTTAATCATTTCTATTGTAGCCATTTAATCATGACACAGTAGGATCAAATATATTAGAAGTATTTATTAAATTTGTATATTTTTATTGATGTAATGATTAAGTGTTGTTATATGCTTCTGTTTCACTTCTGACTATGTTTCATGAAAATTTAAGCTTTCATCAGCCATTTGGAGTAATAAAAAGTTTTTTTACCTTGGGCTAATGCATAGGTGGGAAACCTGTGACCTCCGAGAGTGTACAGCCTCTGTGAGTATTTGCCCGGTGTTCATAAATTCCATCTCTGATTTTATATTTGTATATATATATATATATATATATATATATATATATATATATATATATATATATATATATATATATTATGTTAATCATTGCACAATTTAAATACAGTGTTTAATAATGAAACGGTTCCCCTCCTGTGGATTAGTGTTTGTTAATCATTAATTGTTCCTATCATATTCATTATTATGAATAGCAGCAAAATTTTTGATTTGTTGATAATAGGGATCATTCAATTATATATTTTATCCCATATATCTATGGTTAACTTCAAAAACGTAAGAGCAATTTTTTTTATTTATTTTTTTTGTATATTGATTTGATGTTCACTTTATACATTTATGCAGATATAGATTTGACATTTTTCAATACTATGCAACCCTTTCATAAATTTTTACTTACCAGATCTGTGAAGTTAAACATCGATATAATAATTTACATGACATAA